TATAGAGATGAGTGGCTTTAATTTAGATATAAAAGTAAGCTTTTAAAGTTAACTATAAAGAATAGAAATATTTAAAGAACGTCCAAGACTATATACCTATCTTCCCATCCTTTATGGTCCTAGTCTACTCCCTCACCAACACTTCCTTGGCGGGAGTAACCTTCTCTAAGAGTATCTTACTCCCTCACTAATACCTCCTTAGTGGGAGTACCTTCCTGCTCCCTTACTAAGGTCTTCTTGGCGGGAGCACGGTCACGTAACCACTTATACTAATGTAACTAGGGTAGTCGCTTAGCGTCCTTTAGTGCGTTGGCCTCTAGATCCTCTACTAGGTTCTCCCTGCATATCACCTTTATCTTCCTATAGTAATTCTGTGTGATTATAACATCCTTATTATAGATCCTATAGGTAGCTTTTATGTGCGCTATAAGGTTAAACTAGGCCCTAATTACCTTAGGATCCTTATATAGAGCTCTCTGTTAATTATATAGTTGGTTGAAACGTATGGTAAGGCTTTCTATCCACTTAATAAAGTTATATGGCCACTTCTTACCTACTTAGCTAGCACTACGCTCAGCGAGTAGTCTATTTACCATATCTTAAACAGCATCTAGGGTAGGCAAAAACCCTCGCGAATCTAGGTTAAGTATATACCTAGTAATCACCTCCTCTTCTAGCTTAGTAAGCTTCTTTAAATTGGGCTCATAATTGCGTTGCGTAGTGATTCCAGCGCGTTAGCGGCGAAGCGTGGTTTTAGAGACTCTATATATTATAGCAGCGCGCCTACCACTTTGTAATTAATTCTAATTAATAGCTATGATAGCTAGAGATATATAAGCTTCATTATAGCGTGATTAAATAGTGGTTGGTTAATCCATTGTGATTAATAGGTGACGTGTCGCGAAAAGTTAGTGGGGTACGCCGCTCGCTTACCAGGTACGTTAATATAAACCTTATACACATAAGAGTGCGTTTAGTAGAAGGAATATTTAGACACTATAGTAGTACCATAATTCTTAATAGTAAAAATAAGGTCGTAACGATGCTTAGTAGGGTTATGGTTAGTAGGCATGATTCTTTAGGATGAAGAATGCGAAGGGAGGGGATGATGTTACGAACTAGAATATAGATGGATGGAGCGGGCGCTTATAAAGGTGTGAGGATATAATAGTAGGGTTGCGACAAGATAAAGAACCACCAAGCCGCTTAGATAGTAGTCACGTGATGTGCTCAGCTGCTCAGGAGCCCTGAGCAGCCGAACAGCCAAGGCAGATCACGTGGTATGCTTAGCTGCTCAGGAACCCTAAGTAGCTGAGCAGATATCATATATAGGAACTTAAGTATGAGCTCTTATACTCGTGTTCAACCTATTTATCAATCTATCGTTTGAATTACACTTAGGCCATATTGTTGACTCGTTACATATCTTCTGATACTATCGTATTAACAAGACCCCTTCCCTTCCCTCAGTTGTCTTGCCCGAGAACCAACCCAAACCCTTTAGGACTAGCTACCCTTCTGGATTTAACAAATACTAAGTAATACTCAGTTACTAATTTTTATAACACTGACCTGAGCCGATGCAGCTATCCCTTACGCTCGAATCACTAAATATCCGCAAGGTCCGAACCTAGTCTAGGTAAGTGGATACCCCTTGTAACACCCGTGCATACAATGACGTATTGGATGTTGCATGATCCATAGTTAGACTGTAGTGTCACCGTAAACGGTATGGGTATGTCTGTTGATAGCTCTCGAGGTTTCTGTTCACAGGCGAAGTCGCCATCGAAAGACAAGACTGCACCGACTCGAGCCCCATTCTCAGGTAGTAAATTCGCAGTGAAATTATGTCTACCACCGCAAGAGCTTTGGTATGTCTTGTTTGCGAAAGGGCCTATCTCCCGTGCACAATTAAGCGAAAATGTGCTAGCGCCAATCAGGAGAACGTTCTGGGTCACTTTTAGAAAGACAGCTTTGTGGTCTTGTTGCATGTGATTTGCCTTCTGATTGAATCGATAGGGTGTGCGATAGCCTTTGCTGTGGGAAATCCGGTCTGGCCATGCATCCTTCCATTCCTTCAAACCTGTGATATCAGGTACACGAGTGGCACTGTGATGTCCGGAAGCAACCACAAGAGCATCAAAATCCTAGAAGATCAACATGGAGTTTTCAAGCTTTTCAACAAACACGTACCTGAGTCCCTGAAGTGGTAGAGAGGGTCTACGGTTCCCCTTCCCCATTCAGTTCCATGGTGGAATAGCTCAAGCGCCAAATCTTGTCGACTTTGCAGGCATTTGTGACTTTTGTCCAGTAAAAAGTACGAGAACCAACTCTGTTAGATCTCGCTAGGTCCTGAATATATTTCAACAGGATAACATGGCATACGAAATTTTGCTGTTCCGGGAGGAAACTCGACGACGGTTGTTTGCAGCAATCGGGTAGAGACGTTGTTCGTCAGTCCCTGATAGCGAGCACTAGAAGAGAAGTAAGAATCAATCATAAATTTCACAGGCAAGTCAATACCGACCTTGGGGGACAATGCTAAAGGTACTGATCTGAGCTTGGCACATACTTTTGACCCCTGGAAGCCGATATTGATGGAAAGTAGGGATCAATGCGAGTGCATTTGTGAAAAACCCTGTGTTATCTATCCGGTCTGAAAATCCTCGACAGAGTCAACTCACCAAGTTCCTCCTGGTTTGGAGAGCCTTTCAAAGACAATCACCTCAATGCCAGCTTTGAGTAAATGAGCCGTGGTAACAACACGGCTAAAACCTGCACCAACGATTCTGACTCGTAGAAATCGGTCTTTTGTGATTTTCAACACAGAATCTGGGTTGATTAGACTTGGCGGCATTCTAATCGAAGGTGATAAAGTATTTGCACCGGGAGACTTTAGCGTTCTTAAAGAAAGAAGATCATAGCTAGAAGCTTAAGACCACCGGGTTCGTGAATCAACACGCACTGTCTTCTGGGTCAAATTCGTATAGCAGCTAACGGATATAGTAGCTGATTCTCTCCCTATCTGATTACTGGCTGGCAGCACGTGGTCCGCAACCCCGTCGGCTGAGAACGCGCGGAAGCCGAAGGGAACCTCCAAACGCCTTGTATGACTGATCAAAATCCGGGCCCAGTGCAGTAATTTCACGTGTTCAGTTTGCGCTGCACCACCTCTCTCAACAGTCAAAAGGGCTGAGTCCAAGTGCTTAGCTACAGCAGGTACTTCTGAATTCGGGGAGAGCCGGCTCGATATCCGGTTTGCATGACGGGCATATCCTTCGACTAGTTTCTGCTTCTTCCAACTAACGGTAGTTGTGCTTATGTTGCAGTGGGCTGCAAATATGAGAGTCGTTAATGTTCCTATTCTACTCGTTTGGAACTGCTCAGAGACATGAACTTCCAGCCTGCTGAAACGAACGCGACACCAATAATCCCGTAAAGCAACATATAGACTGCCCCCCGGTTCTCTTAGGATAGGAGATACGTCATCCGTATCCCTTGTGGTGGAAACTCTGTTGGGTACAACGACCCAAGCAGCCCCAGTCCCGTTTGTTGCAAAACTGAGATGCCTGTTCGATGAAGGGTATCTAAGAAACTACTGAGGAGGCACCGAGTATGCGAGTCAAAGTGTGATCTTTGAAGGGTGAGCCTTGCAGTAAGCTACGCGAGTGGCAGATGTGCCGTGCACGGGACACTTCTTCACTGGACATAAGTATTCAGGCTTGCGAAATTTTTGCAGATTGCTCCGAGTGGAACGGGATGTGGATCTGCTCAAGCCAGGAGTGAAGACCTGGAGGGATGTATCTCACGTGACACCGAAGCGGCGGGCGTGTTCAGGGTCCACTTGCCTGCCTTATCGATAGCGCCTAGGTCGCTGTTCGGATACGTTTCGTGTCCACAACTGACACTGCACGCCAGAAAGAGCCACCACCAAATCAGACCTCTCTCGCGCCCGAACACGTTTGAAAGCAGTCCCCTCACCTCGAACTCGAACTATCTCGAATCTAGCCATGGAGTCTGCCGACACATTCACGCTTCTGCCACTGACGATGGATCCGGCCACCAAAGCCATTTCCGCCAACCCCGCCAACGCAGCGCTGCAGAATGAACTCGAGGCCCTAAACGCGCTGCACCGCGGTCTCATAAGCGCCGGCACACCAACAGGCACCCCACCGCCACCGGTGCCTGTGAACCCCACCCGCAGCGCTCAAATCGGCAAGCTTAGGGAGTCCGGCAACAATGAGTTTCGCAAGGGCAACCATGCACAGGCAGTGAAGCTATACGGCCTCGCAATCGACATGGCGCTTGGTCGGCCACACTGGGAGCCGTCGGGGTTGGTGCGCGAAGAAGTTAGCGGCCTCTTGAGCAACCGCGCACAGGCAAACATGGCGCAACAGAACTGGCCCGAGGGCGCGGTGGATGCGGAGGCGAGCGTGGAGATGAAGAAGGCAGACAATGCGAAGGGATGGTGGAGGCGTGGCAAGTGCTTGCTGGAGATGGGTCGATTGGAGGAGGCGGAGACATGGGTCAGGCAGGGCCTTGAGTTTGGCGCCAACGAGCCGGATCTGGTGCAGCTGAAGCAGGAGATCGAGAAGAGGAAGGCTGGGAGCGTGTAGATAAGTGAGCGTAGGGCCATGGGCCAGGTGTCTTGTGTGACTTTTGCATATTGCGCGGCGTTCGGGCGAAGCGGGTCAAGCCATGGCGAGACGGTTACACACTCTCAAAATGCTCTGTTTACAGCAGCGAGCTCAGCTGGGAGGTTTGATTGCTGCATTATCACGAGATCAGACGTTCCAAACAATAACTGGACGACTTCTAACGTTCTTATAGTACTTATGTATCGCAAAGTTTTGTTCATAAGGCTCGCTACTAAAGTCGGCTCGAACATGCCTTGTTTGCGATATTTATCGTGGACAAGTAGGATATATGTGAGGTGTCTGGTCAATCCATGCGAAATGTTGTATCCAGTGGAAACGCATGGTCTGGCCGCGGCCGCGCGAGCCCCTGCACTTGCACCTGGTTGCGTCAGGCGCGACCCACTTTAATTGCCAAGATATCATGAAGCAGCCGCAGGCCTCATTGCCATCCAACCAACCTCTGTCGTCGTCGACAACCTCAACCGCGTTTCTTCCCACATCGGACTATCCTCGTCGTGCTCTGCAACTTGAATATTGCTTGCGCATCCTTGCCAAAGCTTCTACTCAACCGTTGGGGTAATTCGCCTCCGAAGCAGCTCCGCGAACGCCGCTCAACCGCCTACCCCACAGCCACCATGGTGAAGCCGCTGGTTTCTGCGATGAATGCGTGGACATGGTACACACGCCCGTCAAGATGATCTCGAGGCCTCTGTCAATTAACACGTCTCAGCATCGTCGTGTCCGTATTCGCTATCGTCATCCTCTCCGTCATAGGCGCCCTATTTAAAGTACGTCGATATTCTCAGCCAGCCTACACCCAGGACTGCCGTCTCAAGCCGTGTTTAGATCAGGCGGTTATAACAGCATCAAATGTTTGGGATGGATGAATGCTAACGCTGAGTCCGCAGACGAACAGCCACACGATGATGGGATCCAAGGAAGACCCGTCCGATGGTGGCGCTGTAGCAGGCGCCGTGTTCGGAGCTGTCTTTATATACATCGTACGCACTGAGAAGCTTTAGGTGAGAAAATAGTGCTAACTTGTTTCAGGGGTTCTTCGTTTTCTGCGGTTTCCAAGCCCTGCTCCACATGCGCGAAGCTCGCCGCGGCGCGATAGCACTGTCATAGTCTGATACTCGATGCAAATGCGAGGATATGTATGAACTTGAAACTGTAACACGTGTAGCGGAGCGAGGCAGGTTTAGACACACGGACATCTTTCTGATATCCAGCGTGGCGGCACATCGTGAATGACGATGGCCAACCGCGTATGGGTGGCTTACGCCGTGGCGTTTGAATGGCATTATGAACTGGGCTTATAATATCCAGCATTGATTTCAGGGTTGCTTGTAGAAATCTAGGTTTTAGCGCAGCAATTTGCGATCAATACATCTATCTTAAACCACGCCTTCATGTCCCCAGTTCCAGCGCCTGCAATGCAGCATGTTTTCGTACCCAAACGCCATTCCCGCAGCATCTCACGGACCTTACCATTCTCTCAACCAGTCCGGCTCCAGGGTCTTACTCATGTATGGCCCATCAAGCCAATAACCCAGCTTAGCATAGTAGCTTCTCACACCAACTCCGGATATGACGCTAATCTTGCTACTGCCATGCTCCTCCCGCGCGATTCTTTCTGCTTCTTCCATCAACAACGTTCCGTAGCCCTGATGCTGGAATTTCTTCGGATCTCGCGCATGCACCGGCACAGCACTACCATAAACATGCAGCTCCCTTACCAGACTCGTAGGCTGTCCCGTTAGCTCTTCGCGGAACGTGTGTTCCTTTGAACACTGGCGGAGTCGTAGCAAAGCGATGAGAATGTCTTGCTTTGGATCTTCGTAGGCGAGGAAGGTCTCCCAGCCGCCGTTTGCCGTGTAGTCGCGGCGCACAAGCTCGACTTGGTCAGGGCGGATCTTGTGTTTGACTTCGTTGATACCGACTTCGCGTGTGCGTACGTCGCGACATGTAGTCCCGAAGTCTTTCATGCGTGCAAGCGCAAGCTCCCTCAGGTTCCCGTTCTCAACACCAGAAGTAACGAGCGGCATCGGGATATCTCTCTGTACGCGGTAGATCCTGGTCCACGGTGGCACCAACGCCAGGATCCGCGCAACAATATCGATGAGCGCGTTGGGCGTGTAGTTCTTATATCTGCCGGTTCTCCACAGCTCATAAAGTCCCGTGCCGCGAATGACCAGGGTGGGGTAGATCTTGAGGCCGTCCGTGCGGAAATCAGGGTTCGAGAAATACTCTACGAACTGGTCAAGGTCGCGTTCCATACCCACGTTGGGCAAGTCTGGCATCATGTGGGAGACAACCTTGAAACCAGCATCTTTGGCAAGACAAAACGTTTTTGCGACAGCGGCAACAGTGTGACCGCGATTGGTATCGCGGGCTACGTCTTCGTAAAGGGACTGCACACCGATTTCCAGCCTAGTACATCCGTACCGGAGCATCGACGAGAGATGCTGGTCAAGGCAATAGTCTGGCCGTGTTTCAATGGTAATTCCTACGCATTTGATGTTACTCATTTCACCGGCAGCAACGGCTTCGTCCACATTCTTGGTTTGGTAGCCTGATAGCGCGTTGTGTAGCTGCGAGATGAACTCGTCGCGGTAAGATTCTGGAAGCGACATGAACGTGCCGCCCATGATGATATACTCCACTTTGTCAACGCTGTGGCCCAGGGCCTTGATTTGATCCACACGGCCACGTGCTTGCTCATACGGGTCGTACCGAGCGCGAATGGCGCGCATGGAGGTGGGCTCGTAGCCCGTGTAAGACTGAGTAGAGTACTCGAAATCGGAGTCGGGGCCACCGGGACAGTAGACGCATATGTTGCCTGTGTATGAAATATGCGGGCATCGATGCGGTTTGCACATCACCGCCACTACTGCAATACCAGAAGAGGTCCGGATAGGTTTCGCGATCAACTTTGGCAGGATGTATTTCTTGTAATGCTCGGGCACGGCGGCAATGATGGCTGTTAATGGGGGCTGGCTCTTCAGGTAATGCTTCTTGGCGATCTGGCCTCTCAGATGATTCAAGTTCAGGTCCTTCTTGGGCTTGGATCCATCGGCTTGCGCTTCATAATCCTGGATGAGGGCGGAGGCAATGTCCGCACAAGCGCGCATATATCGTTCATTTTCCGGTGGCAATTTGATGTTCTTGGGCAACCGATTGTGCCGGGGTCTGCTGTCTGTGAGGGTGACGGTCGCCATGGTGTATCACTTGCAGTAATGTGATTGTCTGTGGCACGGCGAGCGTTGCGGCTCTGCTCTGCAGTCCTTGTGGAGTCGGTGGGGTGCGATTTTTGGGGATTTACGATGGCAGGCTAACCCCATTCGACTTAGCGAAAGACCCTCGCGCTGCGTCTTGAATATGACGTCCAGTGGGATACACCTCTTCAACGCTGTCTACTTCGAACGCGAACGTATTGCAGTCGATGAAGCAAACATTTATTTGACAATGGCAAGCTATGAATTATATGGTTCGTCAAGGCTGTCTGTATCCCAGGTAGCATTGCACTCGCAAAGGCTCCGTGCCCGATGTGGACCTGGAAGAAAACGATGATCTGAACGATGGTGCAGGGAAAGGATTTGTCATTGGGCTTTGGGGACCAAGATATGCATGCTCTATGTTCCGAGGCTTAAGGATATCCATCGGCTCTTGTGGAGGTGCTCTGCACTTGCGTTACCTGGGTGCAGTGTCCTCCATGTGATGGTTGTATACTCAGGGGCAGATGCGCAGAGTGGCGTGCGGACGACTCCAGCGCGTTCGTTCTCTTCATGCTGGCTCCGTGAACTAGTCTAAAAGATGGCCGCGTGCGATAGAGAGACGGGTGCATGGCGAGGCATTTTCGTGTGAAGTCGGGAGCTCAGACGCTACCGGCCGAAGCAAGCTGTAAAGTTTTAGATTGGCGGCCAAGCTCCGAAAGAGCACCCGTGCAGAGCGCACTCCCTCCGCAACAACCCCCATCCAAACCGCCCTCGATCCATCCATCCGCCTTCTCCAGCACACGTCTGCTTGCGTGACTCTACGACGTCACGATGCAGGCCATACGACGACCCCTGAGCTCGGCGCTGCGGAAAGCAGCCGCCAGGAACACCTATGCGACGAGCTCCACGCCCTATGCCGATACGGTCAAGAACCTGCGCATCAACAGCGACACCAAGGTGCTGTTCCAGGGCTTCACCGGAAAGCAGGGAACGTGAGTTGCAATGCAAACGCGTGCGGCGCGGCCCATGTTGACAGACGGACAGCTTCCACGCCCAGCAGGCCATCGAGTACGGTATGCGCTACGACCCTGACTGCACCTGCACCTGCTTTTGCCTCGTTCGCTCCTTGCGCAAGGACCCAATTGACCTGGACATGCAGGCACAAACGTCGTCGGCGGCACGAACCCCAAGAAGGCCGGCACCGAGCATCTCGGCAAGCCCGTCTTCGCGACCGTAGAGGAGGGCGTCAAGCAGACTGGCGCGACTGCGTCTGCCATCTTCGTCCCGTACGCACCCCTTTGACCAAGGTTGCGCTCCCCGCTGATTCCCATCTAGCCCTCCGCTTGCGGCCAAGAGTATTGAGGAGGCGCTGACCGCTGAGATTCCTCTCGTAGTATGGTAGGTTGCCCTGCGTCTCGCGCGCAGGCCAAAGCTAACAACCCGGCACAGCATTACTGAGGGCATCCCCCAACACGGTACGATACTCTCTGCTGCGCCAGTATTACAATGTGCTGACACTGCCAGACATGGTCCGCATCACCGACATGCTCAAGTCGCAGAACAAGACGCGCTTGGTCGGCCCCAACTGCCCCGGTATCATCGCACCTGTACGCCCTGCCATCATCTGCTCCACCGTGCAATCCTAACGTGTTCCCAGGGACAATGCAAGATCGGCATCATGCCCGGCTTCATCCACAAGCGAGGCCGCGTGGGCATCGTCTCCCGCTCCGGTACCCTCACCTACGAAGCCGTCAACCAGACTACCCAAGCCGGCCTTGGCCAGTCGCTCGTCGTCGGTATCGGTGGTGACCCATTCTCCGGCACCAACTTCATCGACTGCCTCAAGGTCTTCCTGGAAGACGAGGAGACCGACGGCATCATCATGATCGGCGAGATTGGTGGAAGCGCCGAAGAGGACGCCGCCGACTTCCTCAAGCAGTACAACACGGCCAACAAGCCCGTCGTCAGCTTCATTGCCGGTATCTCTGCGCCGCCGGGCCGGAGAATGGGCCATGCGGGTGCCATTGTCAGCGGTGGAAAGGGCGACGCCAACTCCAAGATCACCGCCCTCGAGGCTGCTGGTGTTATCGTCGAGCGCTCGCCTGCCCGTCTTGGCAAGGCTTTGTACGACCAGTTTGTGAAGCGCGACTTGATATAATGGGCCGCCCTGCCTGTGTGATGATGTCTGTTCCTTTGGGTTGTAATCTGGTTAGAGCGAGTATCTAGGTTTTGGCAGACTGAGATGGCTGTACCCATCACGTCCAGTGTATATTTAGTCCGTTTAGAGCAATGCAACCCGTCTGCATCGAAACACGCATGCAGTCTCGTACACAATCCATGGGAAACGCATGTGTATCTGAAAATGCATGTGGTCATAGCTCAATATTTTCCCAACTTCCAAAATCTCCCCGCAACACCTCCGAACTTCCACATTCGCATCGCATTCTCTCGAGACCATGTCCAAGACCAAGACGAAACGCGCACGCCGTGAACTCAAACGTGACGCAACCCGCAAAATTGCAAATTTCCAGAAAGCCGCCGCAAAATCTGTCCCAAAGCCATCCGCACCCGCCGCGAAGAAGCAGAAACCGAACAACGACCCAAAACCTCCCGCCACTGCTGTGCCTAAACCGCCCGTCCAAGCCTCACAGAAGCATGAAGTACCATTCGGCACGTACGACCACATTCTCCTCGTCGGAGAAGGCGACTTCAGCTTCACCAAGTCCCTTGTATCCGAGCACGGGTGCGCAAATGTAACAGCCACGTCCTTCGACAGCGACGAGGAAGTGCGGGCGAAATATCCCACCTTTGCAAGCATACACGACGAGCTGAGCGCGCTCACACCACCCGTACCATTCCACTCCAGCGTCGACGCTACGAAGCTCGGTTCCTACAAAGCCTTGCGCTCGTCGGAGGAGCGGGAAGGCGGCTGGGACACGATCGCATTCATGTTCCCGCACACGGGCGGTCTCTCTACGGATGTGAACCGCCAGGTGCGCGCCAACCAAGCGCTGCTCGTGGGCTTCTTCAACTCGTGCCTGTCGGCGCACAAAGGGCGGCCGTTTCTGCGCGACGGTGGGCGGGTGCTGGTGTGTCTGTTTGAAGGCGAGCCGTACACGCTGTGGAACGTGCGGGACCTGGCGCGACATGCGGGGCTGAAGGTGGTGGAGAGCTACAAGTTCGACTCGAAGGATTATCCGGGATATGCGCACGTGCGGACGTTGGGGGCGATCGAAGGGGGTGGTGCGTGGAAGGGGGAGGATAGGAGGGCACGGATGTTTGTTTTTGAGAAGGTGGGGGAGAAGAAGAAGGAGGAGGAGGAGGGGGAAAAGAAATGGGGAAAGAAGAGGGCGAGGGACGAGAGCGAGAGCGACTCGGATGAAGGCTGAAGGGATACGGTGCAGAGCTTGATTGTACGATTTTAAAGAGGATAGGTTTCACTCTCCTGAAAGTGTTCCTTCAGGGACGACAGCGTCGGCTAGGTGTGAGGAATTGAGCCAGGACCGAGCAGCGACAGGTTCTCCGAGTGCTAGGATTCACGTCGAGGAGCTTGGAGATACGTAAAGACGGTGTGCTTCAGCCATCGATGCTGACCTTTCGAGCGATCTGGGAGATGTCGCAAAGCCCGAGGATTGAATCACAATGACCTGCCGCAGCATCTGCCATGGCAGTCTCAAACAACGCAGGCGCGCCGTAGACATTGAGAGAGAAGAAGCAGATGAGGGATTAACATCAGGAATACACGCGGTGTCTGTTGGAATGAATGAATACTGTCGCTCCCGTGCCGAAAAGGTATGATGACGCCTCTCGCTATGCTCAAGTAAGACCCATAAACACCCACTGTTCTGCCCCATGAAGACCCTTGGCCAGTATCGCTCACATAATGAACACCTTCCTCACCTCATTCTCCCCCCACTTCATCCCACCTAAACCTTCTACTGGATCTCTTACCCACCCAGGCTCAACCCCAACTTTGTTACAAAACACTCTTAATCGCTCCTTACCGTACACTCTGCCGTTGGGAAGTACCACCGGATCACTTTCCACCAAACTCTTGCTATGGTGAGCATATGGCACATTGCGCGCCAGTTCATTAAGCTCAGTGCTGCAAATGGGGCACACAGACGTGGATGTGATGCAGTGCGAGGATGAGGTGAGTGGCATGGTAGTGGGGGCTGTGTAGGCAGAATGACAAGCGGGCGTTTTGAGTGCGGACAGACCGGCTGAGAGCGCGATGTGGAGCAGAGGTCTGGGCGGAAGAGAGTAGAGCGTGTGGTGGGTTGTCAGGAACAGATGGGCGAGATAGGTCCAGCGAGAGTCAGAGTAGAGCTCCTATTTCTTGTATTAGCTCCTGTCACGCCGCTGTTATACCGGGGCAACGAACACTGTAAGGTTTGACGTCGTCCCAGGGTCGATACGCCAACAAGCCCGCGGCCTTTCCCAGAAGCGCAAAATCCCCACTCGCACTCAGGTACTTCTTCGCGTGCGCTCTGGCTTCGACCAACTTCTCCTCGCCGGCTCTGGTGGACGTTCCGTCAAGTGTGACGCCATTTAAGCCGTCCATGTCTGTGTCTACGTCCCCCACGCCCGCCTGGTGTCCCAGGCGCACCAACTCGATGTATTGCTGCAACCTAAGCTCAAACTCCAACATGCTTCCCTGCTTCTTCAACTCTTTGCTGTTTTCCTTGCACCAGTTCAGCGCCAGACTCGTGTTTCTCTCCTCCCTCAGGCTCTTCTCGATCTTGTGGCAGGCGACAAAGGCATCAACGTCGACCAACTCCTGGATGCCCTGGCTCGCTGCCAGGTGCGCCGCGCTCTCCGAGTAGCCTTCCCTCAACAAGTAGTCGACCAGCAGCCGTGACAAGCGCGTCCTGCTCCATTCGTCGTACTTGACATCGACGAGGCTTTGTACCTCATACAAGTCCTGCAGGTGCCGCAAGCGCGCGCGGTTGGACTTGTGTATGCGCATCTCCTCGTCATGCAGATGCTCAAGTTTCCGCTTGAGGCCCTGCATCTTTGAGATTATGCTGTCGAGCGAGCTGAGGGCAGCATCGGGCGTCGGGGTCTTGGAGGCTGTCTTTGCGGCGGCGGTCAGGGACGAAAGGACGTCCTTGGTGCTGTTCTCGACGTAGCGCTGGGCATTCTTTTGGTTCCGCCGCGACAGCTCATGGGGCATACGGAGGAGGGGCTGGTCCTGCGTGGCGAGCGGTTAGCCTTGGATGCGCGCTCGCGAGGCGTGCTGGCGTACCAGGAGCAGGTGCGACTCGGCGTTGAGCTTGGTTGTGGTAAGCTCCGCCATGACGGGCAACACTGGTTTGCTTTCAGAATGGGAGCGAGGTATCCGGATCCGGCTCTGGTGGTAAACCGGGGTTATAACGGGGCTGATCAATGGCCGTGGAGCGAGTTGTGCGTTGTGGTCATGGAGGTGTGCGCGTGCGGAGGAGGCTCCAACTAAGCCGCGGGGTGAGCCGGCGAGCGTCACAACCCACCGCTCACCCTTCGGCGCGTGCTCGACCTTCACCCACCCTGCGCTTGTCACGTCAACCCAGCGCTCACTCATCAAACATCAACTGCACCCAAGCTTGTGTCTTCACAGCACCACGCGCACGTCTTGTTCTACAAGATGTCATTTTGTCATCAAACGCATGTCTATGAACGCCTCTAAGTCCCAATGCATCGTGAAGTGCAGCATGTCCAGATGCTCTTGCCCCCTTCCGTGAGGATACACCTGGAGCGGGACCAGCGAGCTGCTTATTCCTGCAAACCTACTGCATGCATTCAGCTCCTCGTAACTTTTAAATAATCATGCCCCAATTCGCAGCTCAAACACGCATGCAATCGCTTCTACTGTTAGTCCAAACCCGTTCCTCACTTCAGGATACCATCCTTGATCATCTTCTTCTGGAGGTGCTGCTTGTATTCGGTAATGGAGCCCTCCCACTTGCGCACCGTCTTGTGTTCGCACACCATGATGTCCTTTGCGATCTTGTCGAGCAATCTGACACTTGTTAGTGACACCCATAGCATAACACGTACAAGCCATCAAACTCACCGGAAGTCGTGGGACACGACGACAACGCCACCGCTGAAAGCGTTGATTGCGTCCGCCAAACTGTCAATCGTAGGAATGTCCAAACCGTTGGTAGGCTCATCGAGCAGAATCATGTTGGGACTCTCAATCGCCAACAGCGCGAAAACGATGCGGCTCTTTTGGCCTTCGGACAGCGTAGCCATCTTGGCCGTTTGCCCTTCACCAGTCATACCGTAGCGGCCAAGCTGTTGGCGCCAGTACTGGAGGTCCTGGGAAATGTGGGAGAACTTGTCACGCACAAAGTCGAGAGACGACTTCGTGAGATCGAGCTGTTCAGCCGAGTGCTGGCTGTATACGCCGAGCTTCAGATGCGTGTGTCGAGAGACGACACCAGAAGTCGGCGAGAGCGCACCCGTGAAAATCTTGAGGAGGGTGGATTTGCCGACACCATTGGGTCCGACAAGGGCTGTTCGGGAGTCCATGTCGACACCAAAGTCGAGGTTCTCATACAAGTTATCTTCGGGCTTTCCCGAGTAAGAGAAGGTTACGTCGTCGAGCGCGAGCACAGGAGGAGGAAGCTTCTCAACATCAGCGAAGCGGAAGGTGAAGACTCGGTCGGGAATGACGGGCTGAATGAAGCCGTCGGCCTCCATCTTGTCGAGGATCTTCTGCCGGGACTTGGCTTGTCGGACCAAGTTGGCGTATGTACCAGCGGAAGCGATGAACTTTTTGATGTGCTTAATCTCATCCTGCTGCTTCTCGTAGGCCTTCATCTGGTTGACCTCCTGCTCAGTGCGCGTCTTGGTGTAGGTGTCGTAGTTACCACCATAGTACAGAAGCTGCTTCATGCGCATGTCGATCATATTGGTGCAGACTCCGTTTAAGAAGTCCATAGAGTGCGAGACGAGAATAAGGGTGCGGTCCCACTTCTTCATGTATTCTTCCAACCACACACAGGCTTCCAAGTCCAGATGGGCAGTCGGGTCATCGAGCAACAGAAGCGAGGGCTTGACGAAAAGGGCCTTGGCGAGAGCGACTCTCATCTTCCAGCCACCGGACATGTCCTTGGTCTTCTTTTGGATTGTCTTCTTGTTAAAGCCGAGACCAGTCAAGATGATACCAGCACGAACGTGGAAGGTAGAGGGGTCCATCTCCTCTTGTTTCTTTCACGCAGATTAGCAGGGAACGACGGGGATGATGGGGAAACACCAACCTCGTAAATCTCCTCGAGAATGGGACTCTCCGGGCCTTCCTTCTCAAGAATATCCTCAGCGAGCTTCTCCAGACGGGCGAGCTCGTTTTCGGCCTCACGGACAACCCAGTCAAGAGCGCCGAGCTCAGTAGCGGGCGCACCCTTGTCCAGTAGGTAAATGTCGATGTGCTCGGGGAAGGGGAACTCGCGTTGATCGATGGCCTTGAGCAGCGTCGACTTTCCGCAGCCGTTCTCGCCAAGGAGACCATAGCGGCGGCCGTAGTTGACCTCGAGAGTCGTGTCGTTGAAGAGGACGCGGCCGTGGAACACAAGCGACGCCGAAGTGATCTTGACGTCTCGCGATGCCGCGAGGGAGGCCAGCACACCGGTGGTGACACGGTCCGAGATGCCGAGCTTGTCTGTCTGCGCGGTGAGGGCCTTAACCTCATCGTTCATGTCCAGGTCCTCGACATCGCCATTTTCCGAGTTGGCCTTGGAGGCATTCTTGGAGGCGGCCTTGGAGGAGACCTTGGAGGCAGGAGTCTTCTTGTCCTTGCCGGCGGCGGCACGCTTGGCCTCGCGGGCGGCTTTGGATGCGGAGACCATGTTGGGTGTATGTGTGGAGTGGAGGGTGACGGACGAGGGGCGACGAAATTTCGTGAGACTCAAATTGCCCCGCTAAGGCTGCCTTATCGATAGGCCCTGGTGAATTCGCAAGCTACGTCGTGCGGTGGAGCGCCGTGATTCCGCAAACTGAGAGAGACGAGGGCGCAGCACAGTGAGAGGAACGTACAACAGCCGGGGGAGGCAGAAAGAAAGCGTGCGTGAAAGGTCAGACAAACGCAGCGTCGATTTTTCGTAGAGTGGCGCGGGGTGCATGCACGGGCCAACGAGTGAGCCTCCGCCACCATGTGCCTGCGAGGAACCCTTGTGCCCATCCTGCGAAGACCTCGCTGCTTGTGGAAATCCAGCACATCGCCAACGCCACGCTCTCGCCGAGTTTCTTTGCGTGCCCTCCTCCTGGGCTGATGTGAAAATCCGCATGCACTGTGTAACTGGAGTTCAAATTGTGTTCTTCATTCATCAGACCACGCATGTGCCTAGCTACGTCACGCTTCAAAGGACTGGTGCTCATTGGTTCTTGCTTTCTCGTTCACGTGGACACCAGCGATGCAGGTTCAGGTCAAAGTTCCAGTCATGGATAAGGACATGAAGGCGCTCCAAGCACCAACAGTCTACAGTCTACCAAAGCTGTCTTTGCTATGCAAATCGAACATATGGATCTCCAAATGCAGCATGTACTCTCCTGCAGAACGCCTCGCAATGCAAACGATTTTCCCATCTTCGCCAACGACACCATCGCTCAACTGATTCACGGGTCAATGACTAGGGACCATCGTCATGCTCGCACTTGATCCGCTCGAAATCGAATGCCGCGACGACACCAACGAATCCCCTGCAAGTCTATGTCGCAGCCGTTCGAGCAACTCTGATTCCTCGCTGCTAAGCGCCAGCGTGTCTGGTAACGTGACGCCGCTTCCAGAGATAGTGATCTGCAATATTTTTTCTTCACTTTCCGTCTCCTCCAGGTGCTCGTTCCTCTCTTGGAGGCCCCCAGTACCATCAGGTCCAATTTCAATATCCTTTTCCCGCGCTTCGCGAAGAGACAGCGGAGTCCACCAGTAGATTGGAAATTGCCGTTGTATGTTGTTGATGATCAGGCCGACGATGAGCATCAGGAGGACCCCAAGCATGATCAGGCCCACGAAGTACCAGCCCATCTAGTTGCGTTAGCAAAATAACGATCACTACAAAGCCTCTCTATTCCGGTGTTATGAATACCTCCGTAATCTCTGGCGAAGTCGCAGCGAGGACCGCAGAAGCGCCACCTGGCGGATGGACTGTGCCTGTGAGGAGCATAGCAGCGGAGGCTATACCGCACGAAACTGCGCCTGCTATCCATTTGATCTTTTCGAAATCCGAGCGAAGACGGAAGAGCTTCGTAATCCCGACCCCAATAACGGCGGACAAGGTATGCCCAAGAAGAGCATTACGCGGTTGCCCTAGCGGTGAGCGGATCGCGTTGTATTCTAAGATTGCCGAAGCGCCCTTCTCAAGGTCAGCTCACGGACGAAAGAATTCAACGCGGTGCGTCGTGGCTCGCGTTGATAGATATCAATGACACATTTCCCAATTTGTGACTCGAGTGCATATCATGTCGGGATGATCGTACACTCTGTATCGCTCGACTTCACTAGCCGTACTAAGCATAAACAGAACAGAGTGTACTTACGTATGAGGCTATCAATGCAGGTGGGTGATGCATTTGTATAATTTTGGTGTTGTTGAACACCGCAGCAACCACGGCCAATCCGCAAAAGGCACCCAGCAACGACCAGAAAGCTCCTAAGACATTCCCGACATCCTGCTTCTGATGTTGCCTATACCCGAGAAACCTGGAAATTGGTGGTGGTAACCGGTGAAGTGGAGAAGGAGGGATAATTCGATTGATATGGCGGTCAATGTCGACATTCCACGCCTCCGCTTCGCGGACGAATGCCATTGAGACCAAGTCAAGGTGTCGGGCGTTCAACTGTCAGAGCCCCCAGTCAAGCAAGCAAAGAGAATCGGTCGGCAAGGGTCCGGTAGATATCGACTGGGAAGCTAGGGTCTTGTATCGTCGCCGGTGTGAGTGACGCAGGGAAAGGTCACCAGGGTGGGCTACGTGCTTTCACAGTTGACCGCCAACACGCCTGCGCACGCGTAATAAACGAAAGAGCACAATGCCGCCATCTCGGAGCGCCCTGGGAAGTCCGGATGTTCTGCATCACGAGCATGACGCAGGACGATCTGGCGGCGGCACCGGGACCAACGCTGGGCGTCTGACCATATATGGGTTTCTGTTACCAAATAGCGGCCTAAAGGAGGAAATTCGTCTCTAGGCAAGAACATTGAAATCGTCCATCTCCTCGGCTCCGCGGCGACGACCACAGATTTTTTTTCGCATGTCGTGAATTAAGATTCTGCGTTCTGTCTCGCGCATCGCTGTGTTTCTTGTGGTGCTGTGGTGTTCGCGGAAAGGTGCATGCTACGTCAGGTACTAGGCACGCACAGTCTATCCATGAGAAAAGTAGATATGGTAATCAGTAGGCGCCGCGTAGATAAAGTCCAAAGATAACGAAATTGATGACTGCATGGTAAAAGTTACCATATGTTAAAGGTCGAGATGTCAAGTGCTCGAAGTCGGAGCGAAGGCTGACAAGAATCCGGGGAAGCGGGCGATCCACCCCGCGATGCTTGGCAGGTCCACCATATTACTTGTCAGCGTGCACGCAATGGTCTACAGAAATCATGACATGCAAAGCTGGACAATGTGTGCTTGTGGTAGCCAGCAAACTGCAGGACGGATATTAAAAAACGAACGTGCAACGGATACATGACTATAATGTTCACTATTCACTAATATCCAAGCGCCGTACAACCACCGGTAAAGACATCTCTGTGCACACATGCACAACGCCTGATGTGTAACGCCGCTTATGAGCAAGTCATGTGAAGGCTTTCAGTGCAATGCGAGCAATGATCGGTTCAAGTCGTCGCCCTTTGGTAACCCATCCCTAACGCCCAGTCCAGCTTGTATCATATCTTTCGTAACTGTATTGCTAGGTCGTTTTGTTCTTGTTGTTGTTGTTGTTGTTGCACCAGTGCGTATCATGCCCCTACACACCAACTGCTTAAGAGCCGCGGAAAAGGAACTGCAGATCTTCTGGACTCAGGCGGTCCATCGCGACCTTATCATTGTTGACAGTCCCAGCAATCATCGCTGCCTTCTTTTCTTGAAGAGCAACCATACGTGACTCTACGCTGTCTTCAATGCAAAGTCGAGTAATGACACAAGGCCGTTTCTGTCCAATGCGATGACAACGATCCGCAGACTGCCATTCGGCTGCAGGGTTCCACCATCTGAACTTGTCAGTGCATGAGCGCACAGATGCAAGGAGAGGAATTACTTACGGATCTACAATAAAAACCCTGGAAGCCTCCGTCAAATTGAGAGCAACGCCTCCCGCCTTAAGCGATACTAAGAACACCTCGACGTCAGGATTGGTCATGAAGTGTTCGATGCTCTTCTGGCGCATAGCGGGCGTCATGGACCCATCGAGCATGACGGTATTGAAGCCTGCGCGACGAAGGCGCCATTCGATCAACTGAAGCATCGAGGTGAACTGGCTGAACACGATTGATTTTAGTGTCTGTTTCTTGCTTCGGAGCTTGTAAAGATCATAGACAAGCATCTCGATCTTCGTAGACGATGTCCAGTTCTCCATCTTTATCCGATTGATGATCGAAGTCTTCTTCACAGAGTCCTCGTCTTGCTCAAGCTCCGGCTGTTCGAAATCGATCGAGAGAGCGATATGGCAGCGGGGACAATCGGCATCAGTGCCGGAAGCCTCGCAAGTGTCCATGAAATCCTTGACACATGCGCGGCAGAACTCATGATGACAGCGAGATCGCACCGCATCTTCGGCAGGCTCGTCGCAAATATTGCACACGTACACGTTTTGACTGCCTTCCGCTGCCTTCTTTTTCAAGAGCAAATCAGGATGATTGGCAACTTGACGCATTTGCATGATGAGACCGAAAATGTTAGCATAGTTGTTAAGCATGACACCTTGCGCAACGTAAGTGTCAAACTTCCGAGCGGAGTTCGACATGATGGATGTTGAGAAGTCTCGTTCGACTTCACTGAAAAACTCGTTGTGAATTACGATGTCCTTCATGGGCAATTCCATCGAGTTTGTATGATCGCGCTTCATGCGACGCAACATAATGCGAGCAGTGATCATATGCAGCTTACTCAAGGCATCCTCACGGAGCTCTGGATCATCACCGGTGATTGGGTTAAGCAATTCTTGGTTGAAGACGGAAATATGCTCAGAAGCTCCGTGATTGCATGCTTTGCACATGTGGTCTTCGTCGACAGTCCAATGTAGCTGCTCGCAGTCACAGCTTCGGCAAAAGTAGTCGGCGAAGGGTCGAACCTCAAGGAACCGCAGCAAGGAGAAGAACTCTCCTATCCGGTTCTGGACCGGTGTTCCGGACAGGCACCACTTGTAGGTGCCTTTGAGCGCAAAGCAAGCCTTCGCAACACCAGTCGTGCGCGACTTGATGCTGTGGGCTTCGTCCAAAATGAGCCGGTGGTAAGTGATGGCATGTAGAGGCGACGCTTCTTTGATGATATCCTCGCCACGCGTCCAGCCCTTGGTCTCCTTGCGATGCAGAGATTCCAAACTGTTGTACGACACCATGATAACATCGAACTTCCGCAGGTCTTTCACCGTCATCTTCTTACACTTGGCGTTGGTGCCGTGGTAAACGAGTACCTTTAGTTTGCCGTCTGTGTACTCGCCAATTTCGTTAGACCACTGCATCAAAGCTACAGGAGGAACAACGACCAGCGTAGGTTCTTTCTGTGGCCAATCTGACATGATGAGCGAGACAGCTTGGATCGTTTTGCCCATGCCCATTTCATCGCCAAGCAGACCACCTTTGTAAGCAGTCTTCTCTTGTCGTGTCATCCAGCTGAGGCCTTCAAGCTGGAAAGGTTTCAGACGGCGACTAATGGATTGGGGTTGTTTGGCTCGTTGCACTTCGAGTATTGGAACTTGCTCGAGCTCTTTCCACATAGTGAGCAGTTTTGGGTGGGATTCTTCTGCACGTTCGCGATTCATCGCACGCTTGCGTTCCCATTTGTCGGCAATGTGAGCGAATCGCGCATTACGGCGAAGGCGAGCCATTTTCTCTTCCCTCGACAGGCGCTTGTTCTTCTTGCCGCGTTGCTTTTTACCCAGATTTGCCTCTGTCGCAAGGGCAGCGAGGGCCCGTTTGCTGACTTTCGGCAGCTCTGCATCATCACTGTCGCTAACAGTGTCCGCGATATCTCCAAGCACGTCGTCGTCATCCAATACGGAATTCGCAGCATCCTCATCGTCCTGCAGCTTGAATTCGTCTTCATCGTCTGGATCGTCGTCCAGATCAGAGTCAAGCCCGAACGTTTTCACCGCCTTTGCACTAGCACGGGCTAAACGACCTCGTGTGGTTGCGGGTGCCTTGCCCTTGCCCTTTCCAGTGTATGCTGGTGTTGAGATAGCCCATGAGGCAGAGTCGTCCTCCGAGTCTATCCTGATCGGATCCTGACAGACAGCTTTGCCTTTGCCTTTCGAAGTTATCGCCCTTCGCTTCGCAAGTGGCTCGTCGTCCGACGACTCAACCGAGATGACATGATTGCGCTCCAGTTCATCTTCCTCTAGCTGCAGTTGCATCGCGAGCTGGGCATCAGCGTCCATGTCGTTATCCTCGTCTTCTGACTCCTTCACCATGGTGCGCGTTCGCTTCCGCGACGATGAAGCATCGAAGTCCACGGTTACAGTTGCATTGAGACCACTTTTACGGGTTGTCATTGCACTGCGACTGACCGAGAGCGCTGGTGTCGTAGAGATGCTAGTCCCTGGGGTGTCATAGTCGGAATTCTCAAATGACGGCGATCCGGTTGAGCTGTCATGCTCACGCTTGGATTTTACGTCTGAGATCTTCGTCGGTGGTATAGAAACTGCCTTGAGCAGTTGACGGGTCGAGCTGCGTGATGCAGCATTTTGTTCCGTCTCGATGATTTCGCCTTCAACGTCGGAAGAATCAGGCACGAAGGAGCGGGTGCGCCTTGCAGCAGGGCGGGAAATTTTCCGCACTTGAAATACAGGTCAGTTGCAGTCAAACATAAAAGCTTTTGAGAAGGGCAAGACTACCAGAAGAAGCATTCGGAGTGGCGTTCGTAGTACTCGCCATGTCGTCGGCATTGGGGAGAACTGATGATCTCCGGCTGGACCGTCGGGGTGCCATTGCTGCGAAGGGGAGCGGTCAACGAAGACCAGCGCGGCGATTGTGAGGTAGGGTCGCCGCGGGCGCAAGAGCGAGGCTTGCGAAAGTAAGAGGCACCAGCGGTGGTGAATCGAGGGCGGGATGCCCCTGGCTTGCGCCACCGATTGGGTCGCGTTGAAAGATGCGCGCGATCACGCCGGTGGTGGCGAATACTGGAAACAGAACCTAACAAGGGCAAGCAAGCAAAGCGATAAGTGCACGGCTTTGTGGGAGGACCGTGGCGACTATGTATGCATCATCGCTGCAGCGACGCGTGCAAGGCGCTTTCCTTTCTTAAATTGAGGGGCTATCAATCACCGTCGCGTCGTCGTCGCTGCCTGGCCACCGCGAAGTCACGTGTCCTCTTTAGATATCGATAAGGACGCGTTGCTTGTTCGGGGCCAATGCTGTACAGCGTGGAAGCATTTACAGCGATCCACGTTTACATGGTTTGCTTGCTCTGCGAGTGCAGTTCTTGGTAAAGGAATCTGACTTGTGGCGTATGCAAGCAAATCATAGCAGCATCGATCCCTGTCTTGAGAGTCCCAACATCGTTCGAAGCCGTGTACAATCTAGTTTCCACCCGTACAAGTGAGTCCTAATGTGCTGATGCGACATGCAATCGGAGAATCCCCAGCTGTCTCACGCAGTCTGAGGCAATTGACAGGCAAACATGTGGTCGGAGAAGACTTTGGATGCGGCTAGAAGGCGGCATGCCGACAAGGGTTAGGCTAGCGCCAGGGCCCCCTCAAGAACTGTGGCCTTTTGGCGCAGCTCCAAGCGCATCCCGCACAAAATCGTCCCTTCTTCTTCACCACGCCCCGCCAGCAACACGAGACGAGGTCGCTCACCAGTACTAATTACCCTTCAGACAGCCATCGCCACCAACATCCATCATGGCGCTCAACCCGCAGATGTAAGTGGCTGTGACGTCTCTAACAAACAAAACCGCCTACTGACGATCGCGTGCAGTACCAACCTTCTCATCATTCTGGCGTTCATGCAGATCTCGAAGAAGGTTCCTTTCGATAACCCCGATGTTCTCAACGGCGTGCGCGCGCTGTACATCCTCTCCAATGCCATCATTGCTGGTATCTACCTCTACGTGCAGGCGCAGATCAAGAAGAAGAATGGTGTGTACACCCTGAGCCGTCTTTGCAGGCCTCTTTACGGTCTGCGCAAAGCGCTGACAATTCACCCACAGATATGACTGTCGTCAAGTACGTCGAGCCCGCTCCGATGGGATCCGGCGAGGAGCCCAAGTTTGTCGCGACCACCGTCAAGGCATACGATCTCCAGCAGCTCCAGGGCCTCTTCAAGGCACAGCTCATGGGCGTCGGCATGATGGGCGTCATGCACATTTACATGAAATACACCAACCCGCTGCTTATCCAGTCCATCATCCCCCTCAAGGGTGCCTTTGAGGGCAACCTGGTCAAGGTCCACCTCTTTGGCCAGCCCGCTACCGGCGATCTTCAGAGGCCATGGAAGGCGGCCGGTGGTTTCATGGGCGCTATGCAGGGCGGCGAAATCAAGACGGACAAGAAGAGCATCGAGGCTGCTGAGCGTGCTGGACGCGGTGGCGTCAAGGACGAGTAAATGCGCTATGTTCAGGGCTTGAAGGCACAGACACAGACTAGCGCTACCGCTTTCCATGCTCGGTGTATATTACAATTGTTTTTCAGGAGCAGCAGCAATGATCGTGCTTGCTGATCTTGAGCATATAGAATTGAAGCGATTGGCAGGTAACACACAATCGCGCATTCGAACCCTGGGATGTGCATATTTTCTATAAGTTTCGAAAATGATCAATATCCGTTCCTTTGAAGATACAAAAGGCATGATCATACTATTTTTACCCATTACCGTTGCGACGCCATAGATTACTAGAAGATCTTTTCAGCAACCCGTAGAAGGTTGTTGGGGCAGAGCTATGGGCGTGCCAAATTCGAACTTCATGTTTAAAAATGTTCAAGTACGATCTCCTAATGATATAATAGGAAGCCTGAGTTATATGTGCTCACAGCTTCGACTTGATTGATTGTCATATAATGTTCTTAAGTTCCTGCCCCGCGAGGAATTTCCGCAAGTTGTACGCAATGAGCGTCTCTGGGTTTTGCGGCCTGCCTCCGGCTGCGTGTGGGCTCACAATGGTGTTTGGTGTCTTCCAAAAGCGCGACTGCGCGGGGAGGGGCTCCGTCTCGAAGACATCGAGCGCTGCACCGCCAATGCTTCCGTTCTCCAATGCCTCAGCCAGAGCGGCCTCATCGATAGAGGTTCCACGACCAACATTGACGACCCAAGCATGCTCGGGAAGCAACTTTAACCTTTCAGTGTTCAGCGCGTGCTTGGTTGCGTCGGATCCGGGCAGAATCATGACTAAGGCGTCCGTCTTGGGAAGCAGTTCTTGAAGCTTGTCTTCCCCGTATACCTCCACGCCATTGCGTACGCCAGCGCTGCGCGCAAGGCCAGTCACGTTTGCCCCCAACGCCGTAAGCCATGGTGTCAATGTCTTCGCAATGTTACCGAATCCCCAAACCAGAACATTGGCATCTTGTAGCGAGGTGAACTTTCCCTTCGGACGGTCGGGTTGCGGTCCGCCCAAATGACCCGGCCACTTTCCCTCAAGTTGATGATCCCTCATTTCATAGAAGCGTCGCGCGGCATTAAGCAAAAGGCCTAGAGTGTGCTCTGCAACAGTGTGATCGTGCAACCCTGATCCCGTGCAGATGGTGATCTTGGAGGAATCGAAGCCTGCGCTGAGAACGTCATTTGGGCCTGCGGCAAGGGATTGGATCCAGCGCAGCTTCGTCAGGCGCTTGGCCTCCTCCTTCAGTCGAGGCACAGGGTTTGTCCAGGTGATGAGGATCTCAGCGTCGAGGAGGTTGTCTGGGATGGGCTCTTTCACGTCGTAGGAATGCAGGGAGACGCCAAAGCCCTCAAGAAGGCTGGCGTCAATTGCGAGCGAGGTCGGGTAGAGGAGTTTGGGAGCCATTGTGAACGTATGTGAGCTGGAAGAAGAAGATAGGTTTGCCTGGTTTAATGGTTTTCAAGAAATGTGAGCGAGGGAGGAGCTCCCAGTCTGTCGGCAATGGTGTCAGTCGCCGATACCCCGCCATCGGCATTTGACCATTGCGGTAAATGACGGCGATGTTTTGGCAAGCCGAGTCTTCAAATTCGGATATGGACTCCGTACGGAAGAATTATACACCGAGCATTTTCGCAGTCACGGGGCACAATTCCACGCCGATCCGACACGGCCGATATCTCGCTGAGGCTGTCGCGATGGCTGAATACGCTTGCCCGAAACGGAGACATTTTACGAGAGGCCTGAGAGGGCAAGTGGGTACGAACTTGAATCGTTGATATTCATGAACGATCCTCGCTACTATGTGCTACTTGTTTCAACTCACTTGCAATTCGTCTTTGACAGTAGTTTTCTATTCGCAACGGGCTGGGCTACTCATGAAGCTCGCGACACGGTCCGACGGCGCCTCCTCGTTGCGGCTTCGTGTATTCAGAATGCAGAACTCACCATAACAGGCTCTATTCCACAGAAGACTTCAAGAAAGAACAATTGTAGCTAAAAGACACGCCCCAGACGCCGAAAGACTTACTCGATCGTCGCAGAAACAAACTGTTCATGAAGCAGACCGTCATCCAGAACAAGTTTGCGGCCATGCAGGCCTCCAGCACACGTAATGCGACGCGGACTGTCCAAGAAAACCCTGAATAATTGAAAAGAGCCAGGACGGAGACTCAGACTCCACTGCACATAATAGCGGGCTGAACACTTAAAAGAGTCTAGACGAGCGCGGTTCTCAGCTGCAGTGCTTGAGAATCGACACTGGGGGGAGGAAAGCTCGAGCTCGGGATTCCCTGGCCGCGCAGTCCGCAATGACGAAGTCCAAACACGCCCCGTTGGTCACATTCCGCATTCACATATTGGCAGTGGAGCAGTGCTGGCATCGTGGGTTTCGCAGTCCGAGTACAGCATGTCACAGTCCTGGTACTCTAGACGATGGTCGACGTACGCATCGTGCCCGCCGTGTACAACTACGGGGACGAGGCCTGTACGCCCTATGACTGTGCTTCATCGTCCTGTCACCCTGAAAACACACCATAGCTGCTCTGGCAAGCTGCAGCAACCAGCATCAATACAAGGCCAACTACCGGTGTCACCAGACTTGCCGGCTACAAAACATCTGTCTTGGCGCGGGGGGCTTGTAGCTTGACTCTCTCAACACTTTCCGATGCTAGACGGTAGCGGCCAAGCGCTCGGTTATGCGTCCCGAGTCAAAGCGATGGCGCAATCCTGGCCTAACAACGAATGAGCGATGCATCCGAAGATCTCCTGGGACCGTGACGCCATTTCTCGCACTTGGCCACTAAAGGCACGGCGGGTGAATGGACGGAAAATGCGGAGAACCAAGACAAGAGCAGGATTGCACGTCTGTGGCGTGGGGAAAGTCTTGCGCAGGTACAGAGGGGTCGAATCTGTTGCTAAAGCATTCTCACATGCGACGGCCTTGGACGAACTCGACCTAGCGTGATCGAACATCAACACCAGGCTGCGGCTGTATTCTCGTATGCCATGCCCATCGAGTTACCCTTAAGCCTGTCCAGCGACCCGATCCTTCCTGCCTCGATCCTCGCCATCATACACCTTACCAATCCTCTCGAGCGGCATTCGTTGCGTTCCGTTTCTATTGGCCTACATGGCGAACTATATGCCTGCGTACTGCGCCGCTATAAAAGGGTACTTACACCTCGTCCGGTCGTACCTTCCAAGGGAATACCCGCTCCATCCGCACCCCACTCGTAGGAGCGGGGAACAAGCAGGGATAACAAAGAGACTTACGCAGTTTGGTTGCCTGATACTTCGCGGAAGTCCTACGGCAAGACAGAAGCTGGCACTGAAAGCGGCATTTGTGGGGCACTACTGCGCAGCCAATCTCAGCCCGCAGACCTAGGCTCAGTGCCTCCCTCGGCCTGTGAATGGCGACGAGCAATGCAGTGTACTGCACGACTGCGGACCGCCCTACACCACTTTCCTTGTGCTTGAGTGGATATAAGTGATTACGTTCCTACGTTGCTGCGGTATTTAACCCGCGCTGTGCTCTCCCGGTAAAGCACTCACAAGTCTCATTCTTGTGTTTGTTCCTGACAAACCTACGAACCAGAAGGTCGAACAAGTACTCGCCCTTGTATCGTTGTCGCTAACGTCTGATAGCTATCAGCTGAAGAGTATCAAACAGAATTTGTCTCTTCCCAGTCAACCCGTGACTCTCTGGGCCGCATCCAAAAGCAACAGTTCACCAAAAGCCCAAACGCGATTGCTCAGTTTCCCAAAGCAGCAATAACATCCATCTTTTGACCAAAGCAACACATCCTCGTCATGGCCGCTACTGCCAACAAGACCCCTGTCACCACCAACATCGAGTGGCTGAACCGCGCTTACTCCGCCAAGGGAAAGAACGACCTGCGCTCACTCTACGATGAGTGGGCTGCTTCGTATGATACAGACCTTGTACAGCCCAACCAGGACTACGTCGCCCCTACCCTAGCTGCCGCTACGTTGGCGAAGCACCTCGGCCCTGAGCAACCACTCGACAAGATACAGATCCTCGACGCCGGCTGTGGCACAGGCCTCGTCGGTGCTGCCCTGTCAAAACTTGGTGCCAAGCACATCAGCGGCATCGATCTTTCCCCTGGTATGTTGAAGGTCGCTGGTAACCTTCACGTCTACACAAATCTTGACACTACCGACCTGTCTAAGCCCCTCGAAGAGGGCACAGACACCTTCGATGCCGTAACGTGCATCGGCACCCTTACACATGCCCATGTAGGCCCCGAGGTACTATCTGAATTCGTCCGTGTTACGAAGAAGGACGGCTGGATCGTGGCTACTGTCCTGGATGACATCTGGGAGGAGATCGGCTACCGTGATGAGATTGACAAGTTGGTTGCGAATGGGAAGGTAAAGCTTGTCAGCGCTGATTCAGGGGATTACCGCCGCGGAGCTGGCGTTAGCGCGCGCATGGTTGTTCTCAATGTCATCGCTTGAGTGCAGCAGAGGCTTGTCGTGCATTATTAAAACGTTTTCTCGTGTTTAGGCCATCAGTCCACAGTGGCTTACAATAAGAAATGAACCTTTTGTCGCTATGGGATGTCAGGATAGGCTATTGAATTATGACTTCATTCCAGAGTAAGGTATGCGCTCAGAGTCCACTTTTTGTGTGAGCCCCTGTGTTCAACTTCTGAATTCGGAGCTACACCCAGCCTCACAAGCACTGTGCAAGTGCGTTCCATGCGAAGACAGCGGCCGCAGAGCGTCGCAACAGGACCAGACGACAGCTGCAGGGCCGGCAATACCTAGACAACTTAGATGGCTTTTTTGGTGGGTGGGTGGGGGTGTGTGTGTGTCTCTCTTGGGGGGAATGTCGCCGTGTGTGTGGCGCTTCCCGACTCAGACCCACGGGGTATTATATTGCTTCTTCCGTTCACAAGTTGTTTACTATCCATCTTGTCGAAATGATTGATACCGTGTCCGTGCGCGTGATGCGCCACCCTCATCAAAACAACAAAAGTTCACCACGCGATAACTCTACCAAAATGCCTCCAATTGATGACGCGCTTGCAGAGGTAGAATCGCTAGAACCTGGAGAAGACTTCTCATACAGAAAAATTGCTGCAAATTATGGTATTGTACGATCTACGTTAGCCCGAAGGCACCAAGGTCTAGTGCGTCCTATGCAGATCAAGAACGCCAACCAGCAAAAGCTCACCCTAGAGAAGGAGCAGGAGCTTGTATAATACATCAAAAGACTCACAGAGAGACACCTACCTCCTACTAGGGAGATGATACGCAACTTTGCCTCTACGATAGCAAATGAGCCAGTTAGCGAGAGCTGGGTTACGCGCTTTATCAACCAACATAGCATTCATCTTATCTCGCAATAGACAGTTGGTATGGACAGCAATCGCTACAAAGCTGATTTAGTGGACGAATATTGCCTCTATTTCCATCTCCTACACGACAAGATCAATCAATATCAGAGAGATCCTCGTCATACCTACAATATGGACGAGAAAGGCTTCCTGACCGGAATCGTTGGTAGGTCAAAGGGAATCTTCAGCAGACGATTGTGGGAGAACAAGGAGGTTAAAGCATCACTCCAGGATGGCAATCGCGCGTGGATCACACTCCTGGCATGTATCTGCGCTGATGGATTAGCTCTACCACTAAGCCTTATCTATGAGGCTGCTAACAAGGGCATTCAATCAGCCTAGGTAGACGAAATCAGGGCAGGAGAACATCAGGTCTTTATCAACTCATCTCCCTCTGGCTGGACCAACAATGATATCAGACTAGCCTGGCTCGAGCAGGTGTTCGATCGCTGTACTAAGAGGAAGACCCGACGATTATATCGACTTCTAATCCTAGATGGCCACGGCTCCCATATCACTATGAATTTTATCAACTACTGTGATCATAATAAGATCCTGCTTACTATCCTGCCTCCTCATTCAACTCATACGCTGCAGCCACTTGACGTTATAATGTTTAAGCCTCTATCAACAGCCTACTCAGTAGAGCTATCAAGACACCTTCAAATAGGCCAGGGCCTAGCCTCTATCACAAAAGGCGACTTCTTCCCCCTATTCTAGAATGCGTGGAAGGCCTCCTTCAAGGAATCAACGATCCTCAGCTCTTTCAAATCAACAGGTATATCACCACCCAATCCTAATCCTATCCTTGAAAGGTTCACCCACGATCAGGAATCAGGTGATAGCTCCTCATCAGGGTTCAGCGATTGTGACTAGAGAAAGATGGATAGGCTAGTACGATCAGCTGTCAAGGATCAGGGTAGTCAGGATGCAAAGAAGATTCATCGATCGCTTCACCACCTATCTGTTCAAAATGAGCTACTCGAGCATGAGATAGATGGGATTAAGCAGGTACTAGCAACAAAAAAGAAGCGTAAGAATAAGGGTAAAGCTCTAGATCTATAATAGCGTAAGGAGTACTGTAGTAGGTCAGTCTTCTGGTCGCTAAGGAAGGTGAGGGAGGCACGTGTACGTCAATCTATTAGGTAGTAAGAGGAGAAGGAGCAATAGCTTCGAATAATAGATATAGCAGAGCTGAAGAAGGCAGCTAAACTATACAAAGAGAAGATACAGCAAGAAAAGCGTGCTGCGCGAGAGGTAGCTAAGGAGGCAAAGAAGAAGGAGCAAGCTCAAAAGGCAGCTCGGCGCACTACCTAGAAGTCTGCCCACGACGCTAAAAAAGCTCTACACCTATCCTAGAATGGTAAGACAAAGGCTTCACAGCCATCTCTATAGAGTAGAAAGCGGCAGAAACGTGGTGTTGATGCTCTAAATATTAGGGAGGCCTTAAAGGGCGTATCTACCACCCTAGCTATCCTCACGCATCGCGGCCGTAACGTCAAGCTTCCTGATAGATATAGATAGTTCAAATTAATCGCAAGGATTGATAGAGTGCTCTGCTAGAAAATCCCATGATAATCTCAATTGTGGGTGGCTCTATCGCCTCATGTTGCGTGAGCTGCTTCTGATGAGGGTGGCGCATCACGCGCACGGACACGGTAACAGCCGACTCTACTGTGAGTATACACGCTGCTTCATCGTGCTTTAAGCTTACTACCGTATACCGGAGTTGGTGGATACAAGATGAGGTGCGCAATGATGTTCCCAAAGTCTTGCGGCAGCCACTTAAAGACAAGAGCGGTAAGTGAATGAGTAACAAGTGAGGCAGCGCATGATTGGCCCCCAAGTGTGGCGTAGAGACTGCGCTATTCTAGCGGTAGCTACTCCAGCCTGCCGATTGGTTGGTATGTGAAGGCAGCAACAGCTGCGCCTACAGCCTCACCACCTTGTGCCTCTTCTCCCCGCTTCCGCAGGCATCCAATGCCATTTAATTGTGCCACGTTTCTTCAATACGAATTCAACTACCCATAAACCTCACTCTCATATAACACCTGAGATCAACATCTTGGCCAACAGTTGGCGGTTTCCTGGATTCGACCGCTTGTGTGACAACATGTCTACAACAGACGAGTCCAAACCACCGTCGCTGAGGTAAGTCGATTCCTTCCCGTGCCTTTCTAGGCTAAAATTTCCCAATGAAGCGCACTGGCTCGTAGTAACAACATGATCACAATCGATGTGGGCATGGAGCACGCCAAGTACAATGTATACGCTGAGCTGATCACATACTATTCGGGGTACTTCAAAGGCACACTGAATGGCCAGTGGAAAGAAGCCGAGGACCGCGCAATCGAGCTACCCGATATCGAACCCCGAGTTTTCGACATCTTCATTGACTGGCTCTACACACAAAACCTTCCCAGGAAGAGTGAGGACTGGATTACGCCAACTCCGGAGAATAAAGTAGGCTCTCATGGCCATGGCCAGCTAGCCGAGCGCTTGATGATGAAGTCGTACGTGTTTGCAGACCGATTTCTTGTCCCGCAATATCGTGTGGCACTCTACAAATATTATGCAAACTTTTGCAATGTTGGAGGAAACCCGCCGTATTACGATGCGATTATCTACGCGTTCGATAATCTCCCTGCGAACAGTGCCATATTGACTCTGCTCGTTCGTACTCACTGTGCTTACTGGAATGAGGGCAGCGATACTGCAGACAACGGGGAGTTGGAATTACGGCAAGACCTACCCCAGGACTTTTTCTTTCGAGTCATGGCGGTGGCAGCCAAGATGAGGGATAAAGAAAAGGCCAAAGGTATCGCGTGCTGCGACTGCCACAACGAGACAACGACGACGACGCGTGAGGGCTGCGATACATGTATGCCAGTGCCGGAAGTCAAAGAAGAGGCAAACGCAGCAGAAGGAGACAACCAGGCCGATGTGGCGCAGAATAATGGCAACGACCAAACCAATGCAGCCACAACCAACGACAACAATCAGGACCACCAAACCACTGCACAGGCTGATCAAGACGGTGGCAATAACGAACCAGGTGCAAGCATAGATCCGTCTAGCCTGACTGGCGGCAATGATCCAATTGACCAGAATTCTGACACGGGTGACCAAAATGTCGATAGCGATCAGACAAATGAAATGGACAATCAAGTAGTGCAAGACTATCCAGGTGATGGGAACATCGCCGGTGGCGGACAGGCCCAGATAGTTCCAGTGGAAACAGTTCAAGATCATGCGGAAATCACGAATGGGTCGGGAGATGTCCCTATCCATGAAGAGAGAGCAGGCTCTTCTGATAACAGCAATAATGTCACAGTGGAAACTTCTTCATATTCAGTTGACACAGGCTCAAATGTAGAGACGAGGTGAGTCAATTTGCAATTAGAGAGGAGTGATGCATGCACTTACAATGAACCAGCTCTTCGTCTCCACTGCCAGTCAGCGAGAACTCTCGACAGGACGAATCAGCGAGCGGGAGCATGGGCACGACCGGAGCTGAAATGCTCCAAACAGCAGTATAGTCTGCAGTTGACATGAGTGTACCGGCCGCTTCAGAATCACTACACGTTGCTTTATCGGCCTGAGCAGAGTACTCTGGCTGTTATGACGGCCATGATTATGAACAGTGATGGGGACATGTCACTAACGGCCAACGAAGCATACATTTATCGAGTTGTAGGTCAAATCAAGTTGCTTATCAAACGACTCAGCCAACTGCGTCCGAGATATGTGATAGTCTGACCATAGATGCGGTAGCTTCTTGTACATACTCGTAAAGACGCTGAGACTTGACTTATTATAGTGTATTGATAGATTATTACGCGCTTCTTTCATGCATAAACCGCACTGCACAGGCTAGACTCGCAGCGGTGCTTAGCAGCTTAGCCTGGCCGTACCGCAATGTGTTATAGCTCTCGCAAGAACCAATGCAAAGCTATACCGTACTGATATTTTCAGTACAGCGCCGCTGCCGCGGTGAGCTTTTATTCCGTAAACCGCTAACTCAACGTCTTACAATGACCACCTTTTCGTGGCTTTCGGTCGAATTTCAAGGCAAGTGTATCCAGCTTTTCGACGTGGGATCACTCAAACAATTCCGTCTCTCCTCTCGGATGCCATCCACTATCGCGTCAGAATATCTTTGTTGTATTGTCATATCAAGCTTCCAGGACGGCAGTACGAAGAGATTCAATTATTTGCTCAATATTGGTACACTAAGAGACATGGTTAGGACAGGCATGTCGACGGTAGAGACGGCTACCGGGACGAGTTCAACCTGGATGAGAGCGAGATAGACGAAGATGACGACATGAAATGCCCACGAGCCCCCTAGAGCGCTGCAATATCCAGGATCGCCCAATTCCCTAGATTGCGGAATGCCGGACTGTGCATGCACGACGAATATTACGAATGGGTGTATTCTGGCCCATCAGGTGAGCAGGGTCCGGAAAATCGACAGTGATATCAAAATAAAGTTTTCGAAGCATTGTATAGCGCAAAGATCGTGGACAGTTTGACGCTCAGAAATGCCTGAGACGCGATTGTTCCGAGTACCGGCACGGAAGAAGCGTTTCCATATTTGGACAGCCACAGAAGGCGCCGGACACTGCAGGTGGACCAATTGGGCTGCATTGATGCTTTAATCTCTTGCTTACGGACCTATTGGTTGCAGCCGTTACAGAGCCAGCTGACGCATCTCATATTGTGCTGCGATAGTACTGGGGCATCTACCCTAGCACGAACCTACGCGGTGTACACGTTCTCAACTGGATTCTCTCGCCCTAGGCAACTTATCAGTTGCGCATGATTTGCAATTCGATTGGATTACTTTCATGGCGAAACCCTCGAGGAACTCATCCTGGATGACGTGTGTATTGTCTACGCTATGATCATACCCCGAGAGATTCTACGGGCAAATTGGCCCAACGACGTTGCCAATCCAGATGGTGATAATCGCAAGCGCCAAGCTACTCGTTGGGACGAGGTTGTCGAAAAGTTACACCTCTATGTTCGAAAGCTGAAGCGATTTGGTACGGGGCATGGTGACTGGTATGTAATCCTTGGAAACAATGAAACCAACATGATTCTGATATTTCGGCCCCAATGAAAAGCATAATGACATGTTCGAAGCTCAGTACAATCTACTTGGTCGCATACAATGGATGCATTATATGACGTACTTTTCAGGTATAGCACCGTCTCAGTGTACGGAGGAGTTCGAGCACCAGAAACTGCGAGGTAGACAAGATTGCGCTTACGAAGGACTTATAGCGAACCAGGACAGGAAAGATGAAGAAGCCTGAAGTAAGCGGCTGAGAGCCATCGCAACGTCGGAAGCAATGATAATAGCAATTCAGGAAATGGAGTGGGACTGCTGGGAACACCTGTGGCGCTGTTAACTGAGCACAGAAAGTATCCTTGCACAGATGTTCAAGACATGGGGTTCAAGCAATTTTGAATGTTGGAATGTTTTGCTTCATGCAACATGACTGATTGATGTTCCTTTATTGCAGAGCAAGAGATCCTGTAGCACTCAAGGCTTACTGCAGGATAGCTCAAGCTTCCCAGGCCCTTGGATTAGTTGTCTTCTTCCAACCCTGTATTTCATCCAGGGTCAGCACATAGTCGCTGGCGTAGATCCGTTTGAGCAGATCCAGACTGTTCCAAGACCCGCCAGATATGTAGTCACCGCTCCAAACTGCAAAGTAAACCCAGTCTGCCTGGTAAGCCTGTAGCTGATCAGGTTCCATTACTGATCCGATCTCGGCGGCAGCAATGATCTTAGTGTCATTTGTTAGGGCGAGGAGGCTGTTATAAGTGGCGGAGATAGGCTAGAATGCACATTAGCTTTTCGAATCTATGGCATTGCTGAAGTGAATGCTTACCCCATGATCCCCTTGGTTGTAGGTATCTGCGCTGACAAGATCGACCTTATCGTTCCCGGGATACCATGCCGCAGCAACAGAGTTCCACTCCCATATCAGGTTATTTAACTTGTGATACTTTGTCAGCCGATCGTACAGAATGTTCCATAGCTTCTTTGCCGGTTCTGGCCCCTTTGCTCCCCACCAGAACCACGCGCCCTCAGCCTCGTGCAATGGTCGAAAGATGATCGGGACCGCAGCAGCTTGGAGCTTTTTTAATTCTATAGCAATGGTGTCTATGTCCTTGATGAGCAAGGTGTAGTTAGCGTTCGTGGTATCCTTGAGCGCGGTCTCGATATTGAAATCGGTAGCATCAGTATAGAAGCCACTGTACCAGGGGTGGTCGGCGGTATCGTACAGCCCTGTAGGTGCTCCCCAATGCCATTGGAAGGTGACGATCCCTCCTTTCTTGGCGAAAGCAATCGCCTTGTCGACGTCCGTCGATACAGCGCCGTGGGCTTTTCGGCTTTCGGTGTAATCCATGAAGTCGTAACCGCCGATGGCAGGAGTCTTACCAACATTGTTCGTCACCTACACGAGTTTGAGCTTAACTCCTAGACTAACTTGGGAATGGAAATTGGACCCACCCAATCCAGAGAAGCCTGGTCATGTTGTCCAGACAGGATTTTCTTGCCATAGATGCTACCGAGATATTTGAGTAATGCCTTCGCATCACTATTGGCATTTTTGTTGATAGGAGTAGTCGTGACCTTGTGGGCGCCACGCTTGGCCGACGGCGCTAGTTTGATCGAGTCGATGAGGTACCAACCCCAGTTATTCTGAATCTGGATACTGTTCGACCCTGCGTTGAGCAAAACTTGGCCTGCTGAGACGGTGGTCCAGTTCGTAGTAGCTGGCAGAGAGACCTGTGAACCGCCAACATTATTGAGAACCACTGTTGTATACTTGTCTCCGTACGGCCCGTTGTAGACGATGCTAAGGTCATAGAGCTTCGAGGCACTACTAGACACGTTGAAGGTGATGGTATCGGTTGCTGTATCGAAACCTTCAACATATCCAGTACCTTTATCTACATGTAAGCTCGAGGACTCTCAAAAGTTGTGCGATACGAGTCGAGCGCAGCATTGTATGTAAAGCCTTCAGATGCCGGCGAACACGAAAACAGGAGGACACGAACCTGAAAATCCTGCGACAGAGGTTCCAACCGTAACGCCGTTCAGAGTGGCAGATTCCGCTTCATAGACTGTCGTCTGCGCGAGGATTGTGCCCGCGATAGCGACAAGACCGCATGCTCGAGTGACCAACATCGTCGCGGTTAGAGGCAGTTTGACCCAGACATGCCATCAGAACACTCTCTCAACTTAAATACATCTCCGACACCATCGGAATCTGTTTCCAGAACGGCATCATTGTGTAGAGCTAGCTCGCCCGGCTTGAACATCGTGAGGGAGGATTTCTTGACATCTCGAAGTCCATCAATGGGAAAAAAGACACGGCGCTGCCAAGGTAAAACAGCCAGACCACCTGTCACTCGTTTTAATGAACATAGATTATGGTCATATCGCTAGGCTGTGATCCTGCCCGGCGATCCGGTTAGGGCCAGGTCTCGGAATTGAGGCCAGCCATGGCGACATCGATGTCCTGAAGGCACGTAACAGCGCCTAGGGAAGATCTTCCGTTACTTTTTCGGATGTAAAGTATATCTTGTGTCTTTGTCTTTCGTGGGGTTTGGTCACTTGCCCGATGACGTAAATCAAGTTCCTGGTTGCTTCCCGTTTGAGGTTAGCACGAGCCTGTGGCAGGATCCCAGCACATGCCTCGGTTGCAGTTGACAACTCATTTGCTGTCCGATGGACCATCAAACTCATCTCTACTTGCAACTCAAACCATCCGAGCAAGAGAAAGCCGAAGGGTACGATGAATGGCCTCAAAAACGTCTTTACTAAACTGTCAACCAATTTTTACAAAGCTACAACTGCAAGCGATGAGAGACCAGCTGACGTATACCCGTCCGTTGGGGTATGTTCAAAGGCTCGTATAGCCTGGCCACCGAGGCTTACTTGTGCTCCTCGTGTACTTGGCGAGGTAAAAGACGAATCTGGTCGCCACTATCCTCGCGACCTTGGGCGATCGGTCGAACTTGGAGGCCATCATTATTACATCTTTGGCGATACATTTTGTTTCAACAACGAAGGTGATTTCGTTGGCGTGACGAACAATAGTATCGCCTTGATCCCCGACTTGAATGCTCCTACCAAGAGCAGATACTATTCTCCGGAAGCCAAAGTTCCAGAATTTGTACGACATACAGCTGAAGAGAGACGTTTTTGTGAGAGACCGGAGAATATCAAAGATAACAGGAGGCTTGTCACATGGTCATTTGGTGGGATTATCAAGATTCCAGGGAGTGAGGGTCGTGAAGGATGGCTATTTTTTGACCCAGTTGAGACACTCGGCGGAAACGCTGTTAGACAGACAGGAGTGGGCGTTGCGAGAGTAAAGGTGACAGCGCCGGACGGCAAAATTGAGTGTGAAAGAGTAGGACAATTTCCACTGTTCCCCGCTGACGGACCGCTGTGGGGTAACATGTCTAACATATCTGCGCCCGACGGTTGGACTTATCTCTTGTCAGGAAAAGGGCTCGACAACTACATGGCTAGAATTAGAACGGATGACAATTTCGCAGACGCGGCAAACTATCAATTCCTCAAGAAGAATGGAAAGTGGGAGTCCACGTACACTGAGCCACACGGGCCGTTTGGAGAGCTGGCCCACGATGTACTTTGTGGGCAAGGTCAGGGCGCCATCATACATCTTCCTGATTTTTCACCGCTTGGGAAGGAATACCTCTGGTTCGGATGCGAGAAGTTCATGACCAGTAAGCTGTACGTTGGTGCTGCACCGAGACCGGAGGGACCGTGGGAGGTGCATTCGCTAGGGGAAATGCCTAAGATCACCGAACAAGCAAAGACTCGATACTGCATCTATCCGCACATCTGGGGGAGTGATCTGAGCGAAGGCAAGATTCTCATTACGTGGAGCGACGATGGCACAATGGGAGGAAAGGTCGCTGCCGGCATTTTCGAATTTGCAATGGATTGAACTCTTCGCTTGACGTCCGGTTGATTCCAGGCCATGGATCATGCTCGGCGATTGCGATGTATCCGGGTGGAGTAAAGAGAACGGGTTCTTCCAAACACATATGATGTCATAGTTGTTGCCCTTGACTGCAAACTAGCGCCGTCCCGCTCACCCTAAGCTGTATTCAGGCACTGGATTTCAGACTGTACATTAAACCCTTTCGTAGCAAAGTGAGCCCTTCTTGACAAAATGCGCCCTTTGCGTAGCTAACTTTTCGATATGCCGTAGCATCTTCACGCTTCCGCAACCCCTGCGTTCAATCTATGGCTGCCGATACCTCTACGGTGGTTCCCTCCACACTGCGCACCTTCTGCCCCGATGGAACGACCGGTGTCTACGCATATTACGATGGGCGCACATGCCCGTGGCACGCGTCAAATTACTACGACGAGACGCTCGCCTTGGGCGTGGCAACATACAGTATCATCAGTGGAAATAGCGCTGTCCTATTCGATGCTGGTCTAACGCCTGCGCACGCAGCACACATGCTTGCGCATGTGCGAAGTTTGGGTGCCACAGATATAAGTACAGTGTACAGTCATTTCCACAGCGACCATATAGCTGGGGCCTCAGCTTTACGGGAAACGAAGATTATAGCACACAAGGGCACGTACGAGAGGCTAGTAAAGGATGAGCAAAAGCTGAGATACCCTGGTGAAGACGAAGGGCCAAGCATTGAGGTTGTCCTTCCCATGGAGACATACGAGAAGAGCCTCTCATTTCAAGTCGGCGACATCAAAATCGAGCTACACAACTTCCACATCCATACCACGGATTCAACGCTTCTATTTCTCCCAGAGTCGGGCCTGGTGATCGCCGGAGATATGCTCGAGGACACCGTAACCTACATTTCAGAGCCAAAGTCTCTTCATCAACATCTACGAGAGCTTGAGCGCATGGCGCAGTGGCCCATCAAAAAAATCTTACCGGCGCATGGAAGTCCGGACCGGATCAAGGCTGGAGGGTTCGATAAATCCCTCATATATGCCACGATCAGGTATCTCAAGGCTATGAACGAACCTATTGAGGAGCCTGACGCATGGACAAAGAAACTGGATAAAGTAGTAAAAGATGATTTGGTCGCGGGGAGGTTGGTATACTGTGAGGCGTATGAGGGAGTGCACCTGGAGAATGTTGAATCCATGAAGGAGAACCGAGCAGAAAGTGTCGGTAATCTGACTTTGAAGAGTTGATATCATTCCCCTCGAAGAATCGTTACTGTCATATCAGGTTATCGCGATTGCACATTCCTCTAGGTTGTACTTCAAGTCCTAAAGTCCAGATGGTATCTTTGTTGAATACCTGGTGTTCTCTGACACCTCAGAGAGGTCTATATCACAATTGAATGCCATGTTTCTTTCCGTATGGGCTTTACATATATCAATGTAAAAATCGTTAGTGAAGAAGCCGCAGAATACCGACAATGGTGAATGAGATGGTTTCATAGGAATGTCATCTCACTAGTGAAGAATGATCGTATTTCCCTTCAAATACAACTCTGGCTATCAATTGAACGGCACGGCTGATGATGTCTTGCCGCAGTCTCCAACCGATATTTGTTGTTTGGATACTGAAACATTTGCTCAACTTTACTATAAGCATGCATGTATTGGTATATGATAAAATCGGACGAAATCATGAGGTAGATGATGAACAATGATTCGGCTGGCAGGTTTCGGGAGCGTACGTGGTTGTGATGTTTGTCGTCCAAGGCTGACTTGTGAGGCGACTATCAAGTCGTGGAAAGCTTCGAAGAACCAAGGCTAGCATTGTGGCCACCACCGATTGGAATGTAGTGCAGGCAAGGGTAATGGTAGCAACGATTGTGCAGATCCATGTGGGAAACGATATAATTTGACGAGAGATAGTCGTTGACCGGTAAGAGAACTTCAATGCTCATTAGGCCCCTGCATACGAGTGTCAGCCTAGAGTTGCCAATCATTCCCGTCTTCTGCTCTCCCGGAAGCCTTATCCATGATCAAAGCCGAGCGGGTACATATGTTATACCCTTATGAGACGAAGAGGTCTTCAGTTCCAAGGTCGAAGAAGGGGGGATCTTCTGAAACAATCACTTTCCCATCGCACCTGTCAAAGCTCACCTGCATATCTTCGCTGCAAGGCTGAAACTCTTGTCGGCACGCTGAGCTTTACCAAACCAGCGGTGATGACTCTCAGAACAGCTATGAAAAGGGAGTGCAGCCTTCCTTGCTCCTTTCCTGTCATTTTGAACCCGACTACTCTAGCAAATTTCCAGCTTTCATAGTGTGCTAGAACAAAGACATTTGCATGGATTATCATTGGAAATCATACTAGGCCCTCGCATTCCTCAGAAACTCCATGCGTAGGTACCATTGCTTTGCCTCGTGCATCGTGGAAAGTTTCTCCCAGCACAAACAGACTTCAACCTGTACGATCTACATTTCAGCAGTTGGCATGTCTGCGGGTGGAAGGAAGAAATTAGATAAGCTTGACTACCGGTGAGCTTATTTTTGAACACAAAGTCCTCATTGGCTCCAGTAAGTTAACAAGAAATGGAAGGTCCATCAAGCGCGTCACAGAGAAAGCACAAGTTCACACCAGTCTTTACTAGCACAAACTTCTCGCAGATGCCTCCCCTCGCAAACCTTCAATCAACCCTTAAGAACCTTACTTGAATGCAGTAATGACTACGATCCATCACACCAACATTTTAGATAACCCCTGTAGCGCGGTACAGCCTATTAATCACCTGTTGGCTACGTTCATCAGTTTCAGAAAAGCAGCCTACGATTACTACAGGCCATAGTTGCGAAGCCAAGTCCATGTGAGCCACTGATAATCCCACTTATAACCCACAAGTGGCAGAATGGAGCCCACAATGTATCCTGCCACCCCGGCTGGCACTAAAATCATAGCAACACACGAGTCGAATTTCATTTTACGCCTAGGAGAACACGTTGATGGAAGCGCACCAAGTGCACAAAGAAGAGCAAGAAGAGAAAGTGCAAGCCTTGTGTACATGCACACCGTCAATGGAGTCTCCATGGGCGCTTGACGTAGATTTATCAAGGCGAGCTTAGAGTGAGGACGATCATCTCGACGATGCCAGATCAATGAGTAGGAACACCCATGGTTGGAAGCAAGGCTAACCCGCATTAAAATGCGCCTTTTTTAGGTACCCGCAGGTAGAATAGAGCACTTACCGTTCTTGACATATATCATACGTTTCCCCTTATTGCAATATAATTTTTGGCTTCGACTTCCGGTAAATCGCTCGGCATGTCGCATTTGTCATAGCCTGAGCAGTGTCTTCCCCATTGCCAAAAATTCCAAAACATTACAGGACAATCGAATTCGACGCGAATGTTGGTGCCGTCATCCTTGAGCACACTGAAAAGAGCACCTCGGCGTCGATAGCCTACTATAGTATCCCTCCCCAGGCTCAGCTCCAGGACATATAATACTTTTTGGTCCAGTTTGCATTGTTGGAACAGGCTTGCGCGGTCAGCTTGAGTGATCCGAGGACCAAATACGGGACGCGGAGGTTCGTTGATCTGCTCCCGAAGCCAGGTCCTCCTTTGCAATCTACTATGTGGCAGGAAGCACTCAACAACAAAGGTATGGCAAGTATCTTCATATGTGATGTGCACTTTGCTCAAGGCCCTTAATTCGAACTCGCCGTAAGCGGAATTTTCAGACGTTAAAGCAAGGTGCTGAAGGTCCCACTCATTTTCCTCCACGTTCACGCGTAACCACTGTGGAGAAGCGGCTGTCATGGCCACTTCTTGTTCTAGACTGTCGTAAATGCATTCCCCAGCATATCTCCTTTGATCTCGTAAGGTATACATGATGAGTGTCGTGGCCAAATGTCTTTGACAGTGTAGTTTTCGGGATTATGGTCATAGCCATCAGACTCTCTCCGAGTTGAGTTGTGCTTATGCTTGTAGATTGCCATCTATGTGTTGAACATCAGCGACAATGGGATCAGCTTACAGCTTCTGATTCTAGTCGGTAATTGATGGTGACTCTCGATTTCTCCCAAAGCTGGATTATTAGCAGGTAGTTTAGATATAACTGTAATTATGGAAGCTCGCATTCCACAAGTTCTGATCATATGGAGCCATATTTCGAAGAGAAGCCGGTGCACCGTCATCGAAATTATTACCACCTGCCTGAGCCGACGAGACTTCTTGAAAAGTCCACGCGCGATGGGCCCATTCACTTCCCAAAATCATTGCCGTGACGAGATCATTGGTCGGATGTTGCAGTTGCTCCAACTCCCGATCTATCACCAAAACTTGATGTGCAGCTTGAAGATCCGGAGGGATATGTCCCATTGCCTTGCTTCGAATTTTTCGTCTTGCAGTACGTGAAGAGAGATGTGATAGCTGACTTTCCTCGGGTTCTGTATCATACTCTTGGCAGTGCAAGCTCTTTGGTCTCTCCATTCGCGTCCCAGCAAACGATATTGGAAGATCGCTTACATTCGCACTATATCTGGGAGGAATACAAAGTGTATCCAGCCAGAATGATACTCTCGATTCATGTCGAAAGGGCCAACTGTCCAAGATATGAAAATAAATTCTCTAGCTGTTTGACCAAGAGTTCTGGAGTGTTCCTCTTCGAAATCTCACCAGTTCAACAGCAATCTTGCGAAGTTGGCACTTTTAGAATTCATTGTTGCGGTCATTTCCCATGCCGTCGCTCCAGACATGGGAGATAGCGGTGTATGATTGTGTACCATTGTAAGCCTCAATCTTGGTGTCGAAGCCGGGTACGCTCGGGTTCATGGATAGTATAGGAATCTTGTCATTTCGGATAATGTTGTGAAGGTTCTTCTCAACATTAGCTAAGTGGTTCGGAAGCAAGGGATACCTCTTGTCGAGTGACTCTGTGTTGTGGCTGATAAAGCTGTCGCTCTTGACCTGTCATGTCGTATGCTCTACATACTGTGTCGCATTCGTATTCGCGGTGTGTTCCGAGCCTTTCAAGAAGTGGGATTCGCGCGAGGTAGTACCACACCACGTACATTGCTCCGCCTAAGGAACGCATCACTGCAAGGCACCAACCCTGTTCACTGAACCACTATCGCAAAAGGCGACTCGTACATTTCGATGAATAATGGCTCTCAGGTTCCATGACCTTGAACCAGGCAATCCCGCGATGGAGTTTGTGGTCTCCCGGAAGTCGCTGGGATTACGATACGCGTGAACCCCATTGTCAGCCACTTTCAAACTACTTTGGAACCATGGTTGCTGAGAATGACGTAGTTCCGGAGTTCTTGACCAGAACATATGAGCACCTAATATCTCCGTGAAACACTCCAAAAAGAGCTTCACGAATAGGACGGTGCATGCCAAAGGGCGATCAAGTTCTACTCTTATCTGTTTCCCCTCTTCTTCCAGATCTGGGTCCAACAGATCTATCACAATGGCTGCAGTACGCAACACTTCTCACTCGTCGGACCTGCAGCTCTGAATCGCTCTTACTCAGTTGGCACAGGTTGCCATGCCAAGGGCGAAGCAATTGAGTAAGTTTAGGTTGACATACGCGGTTACTGGAGAAGAAATATTGCTTCCTGATATATTCTCCGTCCTTCCATGCGCCCTCACATGAACATCTCCAATGTCCTCGCATTTGCCAGAATACGTGCGCCATCACCCAGGCCAGATGGAGTATATTGAAGCATGACGACATCACCAGAAGGCTAGATGGCATCATCGAAGGCCAGGGAAGCTATAGTGATACAGTGTATCACCGCGAAGCCTTGTGTGCGGTGCAAGCCCAATGAAGTAGGCAGCAAATCTTATGTGCTAGTAGCTATGTCACGAGACATTCAGTCGAGGGAACGCGAGGGAACGGGCGGTGGTAGCACTTGTATCGTTGAAATCTAACAAGGAATAGCACGGAAGTGTTACACAGCCTACCCAAGGCTAAAGGCATAGGGTGCTGATGTGGCAGATTGCATACATAAGATCTGCTTTTGACGCATCTACGGCAGCGAGCTTTAGTCCTGGAGACGCCTCATGAGCTGCGTTTGCAGATTTTCCGCTACAACCCTGAACATATTGGAACACATCCATCCCGCCAGTCTCGCCTTGTGATGGCAGAAGTAAAAGCACAACTTTCCACAAGTCCCAATCACCTTGCCCCCTTCTAAATCGTCATCATCGGACACACAACCTTCAACGACCACTGCTCTCCCCTCAACGAGCTACACCCCCCAATTCCAATCCACTTGCCCCCCGCCCCACTGCAATCCCTACTCTTATACGCGCGTACTGCCCAGTATCCTTAGCAAACTACCCCCCTGTCTTGAACCAGGCTGACGCCGACTCACATTTACACTGCCCATGGAATGCAGTCGGGTAGACCCTAATGCCGTGGTCGGCGTCGTGCAGCTTGATGCACTCGCCGGGCTTAGAGGTGTAAACGGGGCTGCCGTTGCTCATGCAGGTGGTGCGGGAGAAGGTGGTGTACTGTATGTCCATTGTTGGGAGTTCGGAGAGTGGGATGGGGAGATCTGGAATGGGGTTTGGGAGGGGGTTGGGGAGGGGCAGGGGTGATCCGGCCTGTGGGAGTGGAGGTTCTTGAGCAAGGATAAGACGGGAGAAGAGCAGCAGAATGACGAGGAGAGGGGCGTGTGGATGCATCCCAGACAAATTGAGCGGTAGAGAGCTTGAGGTGGGCAATGGTGTGAGCGTGGATTTATGCCCTTTTATTGTGCAAGTTTGAGTAACCGATAGAGCGCCGTGAGCCCGAGACTGTATGGACTTTGGTGTAGCGAGAGGTGAAGAGATGCTCCTTCGAATATATCACGATCCCTTACCTACCGATTACTGCAGAGTAATCCAGACGGATCTGAGAAAGGCACAAGAGCAGGTGGCTGAAGCAGAGCATTTTCCGCGAGAAGCCTCTGGAAACGATTGGCTAGTCAGTGTCGACCATGCCGTACCGAGTATACGATAGAGACGTTCTAAGCGAGTAGACGCATATGTCCTAAACGAATACTCGAAGAAGCAGCAGGGACCCTGAGTCAAACACGCCCTTGTGTGACACTAAAACGCGGTCGAATTTGGTGTATAACCAGCTGTGTAGCTTCGTGGCATCGTCACCCAATCGCAGAGTATATGTCTTGGATTCTATGTTTAGCTGTGGTGTCTGCAAGGCCACGAGACCGTTCTGATATCCAAGGCGTACTGTAGATCTACTTTCTCAAGTTGACGCGCAAATGTGCCTTCCTTCCAGCTGGCCAATGAATGTCGATGACAATCTCAGCCATGCAGATTGAAGAGCAATGAGAAGCTTGGCGTAGGGCGATTGGTAGTTCGTCTCTGTGGCAGCGCGCATTACGCACTGCATCGATGCACACACTCATCTTCTCTCTGGATATGACGACAAACGAGATTTGTGATTGGCACTGTGTGGTATTCCGTATATACAGTTTTCACAGCGGTGAGACCCGAAGCAAACCGGTACGCCGAACGTGCTTTCCTATCGTGCACGGTGCCCACTCAATGGTGACCCTCGTCATGTCCGTGGTGCTCGTCCTTGAAGAAGAGGGCCTCGACTACGCAGTACCCGGCGAAGGCGACGGTCGCAATGCCGAGGCCAGGGAAGGCGCCCTTGAAGCGGTTCCACCGCGTGAAGGGGCCAGTGTACCGCCATTGCTCACTGCATGGCATTAGTCCGGCCCGTGCATGGCCACGTAGATTCAAGAGACGCACTATCGGGCCCATGGGTCGCCCTTTGCGTTTCCAGCGGCAGCCGCGAACTTCTTGGGGTCGAAGCCGGTAATCGAGGGGCGTTGCGCGAATCTGAGACTGGTGTGGCGGGTCAGCACGGGGGCGGAAGAGCGTACAGGACAGTCGCCATGCAATTGGCAGTGTGCACTTACGCTGTGGGCCGCATTGTGTCGGTAGGGTGGGCGGTGGTGGTGCGCGTTGACGTCGCAGTGGGAGCTCACCAGCAGTTCGACGAGGAGCACGGGCCATTCGACATGGCTTGGCAAAAGTCGGCGTGGGCGGCCGGCGCAGTGTCGCGCACTCGACGACGCTGTTGACCCGCGCGCGCACGCCCTTTGCTTCTCGCCGAATCTCTGCATCCGTACTGTTCTGCCATCCGCCCCGCGAAACAGCTCCGACGGCAGCATCGACCCCGCCCGTCCACCGCCCGTTGTCGCACACGCACCACCGTCGAGTCCCCGCCTGCCTTCACGGCAACAACCGCCCACGATGCCTCCACACGGGGGCCGCTTCCCCGGCCACAACCTCTCGAACCCCTTCGCCCACCTCTCACAGCCGATCCACCAGCAACCGCAGCTGCAGCAGCAGCAGCACCAGCAGAACATGCAGCACCCCGGCTTCGGCGCCGCGAACCCGCAACACAACCTGAGTCTGTTCAGCCACAACCAAGGCAACTTCCAGTCAAATGCGGCGCTCGCCGGCATAGGAGGCGGCGCGGCAGGCCTCGGCGCGGCAGCAACGCTCGGCGGGGTAAGTGGAGGAACCGGACTGGACGGCCACGAAGCGCGCCTGCGTTTTGCTCACGGTGCTCAACTGCAACAGGATGCCCAGATGGGTCGCGCGCAAGACGGAACCAAAGGCATTGCCGGGCAGCGGATACGCGAGGTGTGGCGGAACAACCTGCACCAGGAGATGGAACTGCTGCGCTCCTTGGTCGAGAAGTACCCCTACATCAGCATGGTCAGTGAACCTCTTCCGTTCCACCAGGCCAGATTTCATTTGTCGAGAGAGAGTGTCTGATGGAAAAGGAAACTGTCAATGGCGGTCAGTCTCAGAGTCTCTTTATAGAGCCTGACGACAGTGACGGACGGGTATTTCATCTGTTCACCCCTTCTCGTTCTTCTTCTACCTTCTTGAGACCATGCTCATACAAGGCGCAGGACACCGAGTTCCCCGGAGTCGTTGCTCGTCCGATTGGCGACTTCAACTCCAAAGCCTCGTACCACTACCAGACCGTTCGCTGCAACGTCGACCTCCTCAAGATCATCCAGTTAGGAGTCACGCTTTTCTCAATCCGAGGCGAAGTACCGCCATCCCATCTCGACCCTTCAGAGCTGAACTACCAACCGAAAGCGGTATTACAGTACGCCAACAACATAGTAGTCTGCCCATGCACCTGGACTTTCAACTTTCAGTTCTCTCTGGAGGATGACATGTACAATGAGGAGTCCATCCAGATGCTGAAGAAGTCTGGCGCCGACTTCCAGAAGCTTGCAGAACAAGGAATTGACACACAGGAATTCGGATCCCTCTTGATAACCTCTGGCATGATCCTGACTCCCGACGTCAACTGGATATCGTTCCACTCGGGCTATGATTTCGCGTACCTCATCAAGATGCTCACCGCTAAGCCATTACCCGAAAACGAGGAAGACTACCGCAATCTCGTTGAAGTCTTCTTCCCACGACTGCTGGATGTCAAGTACCTGTGGCGACACGCAAACGGTCTCGTGCGCCGCGGGGTGATAGGGTCCCAGGCAACGAGCATACTCAACAACCTCGGCACAAAATCTGGTCTCCAAGATCTTGCCGATGAGCTGGGTTGCCAGCGCATCGGCAATTCGCATACCGCTGGCTCTGACGCTTGGCTCACTGGAACTGTGTTTTGGGAGCTTCAGAAGAAAATATTTGATGGCAAGGTACCGGACGATATGAATGGTCAAATGTGGGGTCTCACCGGAGTCGGTCCGCCAGCCAGTGCGACTGCCCAAGCTGCCGTTCTCGCTGCCCAAGGACAGAACCTCACCGGCTACCAGGGAATGAACGGCGGTATGATGTTCCACCCAGGCGGTCAAGCCGGCCACCGGGACGGACCTAGTACTCCTACTAGCCATCCCGCTGGTCTGGCATCGACCCCAGGCCCATCGCATGGAGGCATAATTACACCTGGTGCCACGGGAACGTTTGGCGAGTTCAGATATGGCGGCAAGTAGCTGCCCCATATCTGCGCGCTTCGCACTGCAGCACTATGTCATGATCTTGGAGAATGTTTAGGGGTCATCCTATTCCATGGTCCACTCTAAACGTTAGCAAGGTAGCTGCATGCTGAACTTTCCATCCAGGGCCATCATCGCAGTCTTTACCTTCGTCTTCCCCAACCGTCGCTTGGCAGCCTCAGACCCCACTCTACCAAGTTTTACGTCCGTCTTCTGCAACTGTTCCTTCACGATCCAGGCTTCCCCGGCAACAAGTTCCAAGAGGAACGCCACGGCGAGCTACAATGCGACCGTCGCAGCGTTTATATCCTGGTACTATTTCATTACCCACTCGAGTTCATCCGCAACACCCCGGCTCAATGCCATTCGCCATACATCCTGCAGGTGGTTGGTTGGTTACCGGGTGGACGCCATACATGGATCCTGACCCGCACGCCCCTTCCCCAACACCTCACACGCCGCAAAACTACTATCACACATTTCATGGGCCTTGGAGAACGGCCTGAGGGAGTACGATGTACGTTGGAGTAGAAGTGGCGGATGGGTCTTTGAAAAGACGAGGTTACGTTTCTTACTTGCATTGCATTTGTATGGCGAGCACGGAGTTATACCTTGGGTTTAGGAGGCGAATCTGGACTGGGTAGTTCCGGCGCGAATTTCAGCGCGCTCGAATCGATTATTACTGTAGTATAGGCTTGAATACCACCACATGCATACCCCGTTTTCTGTCCATAACGAGCAAGTCGTTTGACCCGGTACCCGTATCGAGGAAACGGTGGAGTAAGAGGTAAGATTGTCATTCCTTCGTGGATATGCGCGCCAGCGTGACTATCGGAACTCTACATACAAAAGTCGAGCCCGCCCCGACATCATCAAAAAGCCGCCCATCTGACCGAACATTTTCAACAACGCCTCCGCGACTCCAACCCAACTCGTAATAATCCTTTCACTTGACGCCTTCCTCCGACCCTCAGTCCCTCCTCCTATCCCTAGCATGCAGCGGCTTCCTCCCAATAATCCACTTGTAGCTCGCGCACCAGCCCTCCCTGATATTTCCAAGCCGATCCGTGCCCGACGCCCAATCCATGATCTCGCCCTTGCCCACCTCAATCATGTTCTGCACCTCCTCTTTCGTCCAGTGGTCCTTATTCGCATCGCCCCACATAGTAAGGTACCTTAGTAGCATCGACTCCAGCATCTCCATGATACACACCAGATGCATCTTGCCTATCGTCCGCTGCTCCTCGTCCTCGGGCCACTGCCCAATGGGCACATTGACATACGTCTGCTTGATATTGGTAAACCCCGCGTCGTCGAGGTACGTCGGGTGCATGTAGAACGTGCCGACGGGGCGGCCGGACTTGAACGCCGCCTGCATGACGCCGAGGTACAGGCGCGCGAGCGTCGGGAACGGGAAGTTGTCGACGCCGGCCTCGATGTTGGGCAGGCTCATATCGAAGTCAACGACCTCGATCCAGCCGCCGGGATTCAGGTTCTTGTAGATCTCGTCGTAGACGCCTTCCCAGTACGCGAAGACGCCCTTCATGCCGCGCATGTAGATGAGGTCAAAGGGCTCGCTGAAGTGCCAACCCGGCTGGGCTTCCGTCTCCAGCATGTACGACTCATATGCGGAGTCGGACGGCGTGTGGGGCTGAGAGGAGTCGCTGGTGGAGAGGGCGCTTTTGAAGCGCGAGGTTTTGGCCGCGGCGAGGGGCTCGCGGTTGGCGTAGTCGCGTGACATGTCATAGCGCTGGAGGCGCGCGGTCAGGTCGTCGAAGTCGTCTTCTACACCCCACACGTCCAGGTCATCGATTTCCCAGTTCACGCCTGTGCAGCCGACGCTTTCTTCTGTGGTTTCGATGTCCCAAACAGCCATGTCGACGCCTACGACGTCGGCGTGGGGATGCTGCCGAGCCATGGCGACGGCCCAGTGTCCAGGCCCTGTGCCTAGGTCTAATATTCTTCTGGTAGCAGATGTTACGGGTGTTGTTGTGAGCTTGCCTTTTAAGGCGTGTGTATAGATACGGTGGTGGATGGCGAGACGATCATTCTCTGCCTGGTCGCATGGCATGTAGTAACTATCATTCCCATACTCCCGTCCATTTTCGTAGACAAATTCCACGTCGTCAGACTGTAGTGTCCGTGTAGAGCGTCTACATGCGCAAGGCAGTCAGTATCGGATCATGAATGATGAGGTCGCTGGTCATTGCACGATCCACAGCAAGAACAAGTTGACATGCTGCAGCACGATGATCAGAGAAAAGACCGAAAGAACATGAGACTGTGCACCCCGTCGACACGAACTCGGACAGAAAGGAAGGTCGCGTCTTACAAGGATTCGAGGGATGTGGAACTGTCAGAGTTCGTCCTGGGGCGCTTGGGCGGTACGCCTGTACGATCAGTCGCCGGGTTTTCGGGTGGTGGCGGTTCCTCCTCCATGGTCCTGGGCCGCCGCAGGACCGGCAGAACGACACAATTGCTCAAGCGACGGGCAGCCCTCGCACTCGGCTCACTATATACCAGCAAATGCTGTCAGATTTCTGCGGCAATCCTGTGGTCCTGGGATATTATGGCGCGTTACCTTCGGGAAAAAGGGGTGGGGGTAAGTGTGGTAGCTCGTCGGCGGCCTGTAGGGAGCTAGTTGTGATTGGCGGCGCAGGGCTGCAACCCAAGGATCCACCGAGGAGCAGCTGCAAGTCTCCGCAAAGCCAGTCGATTTCCGATATAAAAACTCACAGAGAGTGAAGCTCTACGTCCACGGAGGCTGGCGGGGCGGTGTATGGGCAGTGCTGCGGTGGTTTCTTCGGCACTAGTCCGCGGATATATGTTTGCCAGCAGCCAGCGTCGCTCAGGCGATTATCAATATAATATGCAGGAGCGAGCCAGCGTCGCTGCGAGTGAGGAACCTGCTTGGTCCTGTTTTGAGCGGCTGGGCGGGAGCTGCAGCAGTGTGAGAGCCAGGATGAATGCGTACCCTCGGCCAAGAAGCGAACAAAGAAGCGTTCGGCACACCAGGTCACAGCGTCCAGTAGTCAACTACCACGGCGCAGTGCAGCATTCCACAAACGCAGGAGGAATGGAGGAGTGTGGCGGCCGCTCGCTTGCACTCCAAGCGTAGTGTAAGTTCTGCGAGCAACAATGCTTGGGGAAGAGGGGCTTTGGACCCTGGGCACTCATGCAGAGCTTGATGCAGGAAGAGAAGACGGGAGAAGCGACGGGTATGGGAGGATTAGACAGATGTTTAGAGGGTTTCTAGAAGACCTTAATGAGTGGGCCCGCTGCCCGGGTGCATCGGTCTGATAGAATGTGTGTGGGAGCGAAGCCGGTGACTGTGCGGCAGGTGCGTCCGCTCGTCTGCTATTTGATCGTGGCCCGGATGGTGCTGCGCCAGCGCCCATTTCACTTAGAGCCGTTCCCTTCTGATGAAACCAGGTCAAATGCACCGCTACTGCGCAGAGCAGCCCGGATCCCAGTCGCTGCCGCAGACGGTCTGCTGTCAGGCTGTAAAGTGCAGTTGAGCATCACCTTCCTCCGCATATGGGAGCAGACGTTCCCCGCTTCCCGACGGCTACAAATAGCTGCAATATGCCAGCCCCGCCGTCTTGTTCCGTGTCAGCAGGAACCCTCCGGTCTGATCATTGAGGAGCACTGGATACCGCCTCGCAATTTTCGGCAACGTTCGTCGAACGAGTAGCAAACCCGCCAACCCCAACCTTGCCGCGATGCTTGCTTGCAGCTGCTAGGCCGGGGTGAGATGCCTCAGGGCCAGGCCACGATCCGTCACCGTGCGTTCCAGCAAGACGGCGACCTCACCCAAGTCGGGCCCAACGCGCTCTTTGGAGGATTTGGTCCGTCCGTTGTGCAATCGCGCCGATGTTCCGGGCGTAAACAGCACGCCCGGCTTGCGGTAGGATGAAGCTCCCTGGGAACGGCGCTTGACAAACCATCCCCCCGGATCCAAGCCAGCTCCGACTGTCAATCCATTGGGTCTCGATGCCCTGCCGGCGACATGTCCAGGAACGCGCCCGCGCCAGCTGTCTCCAACGCTGCATGTAGGCCAAGATCGGAGATACTGACAATCGGCCCGTTCGTCTGAGAGCTTTCAAGTTGTGCGATTATCATGCCGACGGCAGGAAGCCTGATCTGCCCATCCGTGTCGTGTGAGGTTGTTGGAAACAGCGCCGCCGCCCGCGTGCATACGTCGCCATGTATCGTGTAATTCTGAAACTCCGATGGTCGGTGCTCCACTGCGTGACAGCTCGGCAAGGTATACGAAGTCGGAGGCTTGCGCATGCAGCATTTGGGGGCGGCGTAACCATGAACTTGTCGCCGCCACCTATTCGTTTGAGAAGTCGCTGTGTTTCAGGTGCAGAAGGCGCTTGGAATGAGCAATAGCGAAAGGATGCATTCCCACAAAAAGCCCCACCTTGATGGCATGGCTTTTCACCACGTCGCAACACTAGGCCGCGTGTGCGACGCTGTGGGTGACATTGTCACTTGGTTGCAGTCTCAGAACATGTCTTCTAATATCATTGACCTTCCTCGTCTATCCTGAGAAGTACAGGGTATTTGGAGTCATCTCGTTACTGTACATCTGCAGAAACTGCCCCGACATACCCCTTCTCCATGATATCGCTCGTTCATGTTCCATGTCTAAGAACGCCGCCATCGAGAGCGCCTCCTCAGGAGGGACCAACTCCTTCCTCCTGGCCCTCAAACTTGGGTAGTCGCTTAGAAATGTCTGCCCACTTCTCCCTACCCTCCACTAGGCCGGAAATAGCCGTGCAAATCTCATCCAGGCCGCCACGCACCTGTTCAGTCGAGTCTCGGTCTCGCAGTGTGAAGGTATTGTCTTTGACAGATTGGAACTATCCAAAATTAGTCTCAGTTTAGATTAAACATGGTCTTCAGTCCGTCCACCGTGAAGTAACACAAAGTTATCAGGGCTCCGAGACAACGCAGGGAAACACTTACGTCGATAGTGATGCCCAAGGGGGTGCCGAGCTCATCGTTACGGGAATAACGTTTGCCGATGGAGGCCCCGGAATCGTCCACTCGGTTGGAGACGCCGATGTCCTGAAGCTTGTTGCTCAACTTGCGCACAAACGGCTTGAAGTCGGCGTGCGAGCTCAGCGGCACAATCAGAACCTTGGTAGGAGCAACCGTGGGAGGGAAGGAGAGTACACCACGCGCTTCGTCCTGCTCGCGCGTCCAGTAAGAATGTTCGCACAACGCCTGTGTACCTTGTCAGTAGATGCATATGCGAGAGACGGTCCGGATACGCGTCATGTTACGGTAGCCACATGAGCACGCCAACTTTTGCTTCGCGACTATGTGGCGTCGAGTTGACTTACATAGAAGATTCGACCAATACCAAATGACGGCTCGATAACATTGGGTGTGTACTCCCTCACGTTCTCTACTCGTGTTCGCTTCTCGATGGTGATCAGCTCCTTGGGCACCTCGACCTTGCCGTCACCGACACCAGGAACATCGATTGTGATCTTGCCATCCTTTTGCAAATCCAGTGACAACTTCTCGCGCAGATCCTGGGAGAGAGCATCAATGGCAGCTTCCACGGTCTTGCCATCCTTCTTGAACTTAGGACCAAACTTCTTCTTGTCAAGGTCGCACTGCCATTCTTCAATCTTGAGGGGCTCCTTGCGGGGTTCTCGGACCACAAGAGGAGCGCCAGTCTTCTTCATGTGAACAGACAGATCGTACGCACTACGGTCGGCGCAGCCCACGCATTCGATCCAGCCGTAAGAGGTCAACAGTTCGGCGTCCCAACAATCCGCCGCGTAATGAGCCATCTCGTTAGCCATGTGCTGCCTGAAACGAATCTTCTTGGGGTCAACACCAATCTTGAGAAGGAAAAGCTGAATGCGCGCAAGAAAGTAGCCAAGAGTCTCATTGTCGACGAGACCAGTCTCGACGGCCTTGCCAATGGGTGTGGTGTCGACGTCAGCCTTGCCAGAAAGCTGCACTTCGCGGTTGAGAAGCTCAAGCTCAACGTCCTTGACCTCATCGAAATGAGGGTGCTTCTTGCCGCCTTCGGGATCCACAAAATGCTCGATTTCTGCCATCAAGAACTCTCGCACACGTAGCAGGCCCTGACGCGGGGAGATCTCGTTACGGAAAGACTTGCCGATGGATGCGGACGCGAAGGGCATTTGTTGCTGGTTGAACTCGAGGAGCTTTGCGAAGTTGAGGAACTGGCCCTGGGCGGTTTCTGGGCGCAGGTAGCCGGGCAGGTTGGAGGAGGGACCAATCGAGGTCTGGAACATGAGGTTGAATGCAACAGGAGGCGTGAGCTCGCTGTTGTTGGCGGGGTTGCGAATATCGTACTTCTTCATGAGCAGACCGAGTTCTTCGCCGTTGTAGTTGTCGATCTTGTTGAGAACCTCCTTGTACTCGTCCCTCACGGCATCGTCCAACTTGACTGCAGCAATGTTCTTGACCTTCTTCTTCTTCTTTTTCGGGTCTTCTTCTTCCAACTCGATTTTCTCGCCACGTGCCTCCTTGTCGCCCTTGATCCTCGCTTCGAGTACTTCCTCGACAAGATGGTCTGCGCGGAAGATCTCGCCGGTCTTGGGGTCCTTGCACATCCAGTCGGCGAACTTGTCTACGTGGCCGGAAGTCTTGAGGACATCGTGCGGGGTCAACATGGTGCAGTCCACTAGACCAGGTCAGATTGCGGTCTTCCAGAAGTCGCGTGGGCATTACCTTCAAGCATGTTTTCCTTCAGCACAAAGTGTTTCCGCCACACGTCAATGATGTTATTGGTCAAGGCACTGCCTGGAGGACCGTAGTCGTAGAGGCCGGAAACACCACCGTAGATATCGAACGAAGGGGTGTAGAACATGCGCCGCTGTGCACTGTCAGTGTGACTCCCCCGCGGTGTCGGCTTCCGGCGTATTTACCCTCATAAGAGACTCGAGCGAGGCCCGATCAAAGGCTTTGCCCTTGAGGGTCGTCATTTCAGGCGCCATGTCGACGATCTGCTGCTTCCGCTTGGGGACTTGAAAACGGTGGTGGGGCGGTGTTGTGGTGAAGCTGCGGGCGGAATAAACACAGCGAGGTGGGGTACTGGTATTAAAAAAGGGTTCACGAAGAGAAGAGAAGCAATTGGCGCGCAACGCTTTCACGAGCGAGCGCATACACACGGTCTCCTCCCTTATGAGGACGGAGAAATGACTCAACGAAATACTGATACAATATATTACAGGCTGATGCTGGACGCCTGCGCTGTGACTCCTTGACGCGACGACTGATGCCGAACGCCAAGCACGGCGAAAAGAGCCGCCGCTGCTCCGGGACCCGCCAAAATTTCTGGGAAGTCGCGACGCAGCAGAACTTTGCCGCAAGCACCACAAGTTGAGACTTCCACGACATCTGCGCTAGCATGGTCTTCTCCAAGGAACCCCCGATGCAGGGCTTCAAGCCCAAAAACAAACTGCGCCGGCAGAGCGCCCACCTCGCGCAGAAAAAGTCGAAAGAGGCTGCGAAAAGAGACGAGCGATTCCGCAGAAAACGGGAAGAGGCCAAGAATCCCTCGCTGCGAGAAGAGCGGCAGCGCGTAAACCAGCCCGTCACCATCGAAGCTAAGCGGAAGTTCGACACCGATGTCGTAGGCGACGAGGAGGATGCTTTGAATTGGGCGATAGACGTGGAACGTCTGGCGAAAAAGCGCAAGCTTGAGCAAGAGGCTGCTGAGCGGGGAGACAATGTCGAGGGAAACGGCGAGGAGGGCTTGCTGGAGAAGCTGAAGAAGCGCGACGCAGAGGGCAATGAAGTAGAAGACGACGAGGAAGAGGACGAGGCAGACAGCATGTTGGACTCGGAATCCGAGTGTGAAGACGACTCATCGGACACAGAGGCTGTCTCATCACGGACGAAGCGGAAATCGGAACGAGCCGCAAGCCCTGCCATGTCTACCACGACCAACGCGACCGCTGCAACGAATCTTGACATCTCACCAGATTTCTTGAAACAAAAGTGCGTAGCACCCAGATGCGATGTGGTCATGTTGGAAACATAATCAAGACCTACTCCATTCCCTCCGCCTGGCTTCTGCTGATTGCTTATCGCGCGTCTAGGTTTCCTGCAGTCTTCAACCCGGCAGAAACGCCGAAGATACTAGTCACAACATCTATCAACTCAACCCTTCACAACGAGGCCGAGATCTTGGCCTCTTTTTTTCCTAATGCCGACTACGTTCGTCGTAGCGCGCATGCTCATGCGCACAAGTATTCTGTGCGCGAGATAGCAAAGTTCGCCAGTAATCGCGAATATACTGCCCTTGCTATACTAATGGAGGCTCACCACGCGAAAGTGCCCGACGGCCTCGACATCGTGCTTCTCCCAGAGGGTCCGCACTTCCACTTTTCCATAAGCAATTGGGTCGAAGGAAAGAAGCTTCCTGGACATGGCAAAGATCAGGGTTTCCATCCTGAGCTAGTACTGAATGGTGAGTTGCCCAAACACAAAGTCGATGCATGTGCAATGCGAGACGACGAGTCTTCATCCACTTAGCCTAGGCTTGAGCGAAACTGTTTGACACAAAAACTGACTCTGTGCTGCACAGGCTTCCGGACACCCCTAGGTCTCTTGACAGCCCATCTTTGGCGAGGCCTCTTTCCCGCACAGCCCGAACTGCAAGGTCGCACTGCCGTGACGCTACACAACCAGCGAGATTACATCTTCCTGCGCCGCCACAGATACGTATTCCGTGAGAAGCGCGCAACGGAGAAGCAAGTCCTAGACGCAAATGGAAAGCCCTTGAAGGGAGTGGAAGACATCAGGGTTGGAATGCAGGAAATCGGGCCTAGAGCTACACTCAAGTTGAGGCGAATCGATAGGGGCATACAGTTCAAGAGTGGCCAAGAATGGCAATGGAAAGCGCATGCCGAGAAGGAGAGAACGCGCTTCAACATGTAGATGGCTGGCAGGTACTACTTTGGGCATGGAATACCACAGCTCCTGCAATCATGTTCGAGACCCCTGGTGCCGCTCCAATCTGTCCTACAAACATTACACGTCACTCAATGTTCTGAACGTTTATGGTTCTTTGCTTCATACATGCTGACGCAAATGAATGATGAAGTAGGTCATGGTCTGCGGCAACCTGAAACAATCACAGACCGGATGACTCTGAGATAGCACAGCTCGCGCATAATCGAAGTTAAGCCCACCACTCTCTCGGGTCCACATCAACGTGGACCATTCCATGGGTTGAATTCATCTAAACTCGCCGTGATACCAGACCAAGCTGTTGGTTAGCCAGGGACAAGGCGTCCAGACAGTGAACATCGAGGTCAGCGTATAACCAATGATCCATCATCGCCTTCAAAGACCAACTGTAAGAAGAAGATCATCCCCGGTGGTTCCCCAATGGCAAAGACGATCCTGTGCTGATTTGAAATGTGGACGACTTCTGAACGCTGTGCATGACACTTTCGTCATCGAAAACGGAGCCGCCTATGGTCGTTGAACGATTGAGCTTTGCTAGAAGTGAGACGGTGCTGAAAAGCGGCGTGATCAGCCAGTTCGTGATTCTCGCTGTATGTCCCATCTTGGATAGTGACTTGCTTAGTAGAGTAATATTTTAATGAGAAAGACGCTGACTTTGAAAGATGAGAAATTGAGGGATAAGTGTATTGCGGGCCAATGATATAGGAATGATAAAGTGTTTCGAATGAAATCTTTATACTGAGAAATGCTCCGAAACTTTGACCTTCTAGTGCTCATAATTCGGATACAAGAAACTTGTTCCGCCATTTCAGCCAGGAAATACCATAGGGTTTATCGTTGATTGTACAAAAGAACGCTGGTGGCCTATCGATTCTCGATACAAAGGGTCCTTGCCATGGGGTATTCTTGGCTGCAAGGGCCGTCATGTGTAGTATTCTAGGGAACAGATTGATCCGGTTCAGGAAAGGGTGGTTTTCGTGAGACCTTTATATCGCAGTTTGCTCACCATGAAAGACTCCCTCTCCCACGGGCAGATCTCCTCACCACCCTCTACACATGCATACTATGCCCCCCTTCCCTACTACCTCCCACCACCAATCTCTCCTGTCCCATCAAAATCCACTCTACCCCGCCTCCCCTGCCCGAACATGCTCACAAAGGTACCTCAACTGTTCCGGCGTCACCCCTAGCCCGCTGACCACCGCACACCGCTTACCCATTGCTGTGATCTCACGTAATCCCGTCTGACCACCCTCGACCCGCCGCCCCGGACCCAACACCTCAAGGCCGGCAGATGAGCACAGTGCCGGATCTTACGGTTACACGGTCTCAGCATCGATCGTTTGAGCGGCGTAAGAGCGGATGGCGGGCGGGTGGCTGAATGAGATGATAGGGGAAGGCGGATATCAATATTTTTGGTGCATGTGGTGTGGAGCGATGGTGACTTGGTGACGTCTGTAGCGGGAGAGGATAGGGGAAGCAGGACGGACACAGTGCGTCAATACTCCAGTGAGGATGTATAGCATGAACCTTTTGGCACTTTCAATATAATGTATTACGAGCCCATGGCGCTGCGTGAGATTACAATTCTAGGGCATAGACCATGTGTCGAGGCGTTGTATTATCAAGATCTTTAAGGGAATGCTTTCAAGGTAGACTGAGAGCTTGTTGGACCATCAATATCTACGACCGTACTCGGAAACCTGCCACTACACCGTAAAAAAATGAATGTCTGTCTAAAAAGGACACAAACCATAGGTCAAAATAGTCTATGCCAGTTCGTCGTATGATGGGATCTGGGGGCGATCCTCGAAGTGCGTCAAGGGAGAGCGTGCGCTCCGTGGTCACTTGCCATTGTTGCTTTAGGCCACCCAGCTGAGTTTCTTGATCGACTCAGCTAAGCTTCGCAGTGCTTTCGTATTTCCATCAGCAAACACTACTATTCAGCACACCTTCAATGATCGAAAAAGCCCTTACCACAATCCACGTGTCCTCGGGCGTAATGACTACCTACGTCAGGCGCACCGCTCACACACTTTAGGCAGGCAGTACTGCACGCGGGCCACAACTATTTTCACGAGCTGCTTCATTTGATGACCTCAACACTGCAAGAGCGGGCGGAACTGTTCAGCCTCAGACCCACATGATTACACGTACCTGCAGCATCACATACAAGGGGCCTTGCAGGATGCAAGCGTGGAGACCTGTCCGGCCGTCAAGCTTTTCGGGTGGTAAGAAAATGTTGGCCACTTTCAAATTGATAGGGAAGCCATAAGTGGTGCGATGTCTTGAGACTTGAATACTGCTTCGAACACCACCTGCCATCAAATGATGTACGCGGTGTGAGATGCGTACCAAGCGATCTTACACACCCCTGTTGTACGTGCCGTGCCGTGCCGGGACGTCACCACATATCTAGACCATACGCAGGTACATTCGCGAAGGAGGGTGATGCGACCTGTAATAAGCCTCTAGTCCGGTGATGGCGATGGCGGTGGCGACAAATGTCCGCGCGAGTGACATGCGCAATTGTCCCTTCGCCCGGGAATGACAACATGTATGCGCGCATTCGATGCCCGGTTCGTGGGAATTTATGGGGAATCATGGGTATGCATACGCAGCTCCAGACGCCGTACCGGTCCGCGGTTCCCTTAAAACTCTGCGAATTGCTGGGTTGGGCCCGAAGGATCGAACCCATGTTTGTCGCCACTGTAGCAGCTGCTGTTCCCGGACTTCGGGTCCGCGTGTGCAAGTATCGCATCTGCAAGATTTAGAGCTCCGAATTATGCCAGGCTGATTCTCGTTCCACATTCCAAAATTTAGGAATGGTGAACATGCTGTATTTTGTGTTGTCCAGTGTACTCCTTGCTCTTAGACGTCCTTACGAAAGATAAGCTGCGTTGCTTGAGGCTCCAAAGCCGGAGTGAACCGTGAATGCTTCTTTTGGGTATCAACTGTGTATGTTTGTGGTCTGTGCCCGGCTCGGACGATCAATTTATCCTAGCTGCCTTTTGATCGTGGATGAAGGGCAAACTTTAAAGTCGACTTGGAAGGATTCTTCACTCATGGGATTCTGACGGACAGTCTGGTTTAGCTGTCAAGCTACGGAAGCTGTGAATAGCCAGCAATTAAACATGTATTCGCTGGCTGGGATGACAAGTCGTCGTTGGCACGCAGCCCTGACATCGAGCATACACAGAATCGCTCTCAAATGCCTCTCGACGTGTCAGCGATTGCTAATTGAGCCCTACGCTGATCCAGCCCGCTTATAGGTACTGTTACGGTTTGGTTTAGGGATCATCGTACCGCACTGGGTCCCAAGCTGGTGGTTTGATCGGATGCTAACAGAACAACGAATCTCGCACATCTCTCGCGTGGAGCCACAGCCGGAAGCTGTTTCTACCGAGGATGTCGTCTTGACCGCTCTGAGTAAGCCCCACGAAGAAATAGCGCAAATAACGAAGTGGGGTCACGGCACTGGGGAACTGTATTTGCGGAAAGTTGACCGAGGAAAAGAACTCGGGGGAACCTTGAAAATGCCAGCGGACCGCGAAACAAAACCACGTTGCACCATGTTTTCAAAAGAGGATTGTCTGCGCTATAGGCTTGGAAATGAGTGCGCGATCACGCCAGTTTGTCGTGTTGGCAATTGCTTCTGCGAAACCCCTTACTAAATCCACGACGCGTGCTTTAGCTAAAGGCATGGTCCACGAGGCTGTTGGTGGTGGAACCAAGCATCGCTACCAAAGAAAGTCCCAATTGTGAAACAAACCTTGCGCCGCACCATAAGCGGACAGCCGTGACTCGCCCGCTCAGAAATAGAGATCAGCTTCTTGAGTGGGCCAATGCGAACACGGGTGTTTCAACTGTCGATGTTGTCAGGTACGGTACACCTGACTCTGTGCTACATGCGTAGCTGCGTTTCGCCGCACTGTCAACATGGCAGCGCAGCGCCAGGCATGTACCGATGAACAAGACAACAAGGAGACTTTGACTTTGTTGTCGTCAACCCAGTGGTGCCTGGACCATTGTCTTCGCGGAAAACAATAGTCGTGCAGTAGAGCTTGCCCTAGATGTAGTTGGCTAATTATGATCATGCCATCTGTGGCGTATTGAATGAAGTCATAGCTGTTCGGCAGTCGTTTTGGGGGAAAGCCTTGGCGGGAACGCCCGCAGCCAATTCTGGAGTCTATGGAGAAGTTAAGGAGCGATGTGATAGTCGGCCAGAGACTGCGTGCCACTGGCCGCAAGCGGACACCACTTCCAAATCGCCAAACTGACTACCATCTGTTGACCCAAGGTGGCGGGACTGGATCAACATGGTGCGACTGCTCGTCGAAATTTTTTGCGACTATCGATCTTAGCAATTGAAGCTATGCAGCTCGCGGGACTTGTACTTGTGCGCCCCACATGTATCTCGGGACGGCCTCCGTTGACGAGAACAGTGCCTCTGGGGTTGGTGAATGACGGACGCCATTTGATTACTCGAACGAAAAAGAGCCGCATACCGTTATTTGCTTGGTACAGAGGTAACCGACCAAGCGCGGAGAAGGCCATCGCCGTAGACCAAGAGACCGGTGTGTGTTCCGGAAAACTGCAGGAACCGTTTGGTAGTTGTGGTAAACTAGTCTACGGAAACGGGCCGCCACCCAACCCGGATGTTTTCATCCTCGTGATTGCATTTGCGGATAAAGACTGTGAGCTGCAGTAGTTCTTTGTAAGGTTTTCATCAACGGTGAAAGCCGGCCAGACTACTGGGATGTTGTGGGCATATACGAGGCAACGTCTGCAAGATTGTGGGATGGGTTGCAGTAGAGCGTTGACGGGGCGTCGTAGTAGGGTCCGTCTGGCTGGGATAGACCTTTGCAAGTACGAGGGGGCTTCGCAGTATGATTTACGTGGAGCGATACAGGTACCTCAGTAGGCTTGATTCCACACGGGATGTCGAGCTCTCTCGACGCCGACCACGGTATGTCTTTGGGCCAATTTTTGCAGACGACCAACATTGGTGACATGCTCAGTCCTGGAAGCTGCATCTTTGTGCAACTCAAGCAAGCCCGATCTGTTCGGGCCTATCACGCAAAGATGCATACTGTAAGCTCTCGTTTGGAGGGTGGTCGCATAGGTGCCTTTCCTGTGGGAGCAACCCCAGAGATGGGGTTGCGCTCCGTTTTCGGGACCGGGAGCGCAACACGACGGGCGAAAGGGAACGTACGGCTCGTCAGATGGAGATGGTGGGTGGCTGGAGTTACCGCGGAGCAAGGCAACGTCATTAACGAACAAGAGGACCTCGGAAAATGTGGCCTGGGCAAGTCGCAGCTGGGATAGTGTCGAATTGTGGGTGCGATGTTCAACGATGCAGGTACCAGGGCCAGGGCCCAACGGCACGGCTCAGCGTCGGGATTTTCAGGTGCTCTTGCAGGAAGGCGCGAAGGCACTGGCTATTCTTGCTCGGTACACGGTTGGGGAGCTGAAGTGAGCTGAGGTGGTGCTTGAAAACGGCACATTCGCTGGACTAGGCCGTCGATATTCGCGGCAGGGAGAGGCGCGCGATGGACAGGCGCCAAAGCCACCACCGTGGGAACATGGCGCCTGAACAGTCTAAAGCAAGCGTCTGGTACCACTCCGGCGGGATACACGGCGAGGCAAGGGACGGCTGACCGGTGCTGGCGCTGCTGTTGGTGAGGATACTGGCCAGGCGTGGTGGTTTACTGGACCTCCGGATGCCGGCGGACCTGGTGGAGGCATGGAGCTGCGGGCGATGTCTGACGGCGCACAATGCTTTGTGCAAGCTGCACGCGGCGAGGGTGCTAAGTCAGCTAGCCGTATGTACCTTGGGAGCGGGCGTGATGGCGCAGAACGAGGCGGCGGTGTGATGGCGCTCGAAGGGTGCTGCAACGCGCTGCAGGCCGCGCTTTCCTCGATGCAGCATCGCGGGAGGCCCCTTCCCCAGAAGAGCAATCAGCGCGGACGCGATCATCCCACGACCTTGACCTCCAGCAGAAACGGGCCTGGCTCCCTCCACAGCAGCACGCAATTGTGTGCGCAACGAGTGGACGTCCCACAACGCCCCTCCCTCGCCCGAGCATTTGCCCTCTTTGCGATTGCTCCGTTGTACCGTCTCCCCTCGCCTCGTGGTCGTCGGCAGTCGACTGCAACCGTGACGGCACGCCATGCTTGCAAGAGCTCGCAACGTGCCCTCCAGTCGCGTGCACCAGGGCCTGTTCTGTGTCCTCAGCTTCAGCTTCCACGCCGTGGACCAACGGATTTCTGCGGTACCCGTCGATTCTTGCCCGAAGCGGCAGGCTATCGCGGTGGAGCGCCGCACACGAACCGCTCCGCTTGTGGTTGGCAGAGGATTCTTGCCGTGATGCCCCGGAGAGAGCCGCCGATGAACTCTTGCTGCCCATGCTTGCGGTCCGAAGCACCCCTCAGGCCCTCAGACTCGCGACAGCCCTGCAATCAGTGACTGTCACTTGTCGGGGCTTTCGCCATGAGCGTGATGCTCGTCGGCTGTTTCATCGCGCGAGGCAAGATCGCTGGTGGCTGAACGGCCTGCTAACTGCAATCGGAGCCCCACGTTGTGCTCTGCAACGTACACATATGCTGTCCTACAGAGTCTATCGACCGCCTCTGACCGCCTGACCACGATGTTGCACCGTCTGCGTGGGTTGGTCTGCCTTCTGGCACGTTTGCTCGACACTTGGCGCTCTTTGGAAATTGGACAACCATCCCATGCTTCCAAGACCAACGTACGCCGTACGCTGGACCACTACTACAACACGCAGCGGAAGGACATCCGCGCCTCTATGCATCCGACCCGCACTGCTCGCCTGACGGCGGCGGAAAGTGTTCGGCCCTGGGATGCCTATCACTATTGCACCGACTCTCATGCGCACCGTTTGGTTTCGCTCTGCTTTGTTTCGCGCGTCCGACATGTAAATGACCTCGACAGCGCCCATGCCATCAGTCCCCTCATCAAGAGTCGGTTGGTGAGACGCTGGCTGCCGATATTTTGTCCATCGCACGGCAGTGGCTCTCGCACGGACTCGTCTTGATCGAAAAACAATCACCATGCGAACTGACCCACTGGCGGTCCTGGCGGCCATTTAGCCGTTTTATTTACAAGCAACACCCAATCAACGCGTCGACTCTTGCCCCTGTTCTGTTGTAAATTGCCCTGCTGCCGTTATGCCGGGCCGCTGGCCTTAGGGCTTAGATGCTGAGTGGCTTCTGCGTTGGACCCCCTGTCCTCGACCCCTGATGCTGCATCCCCCACCCTGACATCTATCCTGGGCACACTCAACTCGCCCACAGCCCGAACACGGACCCATACGTCGAGGCCATCCTTTCGTGCAGCGCGCTTGATCCCTGCTAGCACGCTAACTTCGGCGAGCACAGAGCACAATTCACTCCTCCGCTGTTCTGTGGAGGCCCATGTACTTACGGATGCTATCCCTACCCTCTGTTCGCGTTCTGCTACCACTCAAGTTCCCTGACCGTTTCTCTTGCAGCAACAAGATGCTTCGTTACGAAATATAGCCCCCGAGACGTCCACATTCACTCCCTCAGTCCAAACATAGAATTGTCAAAAGAAACTCACCTCGATACCAAGGTCCAGCAACCGTCTCGTCGTGTTCGACCTTCCTGTCATATTCCCGAGCTCTCTGTCCATCGCTGTCAATCACTGCCACCTCGATCGCTATTCCTTGCATCCTGCCGTTGCCGGACAGCGCTCCGTCGCATTGATCCTGCGATATAGCCTGGGGCTATCCTTCCTGTCAGTAAGACTCTTCACCGAGGTCTACCGTCGCTTCAGTCATTGCTTTGGTAGCGGCTGGCCCGACCTCCACCCACGGTAAGCACATGGCACGTACGATACCGTCGCGGCTGATTTACTCGCCTCCTCATTGTTGTTATTGTTTCCTAGGATCCCCCCCGGTCCTATTCGCGTTGTTCCTGTCCAATCCAGTCGCATGCCTAGGACTACCCTGGATGTCGCGCATAATACGCCGGCTTCGCTGACACGTCCAAGCAGATTATCGTTCTCTCATATATCCCGATCACGCGTACGCGACGGGTTGTCAAACTTCCCCGACCTGTCACGTAATACTCCATGAAGGTAGCCTTGACCATTCTAGCCAGCGACTTGTGGGGCTCTGTGCACGACGTTCAAGGACTCCCTGATCTATATTCCCATTGTTGAAGCTACTATTGCTCAACGGTTGTTAATCCAGGAATCTTCAGTCATGTTTGTTTCCCAGAAAAACAACGTCTTCATAGCCTCCACACAATCATCGGTGGATTCGCTCGTCACAAGCAGGTCAACCTCGACTTCCGTCTCTGATGTTGGGGCGTCTCAGAGCTCAGAATACTCTTCCTATGGAGATCCTCACTCACCAGAGCAGCGCGTAGGATCACTGCATGGAAAAAGACACTCCGTTTTTACTTTGCGATCCCGCAGTAACACGGCGACTTCAATGGCCTCTTTTGCACCTCCATCCTCACCGAACATGTCTGGGTATGACGCCTCGTCAAGTCGGTCGCTTTTCCGGAGCAAAAAGGGCAAAAGATCGAGTGCGTCATTCTCGCAAGCTCACGACCACGAGGAGCCGCCACCAGGGACTAGAAGATCATCTATGCTGCGTAAGAGCAAGAAGCAGACTGATCAAGCAGAGAGCTCCGGTAAGTTCATCTCAGTCTCTTCGTTCATTTCCGTATCTAACTAAGGCAGCGCAACACCTGAAGAGCCTGATTTCAAACCCCTTTGACTTTCAGCATCTTACGCACACCAATCGGCAACATTTCGCTGCCCTTGAAGAAGCGACCGAAAACGAGCTTGCTGCTGGATTCCGTGCGGTTCGAGCCTCGCAAGCACCCTGTCGTGATCTTAACGGGATTAAGACGCAGGATTTGTTGCATTCTTCAAACTGTTCAGAGGAAGATCTAACGAACACTGAGCGACGGTCCATTTCTGCCATGGAGCTCAGACCGCCTCCCGATTTCATCGACCACGTTATCGAATCGCAAGAGCCTGCCGCGTCCCCGGAAAGCTCGGTGCGACCACCGCTGCGCCAAACTCGTTCTGTTGAGAGCTTCTCCCGACCAGTCGTCAATGCTCGTACGCATCGCCACACTCAGTCCGCGAACCCACCACCGCGAGGGTCATCTCGCAATCCGGCCGCCAGTCACGATGCTCAAGACACTGTCACGATGCGTACAAACAGACAATCAGGTGTGTGGGACAACGCGGCTCCGTTGAGTCCTACGCGCATGGGTGGGCTACTCCCTACTATGGCTGAAGAGCCCGACTGCGTTGGTCACGCCCTCACTACGCCCGACGATTCGGCCATACATCCTTTCACTCCTCCGTTCAGTCCTGCCCTGGAAGATGTTGCAGAAGAGCCAGAGCGCTTCGTCAGCCCTAGGCCTGCACCCCTACCACCGAACAAATCCCCGAAATCCCCTCGCTCGCCCTCGCATGGATCCTTCTCCTTCAGCCAACGATCTCCTGTCGCTAAAACGCACGCTCGGAGGGATTCACACGTGCTACCAAATCAACTGAATATACAGACAATCGCGCGGCCTGTAGCGCCGATGTCGGAGGCCCACGTATCTCCTGGTCTATCCCGTAAAAACTCAATTAGGAAGCCGTCTAATGCTCAAAGAAAGTCGAATACGTGGAAAGTGATAGAAGAATCCTGGGAGGATGACATCGATTACATATATGACAACGCCCTCGAGGCCGAGTGCGAGCTGGATTGGGATGGAAACAACCAAGACCGTAATCGTGCGCCTGGGCAACAAGCTCACCGACAAGCGACAGCTATCCCGTCAAATCCCAGCGCAGTATCGACACCAGTGCTTGAAGATGAGCCACCCTTGACTCCAGGTTTATTCGCCAGCAACTTCCGTGCATCACTGCTGGTCCCAAACATGAACAACGTCCCTGAATTGGAACCAAGGTCCGCCGTCTCCAGCTCCACGACGAGTGTGCAGACACCTTCCGATTACTTCAATCCCCAGGGCCCGTTCGGTGAAGCCGGCCGCTTTAGTTTCACACCGTCGGTCCTTGGGTCAGCGGAGTGCAAAGATCAGATTCCTCGCGAAGATATGTACGACAACCTTCTGGCAGATTACGAGGGATCAGACAAGCACTTCCCACTCCTTGAACCAACTCGCAGCGTTGCCAGCTCGACGCGTAGTAGTCACGTCCGAACCAGCAAGAGCTCCTACGACAGCAGCGTCATGTCTAATGGCCATGGCTCAGGCTCATGGACCGCAGGCATTCGTCGCTCTGCGGGCTCCGCGGGGAGCCTTCCAGAGCTTGTTCACTCCTCTCGGGCCCCTCGCCAGGACCTCTCTCCAGTGGTTGACCAGATTTCCGAGGACATGGGTTCATTCGCCTTCCAGGACGAGAATGATGAAGATGATGAGGCAACTCCGCCAGGTCGCAGTCCGCAAGGACGGACCTTCTTCGCCTCGAGCGATGAATACGAACCCGCAAACTTCGCACAGACTACGCTTGACGCAGAGATGAAGGATTCACTTGAGCTGGCTCTTCAGGGCTCCACTGGCTCTTCGTCTCAGTCTCGAACGCACCACAAGTACGCATCTTCCGACGGCGCTGCTAAGTTGCTCGCTTCAAACAGCACAGCTCGTACCAGAGCCGGCAGCGTGCCACAGAAAAGTCGAGGTCAATACCTCAGCCTCTTTCCCACCCCACCCAAGCACTAGGCGACCCCTGCGGGGATCTCCCAACTACTGCTGAACCGTTCAGCACACGCAACACAGTACACTTGCTTCGTTTCATATGACGTCACGGCTTTGCATTGCTTCTTGTATATCCTTATGATCACGATTGGTTTGGTTGTTCTCTCGTTTGTCAACATCGAAAAGGTTTGGAGTTATCCTAATTGGCGTGGAAAGACAAAAGCTAAGGTACAGGCTTGGAGTTTCATCGTTCCGTCGTTTCTTTCCTGTCTCACTCACTGTCGTTTACAAGTCTTTCTTCGCTCGTTGGTCCTTGGAGTTCATCTACAGTGGCGTTTTGTTCTGCAGCTCGAGCGCTGATTCGGGCCGAGTGATGTACTCGCTCTATACTATCTGCGCCTGCGCTGTCGGGTCTTGTCGACTATATCTCCTATGTCAGAGTCAGGGGGCCGGTGCAGGTACGAAGCGATGGATACGAGGCGGCTGGCTGCTTTAGACGGGACGCCCTGGGTTGGGTTGGGACAATTGTTTGTAGATGGTCGTTTATACGAGGTGTTGCAATCCCCCATTGCGCTTCTCAGCCCCGTCCCGCGTCGCGCGTGCTGCATGTTCAAGTCTGGATCGTGGGCGCGCCGCCCGCACGCTGTGCAACGTCGCCTGCAACGCCACGAACCGCGCAGTGGCACAGTTGGAAACGCGTTTGCGTAGAGACCGCAGGTTGACTGCACGGCTCCCCACCCCCTTTCTGTAGAAGATACGCAGCGAAAATTGTGCGACTGATGGCAGCAGTTGCGACCAGATCCGTCACTTGCACGACCGTCGCTTGCGATGCTCCTTCCCCCAATCTACACTCCTCTGCAACTCGCGTGCGCCCGCCGCGGGACCGCTACGCTGCACCACGCCTCCTCGCGGCATCCATCCTCCCAGTTCCATCGCCGCATGCTGCGTCGCCGCCAGCAGTGTTCGCGACACGGCCCGGATAAACCCCTCGGCAGGGCCGGTGCTGGCAATCTGCGCTCGCTCCAATCCGCATCGGCTGCGCGCTGGATGCAGGCAGGCGCGTTGAGATTAGCCTCTGCCTGGCTTGCTCCTCTGTTGATGGAGCGCGTTGCTGCGCTGGCGACACTTTTCTCTCAGCGCTTGTCGCGCCGCGGCTGTCTAGCAATGGGCATCGCGGTTATCGATAGTTGTGGAAGGTCGTCCTCGAAGGACGTTTCAGGTATTCCGTTGCACCGCTTTCCTGCCTGTTCCGGAGTAGGCGTTTGAGCGGCAGTGTACATGCCCAGCATGGTATCGTGAGCCTGCCTGTTCTGTCCTGGGGTATGTGGGCTGGGTGCGAGTAAGTGGTTTACCCAGCGAGACGAGTGTTTGATGCGCGACGGGGGCGCTGGTCTGCCGTGCCGGGCGCAGCGGCGTGTAAGGAACCTGGTTATAGGATCCGATTCTATACGCGCCAGGGTCGCGACTTCTGCTTTCGACACGACCGAGGAAATAGCCGCGAAGGGAGTAAGATGCAGGACAAGGTGGATTGCAGCATGCACAGCTTTTGGCAATTGAGGGTATCTAGAAGAAGGGTGAGGTGGTCGTATCCGACGCATGGACGTGGCGATCTTCACCGCGCGGGAGGGTGATGAGGGCTTGCTTCACTATGGGAAGTGCCGTTTGGTCTTGCGTGTGTTGGATGTGCATCTCGCCCTTGCAGCTTCTGGGCGATCTTGTTGCCGCACGCACAGGTGTACTACCCGAACGAGAGCGGAGGAGAAGGGGAGTGGATGGATTGAGCTGCGTGCGTGGCCGAGAGCGGCGTGGAGGTTGACGCGCGTTTGTTCATATGCGCGCAGGCGCCACTTCATTTACTTGAAGTCTGCATTGTTTGTGTGTATGCCTCCATAGGATTCGAAGCATATTGGGTTGCTGTCCTTCTGCTGGAAACGGGAAATGCTCAGTGACCCGTTGATCAGAAACGGCCGAGCCTTGACGGTTGACTCGGTTCAAGTACGTAATTTAGCACAGCCATGACAGTTGCTGACAGTTCTTGAGGGCTTCGACAACTTTCCTGTTGGTTTTTCCCGTAAGCTTCTGATTTTCCTCAGCTCGATTCGGTTCACAATTCATGCCTTGTTCGCCTTCATAGCCACCAAAGACACCAGGATCGCACCTGCTGTCAGAATATACGCACTGACTCCAAAAGCACCTTGGACGTCCATCTTTAGATATGACCATAGAATACCGAATATCAGACTACCAGTGAAAAACATGACGAAGACCAGCAACGTGATCATATCGCTGTCCAAGCCTTCATGGAAGTATATGCCCCACCCTTGGGCTGGTTCTCCTATCGGTTCGTGAAGTTCGCCAACGATACGTATGGGCAGCCGATCCAAGACTGATCGTACATGCTCGGGGATGCATGACGGGCTGGAGTAAAAATGTGCAAGAACCTCTGGCAGAATAGGGGGTCCGTACTTTAAGGGACCTGCGGGATAGCACTGATATTCCGCATTTTCTGATGGTTGCACCAGGGCTGCCGGCGGGAGGCAAGTGCAGTCCTGCTTGCAACATTCTTTGTGATGACGAACCTCCACAGCGCCTCCTGCAAACAGGTTGAACCCAACGATGTGGATGCCCTTTACAGTTTTCAGGGAGCATAATGTACGGATGTGGCCGCGCTTGCTTTTGTAGAGGTCTCGGAGGAAGTCGAAAAGTTGCCGGTCAGTCTTGATAGCGTCGATACATCCCTGGTACAAGCCCTTCCCAAGTCTGGCACTGCGCATCGATGTTAGAAGATGTAGCAATCGCTGAGGTTGAGTGGGTGTTCTTTGCAGTGAGTGTGTTGTTGTGGTGTTGCCGCTGTGTTGTGGAAGAACATTTCGCTCCAGAGGCTTTCCCAACATTGTTTTGAGCCTTACATAAACCCTGTTAAGCCATAGCAGGGGCCGCGGAAGAATGAAGATTTGTGTGCTACTTTCCAGTGATGTCTGTGCGGTCTCTTGGCCATCGATAAATCTTAATCCGAACATGTCGTTACGTCTAACATACTGTCGCATACCGGGTATTTCATAATCATCTTCTAAAAATCCTGGCATTTGGCGGGCAGCGTAATCATGGGCAAATTCGGGTGTGAAAGCGGAGTAGTCAAAGGTGAATCTTTGTCCGCATCTCTGTGAATAGTCAGTCATTTATTCTATGGGATGTTTTCCAGGATGCTTACACACTGCCGCCGGACCCTTATTTGCCCGACTTCCAGCGGAGGCTCCAGGTACCCGGTGGTGACGAGCAGTTCGTTTGGTTTGACCATGCGGGGTGTTATTCTCCGACCGCATCGCCGTAGCCATAGTCCAAAAGCCACGAATGCAACAACTTTGCAACTGACGAACCCTTTTTGTTTCCATAATAATCGTTGCCATATATCATTGGCAGTATATGGGGTCCAGCTGTTCCATCGGGAATCAGGAGCATCGGCTGCCATCTCAAGATTCAATAAACATCGATACGGGACGGATGCTAAGATCACTGCCGACACTGCTCCTCTATAGCGTCTATACCTGAGATTGCAATACACCCACAGTGTTCCTTCAATGAAATGAATCAAGTTCAGAAATAGTATAGCCACAGCAATAAAGAAAGCCGCCCATGCAGGAGTATTTCGCCGGTCGTGCCATAGTCGTGCAGTGTTGGGACCCCGAAGCCGTTCCCAGTTCCAGAAGAACTCCGATTCCCGCAGAAGCCCCAGGAGGGATGGAAAAGTTAAGCAATAGGTCAAGGTCAATGTCCAGTACCAAGGCCATTGGTCATGTGTCGATGCCAGCCACAGAGCGAGAGTATTGGTTATCGTAAAGGTGGACGCGAGTACGAGTTGGGCCACCGTGGTCTTCTCTATCTCAGGAATCGGTGGTTCTTCGATTGCGTTTTGATCGTCCCCTAAGTTTTTAATCCAGATCCCATGAACTTCTTCGTAGATGTATCCTTCCTTGATTACCCCCATCATTTTTTAATTATTCCAGGCGGCATACAATGATATTTTCCAATCTAAGGCAGATACGAAAGGCTCAGCCTGGTCTCAATACAGATCTTTGCGCCTGTTACGTGCGATCGATAAACAAATTATCTAGATAAAGAGAATACCCAGGATCGGCAAGTATTCGGAGAAAAGAGAGAGAGTCTCAGCTTTATCGGCAGAGGGTTACCAACGACTTCTCTGTGAAATTGAATGTTTGCAAAGGCTGTTCGAGAGAGCCTAGCGAGAACATCAAGTGACCGTTCGTCAGCCTGCCAATGTACATGGGACAGCCCACCAATCATATTCAGTCCGCAGCCGCTCAGCCTGGCACCATACAAGCCTCGAGTCGCATGCGCACCACACAGCCTTCTGCTTCGATCGTGACGAGTATGTACTAATAAGACAGCGGTCCAGACCTAGATAGTGTACACTGTGGCTATAGAGTCTAAAAAAACACCCGAACCCATAAACTCACACTAATAGTTTGGGGCTTCAAGGAAAGGTCCCGAACTTGAGCATATCATGTTTTACAAGAAATGGCAGCTGATTTGGACCGTAATGCACGGGCTGCAGCGGCTGCAGCTATGATTCGGTGAGGAACAATTGGAAGTACCATATAGAGTATAGAGCCGAAGTGCGCTCTCTACGATATATAACTCTACATACGTCTCTTGGAGGCTTAGAACTTTGATAGAATAACCTTCATCAACTCAGTATGGTCTCCATGGCGCTGATCAGGTTGCTGCATGTGTCTAGCTTACGTGGAAACACCTGGAAGCCAGAAGAAAGCTAATTTCGGCATTTTAGTGGACCTCTCATTATGCATGGTATAATTTGACTCGTACACTTGGAACCGGGCTGAATCACATGTGGCGGCGGATATAAGGCTGCGTTCTGTGTGTCTAGTTCGAAAGAAAGTAACAGCGATAATGTGTCTTGAAACTGATACATAAGCTTCAACATTAGTGCCTTGGTACAGCCGCAAAGCAGTGAATGCTTTCGACTGTTATTACTTCGCTGTAGTCCTTGCATCGGCCCCGTTGTTCATATCGCTCCTCATTCGCAGATTCAATTAGGCTGTACCGTCTTGAAATCCATCTCCTATCCCTAACCCATTCCACGCCATCAAATCTTCGCCTTCGCACCCTTCGGTCCCTTCAACGCACAAGTCTGTGTCATACTCGCCACCATCTTCATCTCCCCTTTCCCCTCCCCACCCTCTCTCCACAGACCAACCTGCACATGATCCCGCTCATCACCCGCTGCCAACGCCGTCTGCTCCCTCAGATGCCACTGCCCGGCATCCAACTCATCGACGTGAAACCTCAGCGCAAAGTCCAATGTCGCATACACCTGTGCTTCCTCCGGTCCTATCTTTGCCCACCACGGCGCAACCACGGACGTCCATGTGTCGAGGAAATGAGCGAAGAGACATGCCGAAGTCGCGGAGGTGGTGGGGGGTAATAGTGTGCCTGTGTCGTCTTTGGAGGTGCTGTGGGCGAGCGGAAGCTTCTCACGTAGCTGGATCCAGTCGTACGAGGCTTTCTCTGCATGGGGTAAGCTATCCTGGGTAGTCTCCTTGTCGAGGCGCATCCCCACCGAGCGCTGCGCTAGTACTCCTTCGGGGCAATAGCGGTTATGCCAGATATTCAGCAGATCGAAGGAGGGCATCATAAAGGCGAGCTTTCTCTTGTCGATGCTGCCGTTTTCAGCGTCGATCTGGAGTTTCTCATGCATGTCTTGCAGTTTGGAGTGGTGTGTGAGGGGAGATATTCGCGGCTGTGCGGAAAATGAGAGCATCGTCCGGTCTTGAGCTTTGGCGATAAAGTCGACGAGTATAACGCTCGTTGTGCGGGTCTTGCCCGCTATATCGGTGGTCGGTTGGGAGACGATTACTTGTCGTGTTGCGAAGCCTCGTGTGTCGCGGAGGGCGGTGACTTTGAGATCCAGAGGAACAGAGCTGCGAGTTGCGCCGTAGAAGTGACCGAGCATTGATTAGGGACGCAGATTCGCTAGTCTTGCCGGTTCTATTGTTTGGTATGCTGCGTGGATGGATTGTGCAAGTGTACTTCCGCCAAAGGCTACATCCGCGTACAGGGGGTTCGGCGGCTGGATCGACTGGAAGCGCCAGCTGCCATCTTTGTCCTGGCCGGAGGAGCGGAGAGCAACTATTGACGTCGTATCGATCATTGGGATGTCGTTTTTGGCTTCACGCTGAGTGTGAAAGCTGCACTAAATGCCTAAAAGGTCTCCTCCGATGCAATTGGTAGTAGGGTCAATAAAGGTGAATTTATGCCGAAAAAAACTGATATAGAGAAAAAAAAATATTGGTAGTGCAAAACGGCTTTGAATAGATGTGTACATGCGTATGCTTGTGAGAAGGTAGCATAAGATCCCGCGCCATAGTCGAGTACTGCTTACGCCAAGGACTTCTGCACGTGGCAGCGCGATAAAAACCCATAAACTACATGCATCCAATAAATCTTCAGCATAAATTGATGTTAACATCGCGTTTCATGCTAGCGGGTACTCCCCCATGCTCTGACGTTGCGAAAAGCTCATGGTAGGCTAGCGGTCCCCTGCGTGTCACCCACGTCGACCACACGCCGTCCCAGTGACCTGTTAATCAATGGTCCAGCGCTATGGATCAAGGGTCTCTCTCAATCGCATGCCCGACCGCGCCTGATCTTGACTTTACAGAAACCGAGCAGCTGGCGCAAATATCATCCTAACGCCAGAGTCAAGAGGCGAACAAGAGAATTCGAGTACAGTAGAAGAAGACATCGTATTAAAAAGGGGTATACCTAAGCTCTCCCAATCCAAACTCGCTTATGCAAACAAAAGAAATCCAACCCAATGAAGGACTTAGGACCAAAGACCAACCCAAGCACCCGCCAACCTCTGATCCAGAACTACGACCAACGCCGAACAATGCATGTGAACAATCCAGATCTCGAGCAAGCAGACAAGGCTGTTTGTCTATCCAATCACCACTGATCACACAAACGCGCCGTCACGCAACAGCGCAAGATCCAAGCTGTTCAAGAATGTGCCTTGCGTGTAGGCTCGTGCGAGAATATTCAACCTAGTCTCAGCGGAGATATCCTAGTTCCCATTGGTGAGAACATTGCCGTTGCTCGCACCGCCCATGTACCGCTGCATGTACGTGATGTAGTCATACTTTGGGATGTTGCGGTCTTCCTGCAGATCTGGGCCTTTGTGTTCGGGCATACTTGCGATGAGATCGTCAATGATCTCGTCCGGGACGAGCGAGTGGCGGAGGTCAAGCTCTGTAACGTATGGCTGCATTGTGTGAATATTGCATGCTTTATAAGTATAACGGCGAGTAGGATGGTGCTTACTTTGCCATCAGCGACCTCTTTGAACGACTCGAATACCTGCTCTGCTGTGTTCTGGTCCTCCGTCTCATCCACCATGAAGCGGATAAACTGCTCAAAGGTGACGTAGTCGCGTCCTCCGCTCGTTTCACGGAACTTCTGGTGCATCTCCTCTTCGTCATACACAAGGCCTAGACTGGCCAATGCCGCCGAAAATTCCAGCTCTTGCAACGAATTAGATGCGTCGCGGTCGAAATGTCTGAACACGGACTCGAATTCTTCCAGTTGTATTGGCGTCAGATTTGTCATGTTACGAGCGACCATCTGATTTTCCAAGAAAGCCAGCTTTTTCGAGACAGATGACTTCACCAGGCCAAGTTCATACTCAAGCTCGTCGTAGGTGTATGTGGTGTAGTCGTTTTCTTCGATGTTGGCTTCCACGCATTGCTCGTCGAGTGTGGCAATAACGTCCAAATATTGCTCCAAAGGCGCGAGGTTATCGCTGATCTTCTTAGTGTGGTCCATTTGGTCCTCAACATCGCCTTCCAGGGCTGAAAGGGATACCGATAAGGTATTTAAGGCCAGTGCGAAGTCGTTGGCTTTGTCGGCGAATGTCTTCCGAAGTGCATTCTTGATGTCTCGTATCGTCTCGTTGATGACTTGGGAGCGCTCGCGCTCAGCTTTCATGAGATTCGACCATGCTGTATCCAGAGCTTCCAAGCTGAGTTCGGGCGGAGGTTCGTATGGGTTCAAGCGGTAAGTCGATAGTTTCGTCTTGATGTTTCCCAGAAGTCCAGCGACTTCTGACTTCTCAGCAACCCATGTGCGTTTATTCTTGCGTTTGTATTCCGTGAATTTGCCGGACTGAGCTTTTGCATCAATGTAGGAACCGTCAAAAGTAGCCTCCTCCCACTGCTTGCGCTGCTCAGCAATCTGTCGCAGCAGTTCGCGCATCCGCTGCTCAAAGTTGTTCTGCATCTCCCAAGCGCCATTCATGTTTTGTACGAATTTCTCTACTCGGCGGCCAGCGTTCTCGACGCGCTCCATCTGCGAAAAGGCGTGGAACCAGTAGGCAATGTAGGTCATGAGGGATCGCTCGTCGGGTTTCGCTACGTCGCAGACGTCTTCTACATCGAGCAGGTCGGGAATGCCAATCTCCTTGGACGCAATGTCGAAAGCGAGTTGCATGTTTCCGCGGTGGTCACTCTTGTCTAGGCTATCGTAGTCGATGAGATCGGGACGGTGGATGTCTAGGAGCGCGCAGCTGTTTGTTTGTCAGCCCTTGCCCGAGAAAAGTCTCGCAGTCAACGCACAATGCCAGTCCATCGTTCCAACTTGTCGAGAAGTCGCGCACTTCGACCTCGTCGTAGCATGCCGTCTTCCTCTGGCACCACAGCAGAAGACCCTCCTTGGCACTCAGACCTTCCTCGTTGATGTCGCTGATGGTAAAGCGCAGAATCAAAGTCCATATCAAGCCCAGTATAATCTTGCTGTTGCCGTCGACCACGTCCTCGGCACCAATGTTGGTCATCTGGATGCCCCTCCTTTTGATGTAGTCCAGCGACTTGTTGACATTCTCAAACTTCTGCACGCGCAGCTTCGGCCGGGAGGCATAGCGGCCGAGGGATTCGTTGCTCAGGATCTCGAGGAGGTGCACGAGGGCGATCTGCGGCAGTCAGTAAACAAAGAGCAGCGTGGCCGTGGAACGGGAGGCAAGCCCGCGGAGGGTGTCGAGGAGGTGACTGACGCCGTCGGACAGATCTGTGATCAGGTCGTTGATCTCGAGCTCGCGGACCTTGAGTTTGCTGTTGAGCCTGCCGCCATGGGCTTAGTACGGGGGACTCGGGGGTTTGGCGGGGGATGCGCACCACTTTGTGAAGGTCTTCTGCTGGACCTTGACCCATTGCTGCTCAAGCGGGGCCATGGCGGGCGATGTGCATGAAGACTACAGAGTCGGTGTGCGTACAGGGAGAAGAGGGTGCATGCGGTAGGAATATGGGCCGAGAGTCTACTGGGCGTCGTGTGCTGCTGCTTGGTGGGTTGCGAATCGGCGGCCAAAACAAATGGGGCTGCCGCGAGTCGGCTGGGTCGAGGCGGCGGGGGTCCGCAAACACCGTTGGCACCCTGTCAGTGGCTCGCCCACCACGACGACATCAAACCCGCCCGCCAATGCTGTTGCGCTATCCAGCTGCACCCATTGCACGCCGGCTCCCGAGCGAGCAAGCACAGTGCGAATTGCCCGCGCATGGCTGCTGCTGGAAGCAGCCGCATGATTTTCGCTTTCCACCTCTTTCCCGCGCGTCATGGTTGCAGCCGACGCTGAAACTGTGCCATCGCTTCCCTACCATGAGCCGGCTATACGCACCATCCTTGTCCAATCGTCTTTCCTGCTTCTGTTGAATCTTGTCAATGCTGCCCTCGACCGCCTTGTTTACTGCGGACTACTGGGTCAAGTCTTCCTAGGCATTGCCTGGGGAACCCCTGGCGCCAAATGGCTTTCATCTGAGGTTGAGGAAGTCATCGTGCAACTGGGCTATCTTGGCCTGATACTGCTTGTATACGAAGGTATCTAGTGTCCCCAAACAACTCGCCTTCGATCTCGCCAGCCTCACACCCGTATACGCGGCACGTGGCAGTGAGAAGTATAGAAACTAACATCTCCAGGCGGGCTTTCGACTTCTTTCAAGTCTCTAAAGGCCAACATCGTCCTCTCCTCCGCTGTCGCTCTCACAGGCATTGGCCTTCCAATTGGTCTGTCCTACACCCTTCAACCACTGCTAGGGGCAACCCCCCTCCAAGCATTTGCGGCGGGGGCTGCACTATGCTCGACGAGTCTGGGCACCACCTTCACAGTGCTTGCATCAAGCGGCCTATCATCGAGCCGATTGGGCGTCGTCTTGACCAGTGCCGCCATGATGGACGATGTCGTTGGGCTTGTCATGGTACAAGTCATCTCAAACCTGGGCGGAGGTGATATCGGTGCACTTGTCATAGCCCGACCCGTCTTGGTATCGGTTGCGTTCGCATGTATTGTACCTTTGCTGTGTCGTATGGTTGTTAAGCCCTCCACTATAGTGCTGAATCGGTTTCGTAAAAGCCAGCCGGACGCCTGGCTAGCCAAGCTGTTATGCCTCAGACACACTGCCTTTGTCTTACACACCGCTCTTCTTCTAGGCCTTGTCGCAGGCGCTAGTTATGCTGGTACGTCTAATTTGTTTGCTGCGTACATTGCGGGCGCAGTGATCAGCTGGTGGGATAGTGAGGTGCCTCACCCGGTGCATCGACTAGAGTCGAAGACATCTTCAAAGGGGAAAATAGAACCTGCGCAAACTTCATCCCGCGAAACAACCCGCGAATTTGGAGTGATTTCGGCGGCAGCTGATATCCAAGCCGGGCTAGAACAGGACCATGAAGAAGAGCGCGATCCCGGGGCTACATCCCAGAAAGAGCCGCAAGTCGACGAGGATATCTCTGGGACTGCTGTCTATGAGCGTTACTACCAACAAGCTGTAAGTCGAATCCTGCAGCCGTTGTTCTTCGCTTCGATAGGCTTTTCTATTCCGATAACGCGCATGTTCCGCGGGTCTATCGTATGGCGCGGCATCGTGTACACGATCTTGATGGCGGCTGGAAAACTTACGTGCGGTTTCTGGCTCGTCCGCTTCTCTCTTGCGCCTTTGAAGGAGACTTTGAGCAAAGTGTTAGCGAGATTGAGACTGCCGTCTATTCCTCACTTTTGGGGAAAGAAAGATAGCAGCGTCAGCCGGCCACGTCCTGAAAGTACACAAGGACAGCAAGATACCAACACCCAGACAAATCGTCACACCTCCCCCGAACCGAAGCCGTTCTCTCTGCACCCACCCCTCATACTGGCCTGCGCGATGACAGCCCGCGGGGAGATCGGGTTTCTTATCTCGTCGGTAGCTGAGTCAAAGGGAGTCTTCTCATCAGGACAACAAGAGCCTGGGTCGAGCTCAGATATGTTTCTGGTTGTAACGTGGGCCATCGTCCTGTGCACGATCCTAGGACCGCTAGGTGTAGGTCTGTCGGTACGTAGGGTGAAGAGGCTGGAGGAAAAGAAGAACAGAGAACAGGAAGGAGCGGGTAGGGATGTCCTTGGTGTATGGGGTGTGGGGTAGTGCTGGAGGAGCGAGTTGTTTGGCATGGTCGGCAACTGGCATCCCGGCGGGTGTGGAACACTCGTGAAGGGACCAGCTTCTGGATGGCAGCAGCGCGGGGCGTGTTTCTCTGACAAGAGTTTACAGTTAACCGGCAGCTGTCGCGGCCTAACTTGCCTGTACATTAACAACTCGAGAATATCAAGAGTGGCCCGGAGGCATCATGCTTCCGAGAAGCTAGATAGCTGCAAACGTAGAATCGTAGATCGACGCCAGTGGTGCACTTCCCTACTGTGAAGCTTCCATCTTGCTGTAGTGGTTCGCCTCGGTAAGCCTACCCAAGCAGTCGCCTGGCTGCACATATGACGTCTTAGGCGGAAACAGTGTAACACTTGTGCGGTGCGTGTGCATCTGATGCAAAACCGCAGCATTGAAACGCGGAAAGGCAGCCGCATGGGGGATATGCAGTACGTGTGGGTCTGGCACGAGTCGGCGAGAGACTGGATGAGATGGCTGAAGCATTATCCGAACCACACTCGGCATCCAGCCATTAGTGGTTGAAGGGCGGACCCGCTAGGACAGGGTCTACAGGGACAAGAGATGTCGACAACAAAAGATGGCCAGTGGTCCGCGAACACGAGCACCCAGAGTCAGGATTCAGGTGCAAAGATAGCAAGCTTCGCGCGGACAGTGGTGGTGGCGGGCGCGGTTGGACGCCGTCGGTGGTTGGTGGGTTTGGCCGCAAGGCAAGGGTGTTTCAGTCGCGCGTCTCTCTGATTCAGGCGGGCGTCTGAAACGGGCAGAGGGCAAAGAGGGCAGAGCCGCCCGCGCTCTCTGCAGTCAAGCTTTGGACCGCCCGCTGCTGGAGCCGTCCGCTGCCATGGGCGTGCTAGTGCGTGAAACATAGCAGCGTGAGCTGCAGCAGCAAAGACTGCTCGTGGAATCCTTCATCTTGATCGCCAGCCTATGAAGGCACCGTGCCAGACGCATTCGCCGCCGTGTGTTTCCTTGAGGCTTAGAGAGGTGTCAGCAGTGTCACGTGCCCTGCATCGCTGCTTTAGCCTGCTGGCGGACTCGACCAACACTGCACCCAAGCTAACCGTGGTGGTCGAAGACGCCGCTACGCCCATCGACGTCTCCGCACCGACAGCACGCTCCCTCGCTGCTCTCGCCTCCTGTCCGACGCCTGCGAGCACCTCTGCCTCGCGCCGGAACACCTGAGCCTCCTATGACGGTGTCTGTCTAGGACTCACCCTCTGGCAGCGACATCGACTGGCCGCGCCTGGCTCTCGCTTTCACCGACTGCTGCCCACCCAGCCTTCCGCACCTACGCCACGCCCTGCCCGCGGCCCTCGTGTTCGCAGCACTCGCTCTCCAGGGGCTCCACCGTGCTTGACGAACGCGCATCCTCTTCTTCTCTCCGCCGCTGGCGACGGCATCCCACACGCCCTTCGGCTCAGCCGACACCCCCCACACTCGCACCAACATCGGGAGTCTGGCGGCAGTCACTGCAGCAGCAAACATTGTTGCCGAACACTGCAATAGCTAGCACGCCATTGTGTGCACAATTGTGACTCCAAGTAAGTCTTCTGACAGTCGCGCTTGCCTACAACGCTTCTTGGCGCTCTGTTCACCCCTCCATGGCCCTGCCTCGGCCTCGGCCCTGCTTCGAGCGCTCAACTGCGTCCGCAACGCTCTCCACTCCATATTGCACCCCGCAAAGCTGACCTTTGCACAGAATGTATTCTCGCGATCAGTTTATGAACCCGGGGCCCGCCCCGCGGCCCCCTACAGATCGACCCCGCCTTGCGTTGACTCCGAACACCAGCAATACGCTGCCTGGAAACATGGCCGGCATGAGCTTACAATCTCCCGCCTCCTACAGCAGTGGAGGATACGGCAATGGCTCGACTACCTCACTGATGCGCACGCAGACCGAAAGGAGCATGTCGTCAAATGCGACGGTCAAGGAGGGCAATGTCAAGGTCAAAGACGAGGGTCTCTTCAAGTCGTTCGTCTGGGCTGACCGTTGGCTCGTCCTCCGCGAGTTTGAGCTTACCTTCTTCAAAAGCGCAAACTCTAACAAGGTGGCAAATACGATTCAGCTTCGTGATGTCCTTGGCGTGGAGCGTTCCGATACCCAGCCGCTTTCTTTCGAGATCACGAGGTCATTGAACCCCAATAAGGGCTCTTCACCACCTCGAGATGGTCCTGCTAAGGTTATCACCTGCAAGGTAGAGACCGACGATGAGGTTTATTCATGGATAGACAGCATTTACCAACGCTGCCCTAGCATGGGTGGGGTCAGCAACCCCACCAACTTTACTCACAGAGTACACGTAGGCTTCGACCCCACGAGCGGCGCTTTCGTTGGCTTGCCAGTAGAATGGGAGAAGCTGCTCACTGCCTCCGCGCTTACCAAGGATGACTATGCGAAGAATCCAAAGGCCGTTTTGGAGGTACTGGAATTCTACACAGAGAAGCTAGTCAAGCGTGCAGATGACCCGGCACAATATCCTAGCCTAACGCCCACGCCGCCAGTCACCGCTGGCATGGAGAAGCAACTTGGATATGCGGCCGGTGGCAGTTCCATCGCACCACCTCGCCCTGCACCCCCCAACGGCTATGCTCGCAAGGACAGCTACAGCTTGTCTCGTCAGGAAACTCCACCCGGCTCTGGCTACGCAACACCACAAGGTGGTCAAGACCCTCGGTACGAACAGCAGAGGCGTATGGAACAAGAGCGAGCTCGCGAGCAGCAACAAAGAGCGCGTGAGCGGGAAGAATACGACCGACGGGAGCGAGAAGAATTGGCTGCTTACAATGCATCCTTACCGCAAAAGAAGGTGCCAATGGCACAACAGGAGTTTGGAGGTGGCGGCTACGATTCGCGAGAACAAAGCCCATCGGGAACATCGCGCTACAATCCCAGCCGTCCAGCTCCATCAACCCCCGGCGGTTCAAGAGGCCCGCAGCAACAACCTGCTGCTTTGCGCCAAATGCAAGCTCAACGCCCTGCTCCCTCCGCGCCACGTCAACAGAATGGCAATGGTTACGGTGCGCCTGCCGCTCAGCAGCAACGCCCTCCGGTCCAGCCGAACTCGAAATACCAAAACTCGGCCAACCAGGTGCCTCAGGCGCGGCCCCCGCAAGCTCAGCCGCAGCAGAAACAGTACCAGAGCTCTGCTGCACCCAAACCGCTCAACGTGGTGGCTAAGCAGCCCGCCGCAGCTCCGGCGAGTGACGCTGTGAAGAAAGCAGAGCAAGCGCTTACCGCCAAGAAAGAAGAGACGCCTCGCAAAGATGTGCGCATGTCTAGCATGTCTGAAAGCGAGGTCATGGCCAAACTCCGCGAAGTTGTCTCGAAAGACAAGCCACTGGATTCGTACAACAAGCAGAAGAAGATCGGTCAGGGTGCCTCAGGTTCCGTGTACGTTGCCCGCATTCGTGAGGGTGCGACGTCTCCAATGGCGCAGAAAATTCTTCGGGAGAATGGCCCTCGCGCTCAAGTGGCTATCAAGCAGATGGATCTGCGCAACCAACCACGCAAGGAGTTGATTGTTAACGAGATTATCGTCATGAAGGACAGCCACCACCCTAACATTGTCGACTTCTTAGATGCATTCTTGCAGGAAGATCAATCAGAACTGTGGGTAGTCATGGAGTTCATGGAGGGAGGAGCTCTAACAGATGTCATTGACAACAACCCATCCATTAGTGAAGACCAGATCGCAACTATCTGCTTGGAGGTTAGTATCCAATCTCAAATCTTCCAAGCACCCACTGACAATGACAGACATGCAAGGGTTTGGAAGATCTACACACCAAGAACATCATTCACCGTGATATTAAGAGTGATAACGTGCTACTAGACGGCCGCGGCCGCGTCAAGATCAGTATGTCCATGAGTTTCAGTACACAGGAATACTTTGCTAACCCGATGACAGCTGACTTTGGTTTCTGCGCAAAACTTACGGAACAACGCAGCAAGCGAGCGACCATGGTCGGAACTCCATACTGGATGGCACCAGAAGTTGTCAAGCAGAAAGAGTACGGCAACAAGGTCGACATCTGGTCCTTGGGTATCATGGCCATTGAAATGATCGAGTCCGAGCCGCCATACCTGAACGAGGAACCTTTAAAGGCGCTTTACCTCATCGCGACCAATGGTACTCCTAGACTTAAGAAGCCCGACAAGCTCTCCAAGGAGCTGAAGGCTTTCTTATCGGTGTGTCTATGCGTGGATGTCAAGTCAAGAGCCAGTGCGTCAGAACTGATCAGCCACGACTTCCTCAAGACCGGATGCGGCCTCGCTGGTCTATCTCAGCTTCTCACTTTCCGAAAGAACGGCAGCCACTAGAACATGATATCCTGAAGCTTTCTTCGCCTTATCTCGATCGATACCCTTCCTCATAAATACATATACGAACTGTGCGCTCTCTTCTGACTCTATTGTACTAGCGATCTCCATAAGGCTCGACGGGAGCTAAAAGCGCGAGTGGATTCATCTTGATTTTTCTTCAGCAATTGTTGTCCGGCTCTGGGATATGGGTTGTGTTTACACACGTACATCTCCTCGTCCAGACATGCCGTGACACGGCTTTGTCTTGCATACGAGCAATGTGAATACGCACATGTTGTTCGGGCTGGCTCTTTTTCCACTCTGTCTCGCGCATCGCATAGGATTAGTCTATTGGAGGAATTGAGTTCGAGCGCAAGCGCAAGCTACGGCTGCGCGAATCGGAGTAGAATGGCGAGCATGGGATTTTGCTTTACGTTAATGAAGATGATAGATCTACGAATTGAAAATTTCTCGGAATAGGAAAGGTATTCCGCTTTTGCGAGTGTCCATATGTGCGTGAGTTGGGCGCAGGACGAACGCCGTACGACGGTGCTGTCATTCAAATCTTTCGCTACCGATCATCCTATACTGCTGGCTAACTGGTGCGGCATGCAGCATTTTGAATAAACTACAGTATCACCCCGGCGCCGTATGTTTCAAGCACTCACATCCGAGCTGCTCCCTCTCTTGACTGGTTTCCTCAGATCGTTGTCGACGACATCATCCAACACCGTCTCCCCTCGCTTCTGCGCCTGGACTCTCGCCAGCTTCAGTCTCCGCGTGTCTTGCTCCGTCTGCCGCGTCAGCCACCATGTACCGATAGTTGTTAGTATACAGGCTGATATGAACCCCATAGCGATGCCGAAACTCACGCCGTAATGGGGCGCGTATTTGCTCTGGAAGAGATGTGGTCCGATCGCGCCCCCGATCTAAATTTCAAGTTAGCAAACAGGAGATCACGATGAGTGAACTTGCAAGACTGAACTGACCTGTCCGTAGCTGTTGACGAACCCGATGGAGAATGCGGAGCCTGTGGCTTTGGAGGTTGTTTGGACGCGCCAGGGCCACCTAGGAGGAAATCAGCGTAGCTCATGTCTCTCATCAGGTGTTACGTACATCATAGGATACCATGCGGATGTGAGGCCGTTTCCGATCAGTGTCGCCGCATACACTCCACCACTGTTGGGATAAGCGTATAACGTCCCATAGCACGCCAATATAATACACAAAAACGCCAGAGGATAAAGCGGCCGCGGCAGTTTTCCGTTGTCCGCGAATGCCCCGGTAATCCCAATGACTATGATGCTGAAAATCGAGATGGGCAAATTCAGCAGCTGCGCAGACGCAACATCCGTATACCCCAGATCCGCAATCACAGTAGGCTGGTAGAACCGGACCCCACTGTTCCCAATCGTGAACAGCGCCCAGATCAGCGTAAACAGCCATAGCCGGATGTCCTTGAGTGACTCGACGATCTCGCGCCAATTGAAGTTCATCTCTGCTGCCTGCGGCGCGTTCCCTGGGAGCCGCGCCTGGATGAAAGCCTTCTCGTCGTCGGTGAGCCATTTTGCTTGCGGTGGGAAGTCCGGGAAGATGAAGTAGATGGCGACGCCGAAGGCGATGGTAATGATGCCCTCGACGAGAAAAATCCATTGCCAGCCGCTGAGACCGTGGGCGCCGTCGAGGTGGGAGAAGGCGAAGGCGAGGAGGCCGCTTACGACGCCGGAGAGGTTGCCGAGTATGTAAAAGTAGAGGAGGCGGACGGACATCTCGTCGGGGCGGTACCAGTAGCACATCTGGAGAATGACGCCGGGAAACAGTCCGGCTTCAAAAAGTCCCAGGAAGAACCTCGCTACATACAATCCCTCCTTGTTCGTCACAGCTGCATGACACGACAGCGCAATTCCCCACGTAACCATTATCCTGCTCTGCCATCTCGAAGGCAGCAATCGCTTGATCAGCAGATTCGATGGGGCCTCCGCAACAATGTACGGAATGTAGTACAGCGTGGTGACCAGATTGTACTCGTTCGACGTCATTCCGAGCTGGTTCATGATGTTTGTTGGACTGCCCTTATTCATGATGCGCGCGTTGGAGACGTTGTCTGCGTCGATATTCTTGAGCAGGAACATGATGGAGCACAGCGCCATGAGGTGCCAGTCTATCTTGCGGAGGAGTTTCTTCTCTTCGTCTGCAGAGAGCAGCGCGCGAGCACGCATGCGCTCGGCATCGTAGCCTTCGATGTTAGGATCGGCTGCGGTTTCTGCGACGAGGGAGCCGCGGCGGGCGTAGTGTAAGGTGTTTTCGGGACTGGCATCCACAGCACTGGACGCTGCAGCCGTTTGCTCCTTTGTGTCGAGCATGATGAGGAGATGTAAAGCTGCAGATCGAGGATGAAGTCCTTTGATTCTATATAGGACATGTACATTACCAGGGCTGCCGGGTTATCGTCTCGAGTCAACCAATGCCGGTTGACGAGCCCAGCAAGTATTGTGCCAATCAATCCTGCTAGACTCTAGATAGTACACTTGCTCACGAAGTGCGTGGAGATATGCGACTTGGGGCATATCTAACGGACATCGGCACGCTTCCGGTGCAAGAAAACACCTACTAGCTGCGAGCACGCTATGCAAACCCTCAATGACAACAGCAACTAACATCTGAATTTGTTAACGACACATACAAGGCCAAAGTTGGTGTCGATCTTTGCCCAAGGTTAGAGTGGTCGTTGCGTGCTCGCGCCAAGAATCACGACAACCCTGCATCTGATGGTGGCAGCTTAACCCAGCACACGCATGGCGCTAAGTCTGGTGTTCGGCTTATTGCCGAACTGTCTTGCGGGGTCGAAGTGTATTTAGTAGAACGGATCTACTCGATGGTTTCATGGAGGAAAGTGAGAGATTCGAGCGTTGTTCAAGTGACAACATGGCTACTATCGTGGAACCTGCTAGGACGGTACCTCCTGTTCTAACGTATCATCAGGTACCTGAGACAAAGTTCGAACGTGGGTTGAAACCCGATGGATGACAGTTCGCATACTAAAATCAGCAGTGCAATGGGCAGATCTCGCCACGCTCGACCTCTCCCTGTTCGACACGCCAGGTGGAAAGGAGAAGCTTGCGAAGCAGCTTTTCCAGGCTATTGAGAAGATTGGTACCGGTCCCAGTTCCATGGCTGACGATGACTTCGCTCACATGACCAGGGTTCTTCTACATCACAAACTTCGGCCTAAGCCAAGAAGCAGTCGACCGCCAATTCGCTATCGGCAAAGAGCTCTTCAACCTCTCCACAGAAGAGAAGCTCAAGTACCGGGCAGATCTTGAGAATGGAGGCTACAACGGCTACAAACCCCTCGGGCTGCGCGAAGTACGTCCTGGCGTGCAAGACAACACTGAGATCTACAACATCCCCAAGTTTGTTAAAGAGCTGGAGCGCGCACACCCAGACATCATCAACACGCACCGCGAGGAGATTGAGCGATTCGCACGCCACATCAATGACGATGTCGTCGGGAAGCTGCTGGTTCTGCTTGCCATCATCCTCGAGCTACCCGAGGATTTCTTCCTGCAGAAACACCGGTATGACGAGAAGAGCGACTGCCATCTGAGATACATGAAGTACCACAAGCGGACGCGGGAGCAGAACGAGACGCTTGACAACGTGTGGGTGAAGGGGCATACAGACTTTGGGTCCTTGACCCTACTTTTCCGACAGCCGGTAGCTGCGTTGCAGGTATGTCGTTGGATTAGCTGGAGATTTGTGGCTTGCTGATATGACTGACGTATATAGGTTCGTACACCGGAAGGCGAGTGGCGATACGTGAAACCCTACCCCGGAAGCATCACGGTCAATATTGCGGACTCTCTTGAGTTCCTCACCAATGGGTTCTTGAAAAGTAGTATCCATCGTGTAGTCGCTCCACCGCCAGATCAGGCCGACATTGATCGCCTAGGCGTGTTGTACTTTGTGCGCCCAGAGGACAACGTTGTATTGAATCCGATTCAGAGTCCGGTCCTGGAGAAACTTGGCTACACGAAGAGCAAGGATGAGAGCGCTGTTGGAATTACGGCTGGAGAGTGGGTGAAAGCGAGGGTCGCGAAGGGCGTTGCAAAAGGTCGCGTTAGGAGCGAGCTCAACGAGGAGACCATCATCGCAGGGAAGAGCGCCAAATATTACGACTGATACGATAACGGAAGAAGTGAAGTCTGCTGGCTTTACGCACATTATATGAAAATATGTACTATGACATCGTCGGCATTTTGCTCAGTCCCCTGCCGTTCAAGACGACCAAGTATCCCTGTTCCGGAGCAAGCCATATAATTACTAGTGGAAGGGACGACTTACGAACAACCATTGAGGGAAGCATGGAATCAATCACTTGACCACAATTGAATTCGCACCTTTGAAGATACTCCCACTGGCACCACGGAGCACATCATCGGCGACCTCCTCAGCAACCTTAGCTGTTGGCATGAACGAGAATTCCACATCCTTCGCAAATTCTTTCTCCAGAGGTGTGTAGTATGACCCTTCGGGCAACTGCCCAGGCGCCAGTCTGTTTGTGGTACTATTGGATGTCACGTTCCCCGCCACAAGAGTGATCACCTTGACGTTCAATGGCGCGAGTTCCATGCAAAGCGTCTCGGAGTACTGACCTAGAGCCGCTTTGGACGCGTTGTATGGGGCTGCAAGAGATAGTGTTCTTACGTTCCGGTTGAGACGAAAGGCACTGAACGACAGGAAGATGGCTATTCAAGAAGTTCGCACTTTGGAGCGGAATGTACACAACACCAGCCCCACTTGCCACATTCACAATCGTTCTCTTTGCTCTGATCAACTTCTCCTTAACGCCTGGATCATCAACAACACATCCCAGTGATTCGCTTCAAACAACTCTCGCGCCTTCTCGATATCGATGTCTAACGCTGGCATGACGTATCGTACCCCAGCGTTGTTAATGAGCACATCGAGCCTGCCGCCTGCCGTTGCCTCTACTCCTTTCGCCGCAGCAGCCACGGACGCTGGCGATGTGACATCAAGCGAGAGAAGATGCACGTTTGGGGAGCGATGCGAGCTCTTGCATCTTGGAGACGGAGCGCGCAGTTGCGAAGACAGCGAGTGGCGCCTAGTTGTCGGAAGGCAAGGGTGAGGGCGGGGCCTATGCCGCCAGGGCTAGTGCCTGTGATAAGTACTGCTTTGGACGGCACTGTGAGCTTTGTGGTAATGTCGGGTATCTGAAAAAGGTGACAGGGGTAATTTAGTCATTGTGGTCGATGGCCTTGTTATGCGTGCAGTATGATCCCTACGGGCTTGCAACGCGGTATCCTATCTGGCTTAGCGTGACGGAACAGTTGAAAGACCAACAAAGTGCGATTGTGCTTGCGAGTTGAAGTGCTGAGTGATAACATCAGGAACCCCGTTCACAGAATCAGTAGCGTATAACGTAAAGTTGGTCTTGTCGATCAGACCGGTTGCGATTGCACAGGCTCAGACAGCTTGGTCCGATCCAGGCTCATGCTAGTTCGCCCGCGTGCAGAATTATCGGAACATGATTTCATTTGCAGCCAGACGAACCGTCAGCCGGTGTACAACGCCCAAAGATCATGTAACATGGCTTACAGCAATCATAGCGCCGATTGCTCAGCACTAGATCGGCAAGCGACGCTAGACATACACTAAGACGTAGGTAGTGTTCGTAGGGTATCCATTTCATTCGTTAATCTGCCGTACAAACCGTCGTAATCATCGTAACTAAATATGTATTCCTTGTGCTAGCGACCCATCACAAAACTTAAGCCTTGCTACCCGCGACCTCAGAGACCGGCGACGCCCTGGCACCACTCGGCTTCTTCGCAAGCCTGAACCCACCCAGCAACATGAACGCAGCCAGTGCGCCCAACACAACAGCAAGCGTGACCATTGCACCAATAACACCACCAATGGCAGCTGACATGTGGTTGCCACCGTCGTTGCTGCTCGCGTTCGCCGATCCATCAGTGCCATCCTGGGAGTACTGAGCACACCTTCCGGTAGTGTTGCCGCACTTGGTGCACCACTGCTCGGTGTTGTGGACAGCGAACTTGTTCAGGTTCTTGGAGAAGTCATTCCACGAGAGAGCTTCGTCGTTTCCGCCGAAGAGCGGGTACACGGCGGGCTCGCTGGCATTGGAAGCAGTGCCATTGTGGAAAAGGAAGCGCACCTGGAGGTCGTCTGTCGCGGGGAATCCGTTCGAGGTGTCGGCGTTAGTGAAAAGCTCAAATACCATGGACGAAGCGTAGTCAGTGACACCGTAGAAGGTCTCGTTGGCGTGGGGTAGGTCGACAAGGCCAAAGAAGGAGAGGAATGTAGCGTAGGCACCGAATTGGACACCGAACTTGTTGGCGCTCGAGCCGGACTGGCCGGATTTGATGGTGGAGTTCATATACTTGAGAACTTCACCTGCGAGCTGCATACCCGAGATGGCACGGATGTCGTCGGATGCATTATATGCAAGACCGTACTCGTGGGCGTCGGCCAAAGTGCGGAGCTGGAAAAGGGTCTCTTCCGTGAGGACATCCGACGAGGGGATAGAGGAGTTGTGGATCTCGGCCACATTGATCAGATCATAGATTACATAGGCGTTCTTAAAAGAGACATCTTTCTCGTCGAAAGTGGCGTTCACAACAGGAACGAGCGACTTGTAAAAGTCCGTGGTCTTGCTCAAGAGGTCATTGTACTCTGCGCTGGTGAAGAAGGCATTGGAGCTTGTCTTAGCATTGGCGCAAGAGGATGCATCCTGGAGCCAGCCTGTAGGTAGAAATCAGCGAGATGCAAGACTGAGGACTCCATTTCCTCGACCCACCGTTGTCTTCACTGCCGGAGCCGGTTTCGACCGTGTTGATGGGAATCAATTGGTATCCATCCATGGGAGATTGAACGTCGCTGCCATTGGCAAGAGTCTGCACCTGCTGGTAAGGAGGGTAGAGACCTTGCAAAAAACCTTGCGCCGAGTTTTGTAGCACATTGTCCACAGGCGCAGTCACGGCAAGCTGGGTGAGCCTGACGATGTCCTCGTTCATTCCTTTGATCTTGGAGTTGCCGGTGAGGTACCTAGATCGGTAGTACTGACCGGACGTGTAGACCTGCTCATAACCCAAAGCAGTGAGGTTGGTCGGCGCCAATGACTTAGGAGTGCGGTCACCATGACGGTGGAACATGTAAGCTCCCAATACAGTCTCTGCGGCTTCAGTTGAAGCGACGGCAGACGCCAGAGCAACAGCACTAGTGAACTTCATCTTGACGACCTGCGGAGATGGGCACAAAGTAGAGGAGGTGAAAATGCTAGACAAAGGCGACAGGCGGAGGAGCAGTATTCTTATGAAGAGTCAGTCAGCCAGGCCGGTTGCCGGAGATGGTTCGTATTTCCATCGCATAGCTTCGACTTCGTACACGCCGAGCCAATGGCATGCGGCGACATGTAGCGGGGTAAGGAAGAGCTTCCAAAAGTCGCTTGGTACGTGCAGTGTTGGGATGGGCCGGAAAGTGGGGGTTAGGCTCGAAACCACTTCGGCTGCAACTGCCACTGGACATGACGATTGAGTTGTCAGGTCTAGATATGCGCGATTATCGAATGGCATGCTTACGTGTGGCTGCAAACGGTTTACTGATAGCCCAGTCAACCGTGCTCTTCACCATACAGTATCTCACAGACGCCGCCTATTGGCACGTCCATGACCGCGTCTGTGCTGACGCTCCAAAAGCTCTTCCAGTCAGCCTTTTCCGCGGAACTCCACCGGTATGCCGATATCGAATCTCTTCGCCCGCTTGTCACACTGGCTCGCCCAGCAGTCTGTGCCTGCCTTGAGACCGACGGCTGGCCCCGAACGATAGCTCCAGTCCGTTTGTCGACCAACGCTATCTGAGCCGCCTCATCGACAAGATTCTCACAGCTGCTCATTGGGAGCGTGAGATAGCCCGTATTGTAGCTTGCGAGTGCGACATAGATGTACACCACCAGGGCGACCAGCCAGCAGGGTACAGCGAGGGCCCACCAGCGGTTGGGATAATAATGAATGCCCATCTGCTGCAGCAGCGGAGACGGTACGTAGGCCCACACAATGTACAAAAAGAAGGCTGCAGAGCTAGCGAGGTATAGCGCGAAACCATAGTACTCGTAAGTGGGCACTTTGGGAGACGCCCGAGGCACCAATGGCGCGTGTCGTGCAGATTTTGTGATACTGGCGAGGTTTGCCGTAGATGCAAGCATGCTGGTGCCGGGCGGCACGTCAACATCAGACGAATCGGGCGTCGTACGTCGCGATGTCGTCGTGCTGAACGAAGGTCGCAAGAGCGACGTTAACGAAGGAGACGGCGGCAGCGGAACCGGAGGCCTATTGTAAAATGGCGGATAGAGTGTGCTGGATGCGTGCGGGAGCTGCGAATATGAACGCGACGCGAACAATCGACGGCGTGCTGAAGGCGCATCGGCTACCTCGTCCGACTGGGATTCTTCTGACTCTCCCGAACCAAGCATCAACTCGTCCTCATCCTCATCCTCGCTCTCGTCTTCGTCCTCGTTACCATCGTTGGCACATGTCGGCGCTGCCGGGGACGTGCGCGGGGCAAGTGAAGGCAGGATCGCGGGCAGCTCCGGCTCAACAGGTGGCTTCTCGCTGGCTGGTGACCGCAGAGTAGGAAGATTTGGTGTTGATAGCGACTGGAGGCCAGCAGGGAGCGGCTTGCTTCCTCTTTTTGGTGACATGATGTTGAAAGAAGCACGCAATAGCCGGCGTCGTGTCGTGTCGCATGCATTGGTGGCTTGGAAATGGAAACGCCATCGTCCTGCTCTTTCATTGGTCCGTGCCCGCGAACACCTGTTCATGCACTTTCTGTCTGCCCTTTTGTAGAAATCGGAAAGAAGGCTCGACAAAAAGGTCTTATCCGTTTTGACGCGTGTTCACTGAAACAGCTTTCTTTAGAGTACTTTAGTAGAAGAGCAAGGTACCAACGCCTGTTTCCGTACGTGATGGCTTTATCATACAACCCATCACTTTTGCCCATGTTAATTTGACTTGTAGGCAACCAAATACTAGATTGACGTCTACATCTCCCAGAATCGATATGGAGTGGTTTAAAAGTAAACATCAGGTTTCCACTCCGTTCATGGACGAATTTCAATATATGTACACAGAAGCAGAGCTTTGCACACCCACCAACCCTCTTCTACCGACTATTAATATCCTACGCAGACACTGACTGCCTTAAACAGTGACCTTCACGCTATCCTTGCTATCACGCGAGTTCGAGCTCACATGAAACGTGTAGTCGCCCTTCGCAATCGCCCAATCCTGAGCTACAACGTCCCAATAACTGATATCTTTGCGGCGCACCTCAAAAGTGACTTGGGTCGAAGCACCCGGCTCAAGAGTGACCTTCTTGAAGCCGCGCAGCTGCTTAGGAGGTTGATCTGCGGCAGACGGGTACTCGACGTAGAGTTGGGTGACTTCTGCACCTGCGAGGTTGCCTGTGTTGGACAGGGTGAAATCAATGCTAACCACGCTGTCGAAAAGGTCGGACTTTCCACCAAGGGTAGCGGTGCCCGTAGGGTATGTGCTGGCCAACGCGGCCGAGTCAGTGCTGTTGATTTGAGCCCCGGAGTACTCGAACGAAGTATAGGAAAGGCCATATCCGAACGGGTAGCGGACAGTTTTGTTGTACTTGTCAAAGTGCCTGTAGTCGATGTATACGCCCTCGTCGTAGTTACAGTCGGCATCGTAGCAGATCCTTACAGGATAGTCACTCTCGTTCTTTGCGATGGTGTTGATGAGTCTGCCGCTTGGGTTAACGTCGCCGTAGAGCACGTCGGCAATGGCATTTCCAGACTCCTGGCCAAGGTATCCACCATACAAGACGGCAGTGACATTCTCGTTGTCGATCCAAGCCTCCAAGAGACGCGGACCTTGAGTGTTGATGACGACGATGGTGTTATTACACTCCGAAGCGACGGTCGTGACCATAATATCTTGGTCGTCGTTAAAGAGCTCGGTGCGGTCGGCACCTTCGCCAGAGAAGGAGTTCAAGAAGACAATGCATGCTTCAGAGACTGACGCGTAGTTGGTAAACGAGGGCGACACAGAAGTACCGGACTGGCCAATGCCAACGGCCCCTCCGCCTCCACCTACGTTAGCTCCACCACCCATACCACCAGCGGTGGAGTTGCCGCCGGCGGTCGAATTTGTTGCAGTCGGGGCCGAGCCACCATCCATACCTCCTCCCGTGCCGCCGCCCATGCCTCCAGAGCTAGATGAGTATGTGTCGTTCATAACCCACCACAGCATCGCTCCGTCTGCAATGGTTCGGTTCATGATGCTTTGGTAAGGTGTACTGATGTAGCTGAGCGACAGCTGAGCAGATCCAGATCCCGATACCAAATGACCTTGGTAGGTCGGTCCGTCGGTGCCCTGAACACTGAACGCCATGTTAGGCCCTGCCATAGCAGGTCCAGCATGGGCGCCAAAGATACTGACAGTGCGTGGCTTGTCAAGCGGGAGACCAGCACCTGAAGAGTTGGAGTTCTTCAGTAGAACGAGGGAGGCTGCGCCGATTTCGCGGATGAGGCTACTGTGGTTGGCTCGTACGTCGCGGTATTCGGTAGCGTCGGCCTGTGATGGGAAGTTACCATCATCCAGACCAACGAAGTAGTACGGAATGATGTTGCGAATAGCCATGTCATCGAGACGATCTTGTGTAAGGGAGCCATTGGCAATGCCTGCAGTGATGGTCGACTCCGACCACAGGCTAGAGGATCCGTAGTCAGATCCACCGTTAGCAGCTCCAAACGCTGAAGTTTGGCCTCCGACGTCAGGCCAGACCATCCCGGGGAAACCAAGCTCATCCTTGAGAAGCTCGTTAAGAAGGCGGTTGTTCTCGCAAGAGTACGTGTCGTTGGCACGGTTCATCGCGCACATGACTGCAGACATTCCCGATCGCACGGCGTCTGCAAATGGCCAGAGGTATAGTTCGTGGATCGTCTTGTCGTCAGCATTGCTGGAGTATGAAATAGTGGTGGAGCCACCAAGTTGCGCGGTGCGATTTGTTTCCTGCTCGTTGAGCAAGAAGTGACGGCCTCCAGCAATAACGCCAGCGGAGTTCATGCCGGCAATGGCCTGGCCAAGAATAAGTCCAGAAAGGTACGGGTCTGGCGACATGGCCTCCGCCTGACGGCCGCCCCAAGGTGTGCGGCCTAATGGCCCTCCCTCAGGGCCTGAGATAAGCGCGTAACCTCTACCATAGAATTCGTCTCCGGATGCCTTGGCTTCCGCGCGAACCATATTGAGGTCCCAGGTCATTGAGAGCGCGTTGCCCGAACTGAATCCAGAGACGAAGTAGTCGTTGTTCATGCCTGCGAAAGCATCCTTGCTCGTGTATGCGGTCCACGAGACATTGGAAGCTGATGAAGAATTCGACGTGACATCACCTGCGGTGATGACAGAGATCTTCTGGGAGTTGGTCAATTGAGCGACTAGAGCTTTGGCCTTGCTGTAAGCTTCAGCGAAATTGCCTAGGCGTTCTACAGATGGAGTTTAGCCGAGTAGTGGCCTCAGTAGAATAATTTCCTACCGGAGTCTGACGACAGAAGCCCAGAGGAGCTGTTTGATGCCCCTAGGACGCGAGCTGCAAGCGCTGAGGTGATAACGAACGAGGAAACGACCCTCATGATTGAGGTACGAAGAAGAAAATGATCAGCGAAAGAATGTGGAAGCGAATGGACAGCCCTGTGTGAGTGAGTACAGATATATTCACGACTACAGCAACATATTAGATATACAGTAGATCGCGAAAAGATGCGCCTCGGTCGCATCTCAAGCTGACGCGTTTGACAAAGTAGGTCGGTCGCCCACGGCCACCGGGATTCCCGCTGAACGGCCTCGAAGCCAATCCTACGATGGTGCCTATTGTAGATCATGGATGGTCGTGAGCCGTGACATAGCGATCATTGGTCAGCCAGCCGTTGGATCCACAAGCAACGTCAAGCTTTGGAGCTCTGCGGCTCTGTCCCTAGATAGCCGAACACGAGAATATGACGCATTCCGATGGCGGCTATCGCAGATGGGCACTAAGGCTTGTTTCGAAACAAGATTATGGCAGTCGCCGTGGATTGGTGGTTTGAAAATTTAGATCAAGGACGAAGGTGACGAGTCGCCCGGCATTTCCGCCGGAAAATCCAAGATCTGTGCTTGCGCGGCCACCCCCACTCATCGGGAGCTGTCAAGGCGAAGAGATGGAAGCCCTTTTCATTGCCGGTTTCGCATCGCATGCCGAATTGATAAGGAGGAACAATGCGATGAGTTGAAAGGGTTGTTGGATGTTTTGTTGATGGCTGTTGAGCGGCCGTGGGAGGCTATTTCATCCAAGGCTAGGGCATGCCAGACGTGAGTACCACTAGCACTGACAGTAGCGAATCGTGTCGGAACGTATAGAAATCCAAAAGATCGCTGGTCTCGATGGATATAGCGTTTGACTGGATTTCCAAGGTGTGAGCTTGCGTGCACCAGCGACATCCGAATCGTGTCATAAATGGCGATGCACGTTCGAATTGTGCCTTTCTTAGGACTTACGGTACTATGGACTTGGTCTGTAATTATGGATTGGAAGGCCAATCGTTTCCCTGCTCGAGATCTCATCGATATTGAACCCCGACTCGGGTTTCTCAACTGGTTCCGAGGAGAAAGAGCAATGCAATTCCCCGTCAAACATTCTTTCCTGTACAACGCCCCATTGTACCTGCTTCCAGCGCATATCCTGCTCTGTAAAGGTTGCATGACACGCGGCGCTGATGACCAGGCTGCATGACGCCGCGAAGGGTATTCTCAATTTCATGCGCCTGCGTCCCACTAGTCCAACACCAAGTACATCGCGAAGAAATTGACGCACAGGACTAGGAAACTAATGCGGGAGATTCCCAACCCCGAAATGGACTCCGACTGGAGAAGCTTGCCCTCACGGTTATAGACGTCAATTTGGACGAGGTAGATGCTTTGCGAGAGGAGCCTAAGTGGTATCAGCCTTGCGTCCTAGGTAGCACGTGCGTGCATACCAATGGAATCCTCCACTCAGAGCCAATAGCGGTAAAGGAAATCGTAGAGACAGTTGCAGAAAGTAGGTGCCCCGTTGTTGGTGAAGTGGTTTTGTTATTCGCAGACCTTTGCACGAGGACCCAACTCGTATGCGCCGGCCCTGCCAAAGTTGAATAGTTAGCATATGAAGAGATAAGACTTCCACAAAGGGAAGCAGTGCTTAGGCTTATAGGTATTGATGACAGAATATCTGTGAGTCTCTGTAGTGCTGAGTATGTCACCCTCGAAGCTCACGAACACATAGCTTCCTTTCGTGCTGTGAATATATGGGTACTCCCTGGTTCAAGGTTAGCTAACATTCTTGATCAATGCCACTATGAGGAGATACTTACTATAGAAGTGCATTTGCTATTGATAGCAAAATAGCAGAATGACAGCACAATCCGCAGGGAATTGGCTATCTAAGCAACGAGTAACGTATCGCCTGAACCATCTGACTCAGAGGTCGGCGACTCGCTAAGAAGCGATCGAATTGCCTCCTCTTTGGACATACGATGAGCGGCCTCGGCAGTGATGGCCACCTTGCTGAAGATGCAAAAACTTTACTGTCGTTGGGCCGCGGTTTTCTACGAAAGAGGCGGCGGCGTCTCCGAGTGTCACCATGAAGTCAGTCTTCTCCACGTATAAAACCCAAAGCTTAATGCTGGGCTTGACCGTGCTGCATACTATGACAATCATAAGGAAGCTCTTGCTCAGTTGTATACGGCTTTTGGTTGGAACGTCAATCCCACAACCAGCAACAACACTGGCATATATTCTGCCATTCGTTGAGTCATGTATATCGGAACCTACATTGGTGACGTCGATCCAGTCTGTGATGTTGAGTACAATCTCGCTGAGAGGAATTTCTATTGGACCAGTCAGCTTGAAGTCATTTGGTAGACCATCCTTACTGACGTTAAGATTGGTGGTGCTGGTCAAGTTGATGTACGAAGCGTGATTGCCAACGGAGAGGATAAGGTCGCCAAAATTGACGGTAGGTGATAGGTATTCCGCCTGCCACTGACCGTTTGGAAACCGTTTAAAACATGAGTCGCGGTCGAGAGATGATGTATTCGTGGTGTTAGATGCTATGAGACTGACGTTGAACTCGTCCGTTGCTGCGGCGTAGTTAGCAGAAGAGTTGTGACTAACAAGATCAGGACGCATGTTAGGTCAGGACGCATTTTCCCCGCGAGTACAGGAGCACCAGCAACAAATGTAGCGGACCGGAAAACAGTACCATGAATGCGCATAGAATCTTCCTCCTCCAGGATATTCAATGTCTTCTGAAGTTGTGAATAGGAAGGACACCAATGTCGAACCATTTCCCTTTCCTATGCTCTCTGTCGACCCCTGCCCGTGTAGGCGAGCTTAAGACGTGCATAATGTAGTTGTTTGCACTCAAAAACAAAGTACTGAGTACGTTAATGACAATGTGAATTGCACTGCTGAGTCGAGACATGCGCTGAGGGTCAGAGGAGAAAGGCTCTGCGAAGCCTTCCTTGAAGCCCGATCCCTTAGTGGCCGCAACGATCAACACCACAATGTTAAAGTATAGGATAGAAGCTAACATGCAGCTGCCGATCAGGACACCCATGCGCCAGCCATGATAACGTGTGCTTGCCTTGTATGACCTAAGCCGTGTGTCGAGGCGACAAAAAGGTTCTGTGCACATTTGCACTAACGAGTTCGTTTTAGTGAACGAAGAGTTCGACTCGTTCCCCAACAAGTGTTGGTCGTCTGAGTCTGTCTCATATGATGTGTTTTTTTCTGGATGTATGAGTACCTAGATAGATGGTTTACCACGTGCAGCTTTCACATGGTCACTTACGGATAGGACTCCAGTTCTGCCCATGTCTCTTGCCGTGGATACAAGAGCGTCAGGTCTGCGCTTAAGGACCGAAGCGATGAGAGCCTAGATCGCTGGTGGAATGCAATGCCAGCCTGATCAGAGTCTATCATAGGTACGCCAAGCGTTGGCGGTCTTGGTGGCGGTCGCCTGCCATGCTTCACAATTTTTGTTGAAGACATTGCGGGTGTATCAGCGCATAGCGGAGAACTTATCTAAAGCGATATGTATGCATTGTGTTTTGTTGGCGCCAAAAGCAAAAAAGTGGCGGATGCGGCTGAAGTTCTGCATCCAATCCGATGGTCTCCACTGGGTGGCGTACAGGCGTAGATGCATGCATGTAGTGAGCGTGCAAGACAGGCTCCGCACTCCTAGCCAAATTTGGAATATGTTGCGTCGAAGAAGTCGTGAATTGTTCCGCATTCGTGTTGGCAGGATCGCTTGAGCCTGGTGGCTAGCACGCCCAACATGCCTGCTCCCAGTGCTAGCCTTGCTGGCATTTCCAACTCACACATGATTGATAGCTACACTGCGTGCTTTCAGCCTGCACGGCGTCCGAACTTTGTTCCAGACGAAGCATACGTACGGCAATGGAGACACGGATGGCCGCCTCGAAGTGGACGCCGTGGAGACAATCACCGAGCAGCAAGACCTCGTCATTCAAAGCAAAATTCGCGAACAATCTCAGCCCAACACGTGAGGACAAGCCGATGCAGAAGATTGGCGACTTCGAAATTCAGACTCAGACCGGTCGCAGCTTCGATTATCCTGAAAGCTGCATCTATTGCCATGCTACATCGCCCCCTCTCACCGCCAGAACAACCAGCCTACTTCCTCCGGGACCTGGTGCATATCCCATCTCATACCTCAAGCCCATCCGACTGATATGTTCGTTCCTCTCCTTTGTCGTGTGACCACCCAAATCTTTAAACATGTCCGCGAGGGACCCATCGCACAGGTACACCATATTGCCTGCAATCGTATCCGGCTTAACAGGCATGATCGGCTCCCGGTAGAAGTAAACAGAGATTAGAGCAAGCAGCATAAGGACTAAAATGGCGACCGAGATCCATGTGGAGACGTTGTATGCTGTCCATAAGGTCGCTGGGTTGAAAGGAATTGCGGATAGCGTTACGCAGAGCACTTCGGAGAGAAGACCGATGGCTGCTATGAGGGCGAGAAGGTAGTTCCCGCTCGATACGAAGGCGTGAACTCCGAGAACAGGATGTATGGGAGGTGAGACGAGAATGGACTCGCGGGCGGTTGCGTTGCTGCTGATGAGACGGCGGTAAGGTGCATAAAGTGCGATAGCTGAATTGTTAGTTAGTAGATACTCCGCATACGAGGTATCTAGGCAGCATACCGCGAAACAATCTAGCCCAAAACCAGGCGATGGCCACAGCTATAGATGTGAATAAGAATTTCACACCCATACTTTGGCCACTCATAAACCGCTCAAATCCCGTTTCGCCACCAGTATAGCGATATGTTATGATAACGGCAAGCAGAGCAGCAATGAAAATTGCTAGAGCAATGGCCGGAATCCTATGACCATGCCTCATCCCTGGTTGCTGGTCCAGTGCCCTTGTCGAGACCGTAGTGTACTGGTGCTTCTCGTCTGGGGTCGGAGGAACATATTCCGGGGCTGACATAGCTCCAATAATCGCCACAGTCATGTTGTTCTCGCCAACACCGCAAAAGGATTCGAGCCTGTAGTTATGTCCTTTGAGTGCCTTATTCAGATATGCGGGGTCTGTAGATATATATATCTCGCTGAACTCTTGCTGGACGTCGGGATCAGATAGCAGCGTTGCCAATCCTGCGATGCAGCGAGGGTCGGCAGATACACCGGTCTTCTTCCTCCAGAGGCTCAGAACCAAGACAATCTCGAAGAGGACCATGGCAGCGAGTGCTGCCTCGATGGCTCTTGCGGCGGGAAGGAAAACACTAATTCTGCCATTACATCCACCACTACAGTTGCCAACATACACGAACACAGCTTCCGGGGCCAAAGGTACGATAAGAGCCGCAAGCCAGGCGAGAGCGGTGCTGAGGACCACCGTCCACTGAATACGAAGGAGAGCCCATAGTGGCGCCAACAAATCATTGAAGTTTGCAGCTACCGATCTTTCTGCTGGTGCGCCACCAGGCGCGGCCATTTGATAGAACGGTTCCAGCGACTTGGTGGTCTCGCCGACCAAAGTCCACGGCAGAGCGAAGAACGTGGCGAGAATGACAGGCAGATATGCCCCAAGGAAGTACATAGGTACGCCGTTCACATACGTATCTTTCTCGCCACCAATAAGGTTGTTGATGAACGTATCCGTCTTTGAGCTACCTGTGGGTGTCGCAGTTGCAGGAATCGTTGCGATAAATGGTGTGCCCTTCGTTGTGATGAGAGTTGTGAACGCGGGTACGACTATGGTGGTTGGTTTGCCATTCACCGTAGCCACACTGCTTAGGAATATGCTAGGGCGAATGCTGTGTGTGATTCCCAGTCCTTTGCTTGTGACCACACTGTTCAAAAATTCGGTCGGGGCCGGTGCTGACACTATAGGCTCTGAGGTTGTTTGAAGGAACGCTTCTGATGCTGACACTGACGTTGCTGGTTCAGTAGGAGTAACCTGCAAGTATGAGTCGATCGCTTGAGTGCTTTCGATCTCGAAAGAGAGACTAGATTCGCTTGTCTGTAGCCAAGAATCTGGCGCTGGCGCAGAAGGTAGAAAGGTAGGTAGGTCACTCTCGTCTGCAGACGTGGTAGTAGTTTGTAGGAACTCATTCGGTGGCGGCGCGGAAGTGGCTGGTGCCTGGTTCTCATCTGAAGAGGACGTGGTTTGTAGGAATTCATCTGGTGGTTGTGCGGAAGGTGATACGGTTGGAAGATCGTCGGAAGAAGTAGAGGCTGTTTGCAGGAAAAGAGCTGGCGGTGGCGCAGAGGTTCCAGGTGCTTCAGTCTCTTCGGGAACAGTAGACGTCGCTGAGGGTTCTACTTCAATCTGCCGCCTCCGCATGTCGGGCGACACGTCTAGTGGATCCACGAACGGCACGTCGACTTTATCTGACTCGGCCCATCGAGAGTCCCTGATGGCTGATTAACCCTGAGTCTGGTTCGGGAAACGAATAGAGATCTTGACGTACCATGCATTGTGCACGCCAACCTCGCGACGTCCTACAAAGCTGTTGAAATCAACGTTAACAGAGCCGCCTTTGCGGTCCACCTTTGGCAACACACGACAGGCATATTCGACAAGTCCCAAAAGAACAATGGTTACTGCTAAAAGTGTAAGTAGGACTGCTTTGCGCAGTATTGTAGGCTTGAAGTCTTTGGAGTTGCCCATGATGCTATTCGCGCCAACGGATCTTCATGGGAGTGCATCTCACGTCTCCCATATACTTTTGCGGCGTACACAAGTCAAAATCGAACTCGCTGCTTTCAGCGAAATGGCTGTTCTCTACTGCAAGGTAGGTCCGATCGAGGCGCAACCCGTCCAGTAAGTGTTCGCGGTTAGCGAGCCGTAGTGGTCTGGCTACGGTACTTTCAGCTGGGCGCAGCTACGCCTTGTAGCACCCACGCTGAGGCTGAAGCCTGGAATCGCGGAACTTGCCTCAGGTCGGAGGGCTGTAAAAATGCGAAATGACAGGAATGGGTACGACAGCAAGTGCACATGAAATTGCCGAGCTCTGGGAAGAGGATGAGGCTTTCCGGAGGCCGGACTGTGGATGCGGCTGCTGAAAAGTTCAATAGCAACTCTACGTGCATGTTTGCGTGTCAAGTATCACGTGAAGGTTCGGGATGCTCGCCTTGTTGGTCTGATTTATCGCAGCTTCGGGATTTACATAGGTGAAATGGAAGTACAAGCAAGGACAACTCTTGTAGGTGGAAGGAACACTTGAAGTATTAGGGTGTTGGTACTGGACACGCTCCCCGCTAGCGCCTCCCAGGATCTCGGTACCCCCAGCGCTCACATGTGCTGCCACTGGCCAGCGCAGCTCATCCTCCAGCTTCGTACATTCGTATTCGTACTTCCGTATTTCCAGTGGCGAGACCCCACCGAACACCGCGAGGGTGCCTGTCAGCCTATGGAATGGTGGACCTACTTTCTGCTTTCGGCAATCCAGTAACAGTGTCGAGAACAGCGCCGTTGCCGCCGGGTAAGGACCGGTTAAGGGCCGGTTGTGAATCGGATCGGTCCGTCAGTACCGCTCTCTACGACGCAGATTCGCGTGGTCGGAAACACCGGCGATACAGTATCACGTTCGGAGCCTGAACTCGAGTTGCCTATGTCACTTCAGGAACGATCGTTAGAAATCAAACTGGCGGAAACCGTAGTGTATATCTGGTCCTCACGCTCCCACGAGAGGCTCCATTGGACACGATGAGACAATGGAGTAGTTACTGTGAGGCACCACGGCCGAGATTCGTGTGCTGTGAACACTGGCTTGTAAGATATTGCCGCACTCAAAGCATCCAGTACGTTCAATAGGGCTGACATCACATATATCATAAGACGTGAGAGTTGCACTAGCAAAAGGTGTTTCATTGATGTAATATGACGTGGCTCAACGCTCACCAGACCTCAAGAAGAAGGAGCGAACAGGTCTTCCCCGGCAACGACTGCTAAGAAACGGAGACAGAACCATGTTCGCCCTAAGCGGCAGCGCTGACAGCCTGTGCTGTAGCACGGTGTTCCTTCTCAAGGATGGCCTCGAGAATGTTGACGGCGCTACCGCCAGCCTTCATCTCCTTGAGAACGGTATCGACTTCGAGCTGCGAGTCGGTCCAGAGGTGCTCGGGCTCCTCGACGCCAGCCTCGCCGACGCCGATGAAGCCTCCCTCGGCAGCCCACTCGCTGGTGCGCTTGATGCCGAGCTCGTTCCAGACGCTGTCTACGGCTTCGACGAGATGGTCGCGGTATTCGCGGACGTGGCCCGGCGTGGGCGTGATGCGGAGACGCTCCTGGCCGACTGGGACAGTGGGGTAGTTGATGGCCTGGACATAGATGTCCCACTTCTCGAGGAGCATGTCACTAGCCTTCTTAGCGATCTCGGCATTGCCAACCAGCAACGGAATAATGTGGCTAGGGTTGGGAATAACAGGGATGTCCTTGGAGTTCAAAGCATCCTTGACTGCACGGGTGTGCAGCTGCTGAAGGCGCCTATCGCCCTGGTAGCTCGCCTGGTACTCAATGGCAGTCTTCGCACCTGCCATGGTCGCAGGCGGCAGCGAGGTGGTGAAGATGAATCCCGGGGCGAGCGAACGGATGGCGTCTACCATCTTCGCGGATCCGGCAATATAGCCACCAACGCATCCATATGCCTTGCCAAGAGTTCCGGTGATGATATCAATGCGGTCCATGACAGTGCCTTGCGGCCTGCCTGCTACGTGGGCTTCGTAGTCGAGGTGCTCAGCAACACCAGCTCCGTGTGGTCCGTACATGCCGACAGCATGGACTTCATCGAGGAAGGTGATAGCACCGTACTTCTCAGCTAGGTCGCAGATCTCCTCAATGGGTCCAATTGATCCACACATGCTATACACACTTTCGAACGCGATGATCTTGGGGTGTTCCGGTGGTATAGAGGCGAGCTTAGCTTCCAGGTCGGCCACATCGTTGTGCTTGAACACCAGTTTCTTAGCACCCGAATGGCGAATGCCCTGAATCATGGAGGCGTGGTTCAAGCTGTCGGACAGAATAACACAGTTGGGGAGCTTGCTGCCGAGAGTCGCAAGGGTGGCATCGTTGGCGACGTAGCAAGACGAGAAGACCAAGGCCGCCTCCTTTGCGTGCAGTTTCGCCAGAGTGCCTTCCAAAGCCACTGCGTGCTGGTTGTGACCAGAAATGTTTCTGGTGCCTCCAGCACCGGCGCCGTAGTTGTCGAGGGTCTCGTGCATTGTCTTAAGCACGTGCGGGTTGCGTCCCATGCCGAGATAGTCGTTGGAGCACCACACGGTGACTTTCTCCTCCTTCGAAGCCATGTGAGCACGGGGAAACTCCTTGGCGAGTCGATTGATGTTATTGAAGTAGCGGTACGACTTGTCCTTGTGCTTCTTGTCCAATTCATGCTGGTAGAAGCCATCGTAGTCGAATTTCGCAGCCGGGGGAGCAGGAGGGGTGACAGAGTGAGAAGCCGGAGTTGCGACCTTCTTCGCGGGAGTCGGGTAGGGTACTGTACGAGCGCAGTTAGTGACGCATTTCTTACGACAAGCGGCCTTTTTTCGCCGCTCATCCCCGGGAAAGAACCGACCTTGCTCGGAGCGCAGGCTCTCAATGTCGACGGCCTGGGCTTCCTTTGGTGTCGAGGTGTGCAGTCTAGCGCGGCTCACACGCGTGGAATAAGCCCGCGCGCCACCAAAGGCGCCCGCAAGAGCATTATTGCCGATGCGGGCGCTTTGGACGGCAAGCGCTTTGCCCATGATGGGGCAGCGCCTGGCCAGCACCTGCAGATTGGACATGCTGCCAGCGCCCGGCGAGACATGGTGCGAGGTCGCGGTCGTGGAAAGCGAGCGCAGCGTGGCGGGGGACGTCTTGGAGAGGAATGGGCACATGGACCGCGACTGGCGGAGAATTGACTCCATCGCGGCGAGGGGCGCAGTTGGGGAGCGCAAAACTGGACAACGGCGAGCGAGGGGATGTGTAGGTATGGAGAGCGTGCGAAGGGCGGTGAGAGGTATACGTATTGCGGGAGACGAGGTTTAAAGGCGTACGTGATGGACAGAAATCATTCCGAGCCGAGAGTCGCAGGCTAATAAAGCACGCCGGTCCTCAGCTTAGATTGTCCCGTCTTTGATTGGCTGCGCTCATTGAACCCTGCGCCGACCTCCAGCCGATTCCCAAATACTCTAGAGTAGCACGGCGAGGTCGAGATCATCAATGACTGCCGCAAGCCCCCGCTTTTGCCGACCATGACGAACGAAACAAGCAATCGTGCCGCAGGTGCCGACCGTCTACCTAGCGCTCTGCATTTCAAAGCCGAACATCTTAGACGTTGTATTCTTTCCATCGTTCAATGGTGGGCACACAATCTGATCTCATGCCACCAGATCGCTCAAGTTTCCAAAATCCGTTGCTCCGTTGTCGGTTGCCGGCCCAGTGTCACGAGTGGTCCTCGGTTAACTCATTTCTCGAAGCATCGGTTAAGGCCGCTAGTCGGCCGGGGTATATAAATTGAAACCATGTGTCCATGGTGGAGCTAACGGACGCCAGGTGTACACATAATCTGACAAAGTCTGTTCACCTCATGTTGAACGGCGGGTTACTAGCTTCAATCCTTCTCGTCAAGTTCTGACTAAGACCTGATAGGAAAACATTCGTGGCGGTGAGGAAGTCTGAGGCACTGCCTCCTGTACCCCAACTATCGAGAGCGCCAATGCAGCAGCCTGTCACTTTCAGAGAGTCCCTATCTTGGCCGCTTTACTCTCTCGTTTAATCTAGAATTACAGTTTTACGCCGTGATTGCACTCGTTTCGATTGAGACTTCCTCTGTGCTGGTGGTGACTTGATAGCTTGGTCTTCGTCGTCAGATATGACGATGACCTCCTCCTTTGAAGGGGCGTGCGCATTCCGGAATGCTTCTTCGCTGAAGGTTTTATGTAGAATGTAATGTACCCAGTCGTAGAAGAGCTCAAGATCATCGGTCTGGTAAAGCTCGGTCGCCAGTTCGTGGAGTTGTTCTTCAGTGGGCAATTTGTACATATAGTTATCGGCGAACCACCAGCAGAGGAAGAAATTGGTGATGGTCCTGATCTTTGGCAGGTCTGATGGCAATACACCCAGCATCTTCTGCTCATTGTGAAATAGCATATCGATGCACGTGCTGATTTCCTTGAGGAGATTCGACTTCTTTAAGGCTCTAATCCTGTTGTGAATCATCTCACGCTCTTGGGAACCCATGTCGAGCATTACTTTCATTATGACTCTCTTACGATCCATGGTAGCAACTAGGTCTTCCATGTTCCAGCTTGAGACCGTCAAAATGGACGCTACTTCAGGCCTATTTCTGAGGGGTTGTTGCAATTGTGACCTTGAGCTTGGATTTCGTGCGACCGACGAAAGCAGGTTCCCGTTCGATTCAATCGATGAGATAATCTCGGGCTCAGGAGTGAGATTCCACAGTCGCGTGAGTGTAGGTGTTCTTGGTGTGGTTACATCTGGTGTCGCAGCCGAAATTTGGCCCACAATTAATTCAGGATCAGTTTCTGGGTGTGGTTTTCGCATCGTACCCGCAGCATTGATAGCTTTGTCCCCGGTGACCTGTTCTTCAGCGTCCACAAGCATCTCTCTGTCATCGCCATCTGAGGATTCTGAACTTGATCCCAGATCAATGACCTCAAAATGCTGCCGAGCTGGTCCTGGCGTCATATTTGCGTGCTGCTCCTCAGTACTGCCATGCTCAGATGCTGCTGGAGGTAATCCGTATATGGACAAGAACCATTTTGTGCGTTCGAGATTATGCACATGCATCTCGAGATTTCTACAGTGGTGACGGACCTGCATCTCGGAGCTCTGAGGGATCTTGCAGATCTCAGCTGCCAGAGTGTCTAGCTTGCTCTCGTATAGTTGAATATCGAATTTGTACTTTTCTACTAGTACTTCTCTGCGACCGAGAGCTTCGGCGTCCTCCCATAGACGAATTGGATCAAGAGATTGCTCGTCGGCATTAGACACCAGCTCTAAATCTTTGGCTGGAGACCATTTATTCGCGAAAGTCTCCATGCTCTCGTTGATGATTTTGATAACGGATTCCTCAGGAACCTTGCCAACCTTCCGGTGCGACTGCAGCGTACTCTGCCGGATCGCACTTTCTGCAGCGTCCAGGTCATTGTATTCAATTCCTTCTGAAGTGTCTTCATCTTCCATTGTATCACGGACATGGGTGGCTTCGTCGTCATCCTCTTCTTCCTCGTCATCACTCTGACCCCAGCTTTCTTTGTCCCACTCGACTATTTTGTCTCCGTCATCTCGGTCCCAGTGAAGAAGATGCTCGTAAGGATTCCGGCTGGAAGTCGGTGACGCAGTTACTGGTAGCGTGTACCGTTCTTCTGCGCGCTCCGCGGGCATTGCGACGATTAGTGCCGCTCTTTTCTGTCGCTTGCCGCTGTTGCGAGCCTCAGAGCCCAACGAACAGGTGTGGGTGTTTTTGGCGGCGACATTGTCCATTTTCGGGTCTTATCACCTTTTTAGCTCAGAGGGCTACCTGATATATGACAAGCCACGAGCAGCGCAGTGGCCCAGGCAGCATTCGAGAGCAAGAAGGCCAAACTGGACTCAATTCGAAAAGAAGAATGTCAAGGTGTTATGTCCTGAAAGTGAGCCAGTTACTCAGCCGAGTCCTGATTCGGTTGTTTGTCTGTGAGCTTGTCAATGGCCAGTCGGTGACTTAGATAACCGCAACTTGAAGCTGGAGGAGCGTCGCAAGGGGTGTTAATCTCTTTCCTATGATAACGCTCAGAAGCATGTATCGATACAATCTCTTCTAGATGATCAAAATCGCTCACGTGTGGAGGTTTGGTCATGTTTGTGGTTGTCGTTTGAGACGGCAAGAGTAAGCAACCGCTCTTCCACAAGTGGTCCAAGCGCAGAGGCTAAACAACCACGTGACTGCACGATAGCCTAGGTGAAACGCCCATCGGCAGGGCTCTGGGCTTGTGAATGCATCTCACGATGTGCTTTTCTGTCGTAGTTCCTTGCTGCATTTCCAGCTGCGACAGCCGACCCGAGGCGCCTTGCATTAGCTCTTTCCGATATCCGGCGCTCACAAGAGGAAATCGCTTAGCGCGGATTCGGTCATTTTACTAATTCATTCACCCCACCTACTGTACTTGTTTGCAACTTTCGAACGATAAGACATAGCTACGATGGGATCTTCTCCTCATGACAGCTATCCACCGGGGCTGTCTTCAGAAGAACAGGAGTACTTATTGACGAACTTGAAAGACTGGTCGATTGCTCATGGACTAGCCGTGCGGCCGGCTCCGTCATTCGTGCAACCGGACCAAGATCCTGCAGGAGTGCTTGCTGCTACAGCACCAGTCACTCTTTTCCCGAGTTTGTTCCCACAAAACTGCTTCGAAGACGGGTTGGCAATTCAGACAGCTTACAATGAGTTGTACTCCGCAATAGCCCGAGATGAAGATTGGCTGAAAGGCATCGTTGAAGAGTGAGTCTGGAATGCCAATCTGGATGTGTTGCTTCACTTGCTTCAATGTGGTGTTGTCCAACACCCATTTAAGGTTATTATGGGCTGACTCTGCTTGCAGACTTGTCGACATCGATGAGTTTGTGGGGAAACTTTGGCAAACCCACTTGGCAGTCAAGAAAGAGGGATACGTTCAGGTATGTCGATCGTAAGCCCATCAAATGCATGGTATCTTACCTGATGTAGGACCTCTCGCTCGGGCTATTCCGTTCAGATTATATGGTTCACACGGACCAGACCAGCGCTTCCTCCTCCGGTCTCAAACAAGTAGAGTTCAACACCATTGCCTCATCATTTGGTGGCCTGTCCTCCCAGGTATCAAGGTTGCACAAGTACCTACTTTCGATTGACGCGTATCCATCGTCTGCAACGTCTATCATCAAGGAAGAAGCCCTTCGCCAAAGCAAGTCAGCTTCTTCCCTAGCCCAAGGCCTTGCTGCAGCGCACAGGGCGTATGGACCTTCAAAGACCGGGCGTTCCCTATGCGTACTGTTCGTGGTTCAGAATCCCGAGAGGAACGTGTTCGATCAGAGGCATCTCGAGTATGCACTGTTCGAAGAAAACGACGTACGCGCTTTCCGATTGCCATTCGAACAAACGTTGTTGCACACGAAATTGGACCAAGAACGTACACTGCTTTACACGCCCCCCAGCTCACCTTCCACAACTTATGAAGTCACTACCATCTATTTCCGAGCCGGCTACTCGCCGGACGACTACCCAGAGGAGAAAGAGTGGGATGCACGGCTTCATCTGGAGAAGAGCAGAGCAATCAAGTGCCCGAGTGTGCTGACGCACCTTGCTGGATGCAAGAAGGTCCAGCAAGTCCTTGCGACCCCGCATTCTCCGCACTTGAAGCGGTTTCTGCCGGACGACAAGGTGGCTTCGAAGGTGCTCTCAACGTTTGCACCGATATATCCGCTTGACGATACTGAGGCGGGGCAAGAAGCCAAGAAGCTGGCTCAAAACGCAGAATCTGCGTCCCGATATGTACTGAAACCGCAACGCGAGGGTGGAGGAAACAATGTCTACCGAAAGGCTATTCCTGCTTTCCTCGAGAAACTCCCGCAGACACATTGGCCAGCGTACATTCTGATGGAAATGATAGAGCCGCCTCCGCTGACGAACGCCATCTTTCGGAACGGGGAGTTACAGCGGGGTGGTGTGATCGGGGAACTGGGGGTATATGGCGTGTGCTTATGGCGAAATGGGGCCGATAACAAGGACGCGGGCCAGATCTTAGCAAATTGGGAAGCTGGATATCTTCTTCGAACCAAAGGCGATCAAAGCGAAGAGGGAGGTGTGGCTGCAGGGTTCGGAGCGGTCGACAGCGTCTGTTTGGTTGCTAGCGGCTCGCCCGGTGCATGAGGGCTGCTGCTACGGAGTCCTTTCCTGAGCCTTTGACGTAGAGAGGGAATGACGGAATCCCCGGCCAGTATTCGATCGAAAGTGTAACATGGTGCTCACGTCTAAAGCAACGTCTAAGGCGTGCAACGGTCGGAAAAGTTCGTAGTTCTGTCCACCGCATCGAGCTATGCATGAGCTAGGAGTCGTGTTACAGAAGCATTTGTTTTACTGCCCTCTCGGGATGGTCGACTGAAACAACTGACAACGCAGAATGCCGTCTCACTATGCATGCAGCAAGCAATGGGTGGAAGTGAGATCGATCTACTAACTACGAGAACCACCTCTACGGTCCGTGAGTAGGTTTGAGTCAACGGGATCGTAGAACCCAAAAAAGTTATATACGCGAAGTCGCTTCTTTGGCGCATGGATGTGGAAGCACAGAGCAGGATCTCCGGCATCGCGTCGATCATAAGGTCCGCTCCCGAGCGACCAACGTCAACTCGGCTGCACACCTTCTTGGTTCGCAATGACACCACTTCTCCCCAACCCGTCATCTTTTGATATTTGCTTTCCCGGTGAAACGTCTGCGCAGCACCGCCTCCTGAGGTGGTTCCACCACGGCTTCTCCACGGAGGGGAGGGCTTTATGCAGGGCTTGGGCACCCTCATGCACGGCTCCCAAAAGCACTCTTCCGGAACGCGCCAGCGGGATGGGCGCAAATCCCAGCGAATCATGCAGCCCATAGCAGGAATAGCGCAATGCGCCGGTTCCCTGATTGGCCCTTGGCTAATGACTTTTCGCGTGTTTCGCGACGCGTCCTTCATCAACTTCCAACTTTCAGGCTGGCACTTCATGCAGTCTGCTCCGAGGGGAACCTGTCGTTCATGGCGCCACGCTTTCGGCTCAGCCACGGTGACTGACAGGTGCTCGCGCTCTGGCATTCATCGCGCTGAAAGAGGTGACCAGTCGTAGCTGCGGGCGCATCGGATGCGACTTGCCATGGCCCCTCCCTTTTGACTCTGCGCGAAGCCGAAACCATTGGCTGACCAACTTCTTCGTGTCTAACAAGGCACAGCTGAAGATTTGGCGCGAAAAAGACGATCAAAGGTGGCTTGGTCCAATTTCGCAAGGCTCCAGACCATACTCCAGGTAGCGTAGGCGCGTCCTAATTCGATACAACCGTTTGACGGCGTAGCGCTTTGGGACGAGAACTCATGAATCGGTCTCTGACTCTCTGCAACTTCGACGGCCCAAGCTCCCTGTAGGTTCCCGCTCACTGAGCTCTGCCAATTGATGGCCCGCTCGTACATGTGGACTTTATCGGCGATAGGTATCCCTGCCCTCTCATCCTTAACTTTGAGCTTTCCTGCAGCTGCACTTCTGCACCTCTCCTGCGACCAGTTCCACAGACTGGCTGCGTGTCTTTGCCGGCGTCCATTCCTTTGACACCAAGTAATAATTACCTCACCGTCCTTACCATCCGTTCTCTTCCTTTCGTCACTCCTTCACAGTGTCCGTCGAGCCTTCCGCGATCGCATCCGCGCCTTCCCACCTTTCAGCACACTTCTAGCATCTCAGCAACATCGACTCGCATGGCCATTGTCGATTAAACGCATCTCGCCATGCGCTCCTTTCGAATTCTTCTAATTATAATCGCGCTTCTCGTCTGCCTTCACACGGTCATAGCAGCTCCCCGCTTCCCATTGGCGCGTCGACAGGATGGCAGTGAACCTACCTCTGTCATCACCACGACATCTGATCCCGAACGATCATCCTCTACATCTCGTCCTCGTGAGTCGTCTGTCTCGCAATCAGCATTCAACCATCAGTCAACAACTGGGGAACCTGCCTCCCGCTCTTCGATAATCGCGACTTCCACCTCAGTCTCAGCATCGCCAAGCGCGACCGCGATCTCCACGGGCTCGCTTACCAATGGAACCGATTCAGGCAATGTCTCAGAAGACCCTCTTCCACTTCATCCAAAAATCACCCCAGCTCTCGGATTGATTGGCGCAATACTCTTAATTTCAGGCGCCCTGTATGCCGTCGTCGGCATCAAGAACAAATGGATCTATGTCTTCGGCTCCGCAGCATACCTGGCCTCGCTCGCCGTGACTGGTAAGTGTATATAGCTTCTATATCGACTCAAACTAATACAATCTAGTGCTGATCATTTACCTTATGAGTCCCCCAGTCTCAAACGCTGTTCAAGGGGCATTCTTCGTCGCAGCGTTCGTCACAGGAATGCTTTTTGGAGGGCTAGCGTTGATCTTCACCGACCTCACCGAAGGATTGGGATGCCTTCTCGGAGGTTTCTGTGTCAGCATGTGGTTCCTGTCATTAAAAGAGGGGGGAGTGATTACTTCGACTACCGGCCGGGCCATCTTCATCGGCTGTATGAGCGTAGCAGGCTACTCCCTGTCATTCTCACATTACACACGGACATACGGGCTAATCGGCGCGATATCATTCTCTGGCGCTACGATCGCGATGTTGGGTGTCGACTGCTTCAGCCGTGCAGGCTGGAAGGAGTTCTGGCTATTTCTCTGGAACCTCAATCCTGACGTCTTCCCTCTCAACACTACTACGTACCCACTGACGAAAGGGCTCAAGGCCGAACTAGCAGGCGTCGTTATCCTTACAGTTTTCGGTGTTATATCACAGCTTCGCCTGTGGAGACTCGTCCAAGAGCGCCGAGCCAAGAGAGAAGAGCAAGAACAAGAACAGGCACAGAGCCAAAGACTACACGAGGCAGAACTTGGCCGGGAGATCGAAGACAAATTCCAGAAGGAACGCCGTGAATGGGAGGCTACGTATGGGGAGACAGGTGCGCCAGGCTCCAGTGGCGAGTCTGGTTCTGCCTCAAGTCTGAACGAGAAGGACTACCCCGCAACCGCTTATGATTCAAAGGTGGACCTGGCAGAGTCCGAGAAGAAGCAGGCCGTTGTGGCTGTTGCATCATTGCACGAAGATGATGAGATCCGACCAGTCGATGCAACGGGAGCACCTGTCGCTCGGTCCACTGATATCAGTCGTTCCAACAGCGCGCGGCCGTCTTCGGAGGCAGTTACTTCTTCGCGCGTGTCTCGAACTGTCTCCGTCACAGGTTCACTCAAGCCATCATCTTCTCCCCCTCCACCTCCCGTCGTTATACCCCTCCCATTCAAGATTCCGCAGGAAGACGATGCAATGTCACATACTTCGGACAATGCCTCCGTATCTGCCTTGCCGGATACTGAAGTGGAAACGCCGTTAGCAGATGAACCATCAATATCTCGTCGCGCATCCGGGAAACCGACAATGAAGCGCATGTCGACAGCTAGATCATCAGTCGATGGTTTTCAAGCGGAGGATGTAGTGATGCTTTCGCAGATTGAGGATGACCGCAGATCTTCTGTTGCGGCTACATTGGACGAAGAGGATAGGATATCCTTACCACAGTTATCCCGGCCTTCGTCATTTGTGAATGATGATAGCAAGACGGAGGATCCAACAATCTACATGTCGAGCTTGAAGTTGAACGATCAAGGCGAAGTAGGAGATAGCAACCGTCTTGCTCTTGGGGAAGATCCAGCAATATCCTCTAGCACTCCGACAATCGACGTACAATCCGCGGAGTCACTGGACGAGGGATCAAACACTTATGGATCGGCGTCTTCGCTTTCTCAGAGTGGCCCCTGCCAGTCCCTTACCGTCAGCACTGACCCGAAACACGACGTTGCAGGATCGGAAATCCACTCTCCTCGAAGTCCTCGTCTACGACACGACACTCTGGTCAAAGAGGACAGCGAAAAGTCTGCTTCAGCGCAATCTGGTGTCGAAGACCTTCCGAATGTACTGCGACCTCGTCTCTCTAAGGTCGCACAATCCTACCGGACTAACGAATGGGCGAAGCATCTCGAAGTCGCCGACAAACCAGAAGTTGACGATATTTCCGAGCCAAGCTCGCCTGGCGCCCAGCTTGACCATGAGCAACCCGCTCCAGTGAGCGAAGGCATCGCACAGCCGTTTGCAGTAGCTAAACGAGCCTCGAAGCGAATATCTAGCGATAGCAACGTACACAGGAAGAACGCTTTCATGCAGATCAACTCAAACTCGGCAAGGCAGTCTCAAAGTGAAGTTCCGGCAGCAATATCGCAACAGCCCTTGGGGGAACTTGGAAGGCGGGTCTCGTCTGTTCCCATCCAAGCCCCCAGCAAGACGCAGACTCTGATGGGTCACCGCGAGTCGCTGATGCGTAACCGTGTATCCACGCAGAACTTTAACCAGCATATCAGCTCATCCAGTGACTTGACAGCGACAGCCGACGAGGACATGACGCTGGCACAACGAAAGCGCGTGCTGAAGCACCAGAAGCCCCCTTCGGCGGCGCAGAAGTGGAAGAAGAGCAGCTGGGCAGTTGGTCCTCCCGTGGAGAATTTCGATTCTCATCAGCCGAAGAGGACGGTCGGGTCGGGCTCGGACCAGAGACGGGAGGAGCTACTTGCGGGATGGAGAGGGTCGATTCAAGCGACCGGTACCGGTGTGCCTTTGCAGAATGCAGCGAGTCGAGAAGAGCAGCAGCGGGCGGCCATGATGAACGCGAAGAGACAAAAGGAGATGGAGCAGCAGCAGCAGGCTGCGATGGCGCATCATCGAGAGTCGATGAGACACAACATGATGAGGAGCAACGAGATGCTTGACGTACACCGCGAAGCGATGCGACGCATGCAGGCGGCCGCCAACAAAACGGCGTAGACATGGCACTCTTATACGCGGAGGTGCACCAGCACGCAGGCAATCTCGCACCCTTGGTCTTATGCCAGCGGACCTACTGTACAAAGTTCTAGCGGCGGTCGGGGCTCACGACGGATATAGGATGGGAAGACACGATACCCTACACGGATCAGCAGGCAGTTTCTGGGGCTCGGAGGTATAAGGGGCGCTTTCTGACTCCAGCACACGGACTTTGTTGTGTATGCACATGGCTGATGGAATACATGACGGGCTATGGACGGCGAGCACTTTTCTTCGATGGGCTACGGATGGCACGAGCTCTAAAAGCACATCTTACCATGACATGTATACCTTGCTTTGTTACGCACACCTACTGCATGCAGCGGCAGCGACGGGATACTATGGATATCTGCGTCGTGTAATTACGTAGCACACTAATGGATGGCTTGTTGGAGACGATTCTTGGCCAAAGTGGTAGTGATTTCCATGCTGTGCACACCTGAGATAGGTGTAGGAGTACAGTAGCTGCTGTACACGAGGCAGATTCATTTTGTTGCATGCCTCGGACGTGAGGCCAGGGCCGGCTTCTTGGGTAATGGCAATGTGGAAATGGGCACAGCCAGAAAGGATGATGCTCGCAGGGGCACTAGTCATTTCACAACACGGACGACGGCGGCAGCGCAGGGGTGGGTGTCGAGCATAAAGGTGGAGGAAATTAGGCACAAGATTCGATAGACAGTCGGAGGGCGATGCGCAAGCGATCCGTCAGGACGGTGCTGGGTTGGGCCCAAAGCGGATGAGGCGTTCCTGGAGGGTAGCGCGACGTTGGAGGCGGCCAGGAACCGGTACGTCTTTGCTAGCGAAACGTCAGCGTGGGCGTCTGGGCTGGGCTGGCGAGGCGTGGCGAGGAGGGGGAATGGTGGGCACATGCAGGGCGGAAGCAGGTACGGGTTCGGGGCGGCCAATTGGGGGTCATGGGCGGAGAGGGATGGCATGCCGTGGCAGCGATGGTCACGATGGCCTTTGGGGCGCCGTGGCAGGCAGGGCTCGCACGAGCATCGGCGAGGACGTCGGAGCGCGAGGCATGATGCACGGAGGCCTTGGTGGGTCAAGATGCGTCGATGACGGCAGGGCAGGGCTGCCACTGCCCAATCTGTGCCAGAGTTTGTTTCGTCTGCTGGCCTGCCCCGGGGTGGACGTGGACAGAGCCTCGCTGTGGCTTTCCGCGCTCTGCCATTGCATTGCGCATGCACACACGCCGCGCCCGTCCCTCGCTGGCCCCGCCACGCTGCACGGAACAGACAGGACAGACCGCGCAGAACAGATATTGCCCGTCTGCCGCGCTCTCGCCGGCGGTCGTGTGCTGCGTGTTTCCCTCTGCGTCGCTCTCATGCCTGTCCTGCCCGCCCAGACCACCACGCCCGCCGGAGCACCTGCACGCTTCGCCGCCGACCCCTTCGCTGGCGCGGCCCAGAATCCTCACCACCAAACACAACGGCGTCCCACGACCCTCCCGCTGCTGCAGCGCTGCCAGCCCGCTGGTCCCTAACCAACCGCCTCTTCGGCCTCCGCTCGCTGCACGCGTCGCCGCCCCGCCCGCCCGCCTCGCGCCTCTGGAACCCCGTCAACTCGTCCCCCCGGGCCCTCGCAGTGCAGCAGCAGCAGCAGCAGCAGCACCCGCCCACCCGCGACGAGCCAAACCTGCCCGTGCAACGCCAGCCCGACACGCGCGACGAGTATCCGCTGCTGACGCTGCCGGAGCAGCGCCTGAGCCGCCAGAGCCCTGCGCCGTCCTCCCTCGCCGTCCAACGTTCCACGGGCCCCGACAGCAGTCGCAGTCGCACCAGCATCGCCCTGCCGCGTGACCGCAGGAGCCTGCGCATCGACTCGCAGCCACAGTCGCCCATCATGGCCCTGGAGCACGACCAAGCCCCTGCAGACGCACCCCAGGCCGCCATTCCCGGCGGCCGCCCCGGCGACTTGGAGGCTGGCGCGCCCATGTCCAAGCAGCCCACCCGCGCCTCGCTGCCCTCGCGCCCCAATTCCATGCATTCCCACGAGCACGGCGACCAAGACGACGCCTCCGAGTTTCCCTGGGGCCCTTCGCACCCGTGCTTCCCCCACTCGAACCCACACGTGCCGCTCAACTCGCCCCTGTACGACACTACCCGCATCATCCGGATAAAGCGCGACTGGATGGTCAAGGGCGACCTGGCTCCCACCTACGCTAACCTCTATCCTGAAATCCTGGACCCGCTCATCTCAGAGGAGGATTTCAGGAAAATTGTCCAGCGCATCAACGACAGTCTGGTGGAAGCATTCGACCCCTTCACCTTCAGGGCGTGGCTGGACGCCGTCATGGGAGTGGCTACCTTTTGGCTGTGGGACGACGCGGGGCTTACCAAGGTCAAGCGGAAGCTGGCCGAGCTCGAGGACTGGATTGAGAATTGGAACAAAAACTTCGGGGAGAATGAGGGTGTGAGGATCATTCCTCTGCGGCGGACGGGATACCTGACAGTGCGTACCACAACTTTGACACGGCATTGCACATGCTAACACAGCCCAGCTTGACATTCAAATCCCAGACCCTCACCTTGGGCCCGACAACAGTACCGCCTCGCGCCCAAATACCCACGGCGACAGCTTCCAGAACAGCGCCCAACCAGGGCAAACCTTCCCCACCACGCCCACCTTCCAGGTGCACGCCTCCTCCTCTCCTATCATCGCCGAGAGCTAACACCTTCGGGGCGTTTTCTCCAACATCATTCTCTTTTCCTTTTACCATCCGTCCCTTGCGATCATCGTTTGGCGTCCCGGCATTCTGTTTCCCGTCGTTTCAATCGTAGTCCAGTACCCAGGGAGAAGAGCAGTGCACAGCATGGCAACTCTCACGTTTAGACACCGCTGCCGCGAGGCATGGCATAATCGCTTATTTCATTTTGTTAGATTACGGAGAGGGGAAGTGTGCGTTTGATTGTCAGATACCCAATACGTTGCTTTAGCATATCATACTTGCATACAGCATCTCTACGTATAATACAAGCGGCGGCCGGCTGAGGCTGGCTGCAGTATCTTCAGAATGGCTGTTGGCTTTACTTTGGTGACCGAGTGCTTGAGGTTGTTTGTACTATTGCAGCGCCGAGGCAGGCGTCCCAATGACGCCTACACTTTTCCCTCTTCTACAGCAGACTCTTCATGCTACGCTGTGGCATGACGTGCCCGTCCTCCGTCTCGTTTTGTCTTCCCCTGCGTCGCAGCCCTGCGGTGCCCTGACTCGCACTGACTCGCGTTTCATGCAACCCCCCACCCATGATCTTCCATCGCTGTTCCCGCGCATTGCATGATCTGATCACCCAGACGCATGGAAGCGCTAGCCTCCTTGGAGAAGGACAGGCGGGATGGTCCCGCTGCCGCGCTGTGGGGGTGGGTTCTGCGTCAGCTGCAGACAGGCAGTACAACCTTGGATTTCCCTACAGGAAACAGACGACCACTCGACGGGATGATCTGGCTCTGGGCTCGCTGGGAGAGGAGGACTGTCTCTTGTTCTCCGAGGTGGGTGAGGCAAATACAGTAGAGCTGCGTCGTGAGACCAGTCAGTGACAAAGTAAAGGTAGTCACAATAGTAGCAGAGCTGTCCGACAGTAGGACAAGAAGCGTTGAAGCTTGATCTTTTTGGTCTCCGGCTGCATCGCATACAGAGCGCCCTATGTCTGGGAGGAAGCACTTTGTCTGCGTCGACTCGGACGACTCGTTCGTCGACCAGCCAAACCCCGGGGACAGCTCCTCAACGGCATTGGCATCAACGACGACGACCACCAGCCAGACGCTACCGACCGCAGTCCCGGCGATGCCGGCATTTGCGGTTCCTATCCTGCTATGACGACTGGTTCCACGTACGATGTTGTGCCATGCGCGCGGTCGGAGCGGTTAGTCGTGCACGCTTGGAGGATGCGAGGAAGCAATGGGAGGGGAACAAGGACGGGCAAACAGGCCAAGCGTCTGACCATGAGGCCGGGCGTAGAAGACTTCAAACACCGAGTACCCTTCACTCTCATCTTCAAAGCACGTATCCTTGTCCTGTACAACCAGCTCTTGCTCAGACAGATAGTAGCATACTATGAGTTACAAGAATAAGTCACTGCTCTCATTGGCACGCATGTACCCCTCTTCTCCGTGTACGAGTGTGTCTGTTCGCTCAAGGTCAGGAGCATATTTGAAAAGCATTGCCATCTGCACACAGTCAGCACCAGTGCCCTCATCCGAATCCACGTGCGCTGGCTTCCCCGAAAGTTGACTTGAAAATTGCCGCAGTGGCGCAGAGCATGCACAGTCTCGTCTCACCAAGATGGACGGCGCTCCCGTGCGCCGTCTGACGAGTGGAGTGTACAGCCTAGTCTGATCCTATCTGCATGATACGAACCACGGTACGTGCCTATTGCGCCTCATCCCACGGAGATTTCCTTCAAATGCCGTGTACGGTCGTCGCACGCATTACCATCACGCCCTCGCGAGTCGTAGAATCCAAGGGAATTTTCCGAACCAGATCGGCCGTGATAGTCATTGTGTCTCTGGATACAAAAAGGCCACAGGCAACTTCAACAAGCATAACGACACGCAAACCACCACTTCACGAGTTCCATGGCCAAGACAGCACGGTCTCGTCAGTCCTTCGAAACCATTGCTCCGCCCGCAGTACTTCGATGGAATCGCGTATGAAATCTCACCTCGACAAGGTCTCGTCTTGACTACACCACCAACCTGCCCTTCCACACCACCTAGCCCCCTACTGCAGCTGGTAGTAGTACTCGCTCCTCCCCCCACTCCCCGGCATCCCCGCCCCACTCCACTTCGTCACCACGCCCACGACCTTGCCCGCCGCTAACGTCTTCCCCGCCTGGACACCCAGCGTCACATTCATGTTCCCCTTGTCGTCAATCTCGCTGCTCACGATGCTGAACCACCTCGGCGACGCATCAACCCTGAAGGTGCTGTTCGCCGGCGTCGGCGGGTCGTTGGTCTGGTCGTCGTACGGAATCTTCTGGCTGAAGACGGGCAGGGTGCTGCCGGCGGTGGCTTTGAGGAGTTTGGCGCTCGGCCGCGATTTCTGGATCGTTGCCCAATCGTACGTGTCGTCGGCCGAGGGTTTGACGTCGGCTGGAGCTGCGGTGCCGGCGCGGATGACGACCGAGGGGCCGGACATTTGGGGAGCTGGTGGAGAGTGGTGGCGGGAGATGGGATGAGAGTTGATTGAAGAGGAAGATGCTGGTGGACTTGATCGCGGCCGAGAGTGCAAGTTCTTTGATGTGTGCAGTATGTAGATACCTGGAAAATTGAAGAGGATCTTGGCTGCCTTTATATCTCTCGCGAGATTAAGGCGATGAGAGTTAGCACACCCTTACCAGCCTTTTCATTTTGCTTCTATGATCTCGCATGCGACCGTCTTTGCGGGGTACGTGTTCAGCTTCTTAGAGCGTCATAGAACAGTCGAGATGCTACACCTCAGCTGAGGTATTGGCGAATCTTTGTCGCTGTAAGTTCTACCACTTGCGCCTACATATGCATTTTGTCATTTGGGGTACCGAAGATACATGTCTTCCAATAGACTCCCGACGGAGGACTTACCGTGGGATACTGTATCTTGTTCACGTCTAAGCTGAAACGCTTCATGAGCTGGTGTGCGCCACAGGAAGTGACTGTTCAGCTGGCCCCGACCCTACCTCAAGCAGTGCCTCTTATCGGACTAGAGTAACAACTCGCCCATTGCGTGCCCACTCTAGTCGCACAAACTCAGCTCGATTGCTCGAACATGTTCAAGGCTCCAAGGGTAGACCTGGTGGCGTGCGGGGAAGCTGCAGTGTGAGCGCAGCCAATGTCCCAGCACACTGCTAGCCACAAACCGACAATCGTATGGGTTGCTTGTAAAATCGAATGGCTGGGAACATGGTAAGCCATCGATCCAGGGCACGTGCATCGTAGCGTGAGGTAGACCATCACCAGCCATCAGCATTTCGATGCCCAACAACAGAGGGGCACAGCTAGCCACCATATACGTAGACTTTTAGTTGGATTGCTGGTATTGCCTATCATAATGCGCAAACTATGACCGCGTTCTTCTACAAGATGTAAGCTCAAGCACCAACGCCTGCTACGCCTGCTACGCCTGCTACGCCTGCTACGCCTGACACCTAACTGCATGCCGTCTAAGAATCCACCCAAGTTGTCCGGACAACGCGTAAGACATGCGAGTACTGTCCCGGCTCCCACGAACGGTCGATTTCATCGTCTTGTTCGACCAGCCGCGGGGTCCGGCTCTGGCCAGAATTCGGCGATCTCCTCTAAGAAGGACGAGCTGTTGTGCACCGTTGTGCCACCCAAGACTACTCTGACTCCAGGTGAGCTTGCATTGACTTGCGCGACCATCTTCGCTTCCTCGTATGTCGTTCCGCCCACCATGAAGATGATGATGTCCTGAGGCTTATCTTTGGTGGATCCGCCACCTTCGACAAACGGATAAACCTGTGTGTTTAGCCGTCCCTTGATGAGCTCCTGCAGTGTTGCTTCTAATCGCGGTGAATGCTGGGTATATACGTTCTCAACGCCCTTCAAGCCCTTTAGTCGATCGCGAGCACCACCAAAGAATGAGCCTGGCTGGAAGAGCTCAGGGATACCACCGGCAACATTAGTAGCCTGTAGGGAGTTGTGATACGCTAATAGCTTCTTGACGAGACTAATGCGGTGCCGGGAAACACCACCGGCGACCTCGAGCAGATCCAGCAACATCGGTGTAGAGTTGGAGGAGTGCTTCGAGTACCGCAGAGCGTATATGGCTGTGAGTCGTAGCTTGTTATCTGCGGGAATCTTTGGATCTTGTATGAGGCGTTGAAGAGACTTTACATCGCTGGAGTGGTTATCCGTGCAAGCTAAACTCTGTTCCAGCTCGCTCACTTCCAGAAGGTTATCCTCTCCCACTCTTCGACTGAGCTCTCCAACCAGAGTCACATGTTTTGTGACGTTGCCTGACAGTTTGCGGAATTCCGGGAAGTCCTCGATGAATCGCTTCATGTCCGCGATCGAATCGAGCTTTTGTGAGCCTTGCTGTTTGGACGCGAACTGCTCAACGTATTCTTTGGCATTCTGACCGAGATCACCAAAGTTGAGGTACATGTTCTTCTTGAAGAATGGATCTTGATCTTGCGAAAGAGTAATTTCCTGATGGCAAATTAGTGTGTCATACCAGGCACGCAAAGGTGGCGTACCTTGAGCTCAGGCCGTATGTCTGGCACATCGCGCAAGTCGACCCTACCATTGTTGATGCCAAGCAGCTCATGCACCATTGCCTGATATGTCCATTGGGTCAACAGCGGCGTGACGGGGTCGTCTCTCCGATCTACGATCAGTAGTATTGGGGGTGTGTCGGTTTTCCGGAAATCGAACAACTGCTCCTCCTGTGTCATATTGTATCGCACCTCAGTTGCCAGTTTCCTAGCCAGAGGACTGTTCTTCTGAAAGCGGATCAAGGCCTTCTTTTTCAAAGCAAGGAGCAATGCCAAAACACCCTCGGTCGATCGCTGCAGAGACTCTGCATTCCACGTGTCCGGATTCGCGCTCCATATCCTGTGCTGCGGGAATCCCAGACTCAGCGACATGAGGTCGGGGTTTATGACAAGGAAGTCGGCGAAGTATTCCTGCACGGCGCGGACGACTTCGTGGTCGTCGGCTTCTGCGAGTCGCTCGAGGGATGATTTCTTGATGATGTTGCTGAAGTCTGCGCCCAGTCAGCGTGGCGCTCCACATGGCGTATCCTTTGCGCCAGCTCACATATGTGATACTCCCCGTACTTGGGGTCCCGCAGCTCCTCGATCAAGCTTTGTATAGACTCGGGCGACGGTCGCACGAAGCACAGGCAGCGAAGATGACGCATCTTCTCTCTGGCCTGATTGTCGACTCGACTGTAGGTCTAGGGTCAGGATTCGCCCAGGGAGGGGTTGTGGGGCGCGTACTCGGTGAGGTAGACCTCATGGTTCAAAAGGGCGGATTGGGTTGTCGCAGTAGAGACGATCGAAACCTGGACCAGGTTAGCACATGCACATGCAACTCATAGGCGGAGCAGACAGACCTACCGTGTTGTTGTCCAGCAGGAGTATCTTCATCTTCGCGGCCGAGGTGCCTGCCGCAGCGCTGTCTCCGGCAGACACCATCTTCGTGATGTAGCCGGAGACGGCCTGTACAATGTCCATGACGGCGTCCGTGAAGGCGGGCTACTCTGAGGTGCAGCAAAGGGTCGACTGTCGGAGTTGGCTCGGTGCTGGCAGCTCCATCCCCAGTCGCAACTGCTTTGACGTAGCTTGAGCTTCAATTCCGCTTAGTCAGCCAACATTCGTCCATTCCCATCCCTGCACAACCAATCTCACGGGGACGGATTACAACGCAAACCCCGCGCCTAGAGACGGCCGCTCGAAGACTGGCATTGTATCTGGCGCGGATGCTCGGGGTGCATGTATCCTCATTGGGTGTTGACTCCATGCGACAACGATGGCGTCAGTCATACGAGACCCCACGGCAGACTAAAAGCTACCCCGATTCCGTGCCTCTCTTCGGATTGTTCTTCTTGCAACGGAATTTCCTGCACCTTCCATTGACCTCGTGGGTCAATTTCTAATCATACTCCGAATCTCGACCGAAATCATTGCTCGCACGGGAACTACTGCCTGAGCTTGTTCCCACGCAACGGCTGCCTCCCATCCTACCGGCCTCTTGCACAGTGAGCATATAAACCCACTCGTTTCATTCTTGGGAACTTCAGACATACACAGAGAGCCTTCCACCTCTGCTACACCTCAATCGACGGTAATTCTAGGCCTTTGCAATATGACCAAACTTTTCATGTGAGTACCGCGGCAGCAAGCTCTCTTCATGAAGCCTCGAACATTGCCTTGCTTTGAAGCAGTCCAATCGAACATGTACTTCTTCGCCTTCTAATGCTTCTACAGCACTGGAGCTACAGGCTATATCGGAGGAGATGCCTTCTACGCCATCGCCCACGCCTACCCTGACCTCGAAATTACAGCACTGGTCCGCAACTCCGACAAAGGTGCGAAGGTCGCATCTCAATACCCGAAAGTCAGACTTGTGTACGGCGACCTGGACAGCGCAGAACTACTCACCAGCGAAGCCGCCAATGCCGACGTCGTTGTGCACACCGCCAATGCAGACCACCCTGGTGCCGCAAATGCGCTGATTGCAGGCCTAGCCCAGAAGCAATCGCCAGGTTATCTGATCCACACATCCGGCACTGGAATCTTAGCTACCTCAACCTCAGACACAAAGTCGCACGGCGAGCAAAGCTCTCACGTGTACAATGACTGGGACGGTATCAAGGAGGTCACCTCGCTTCCTGATCACTACGAGCACCGCAATGTCGACAAAATCATTCTCGCTGCTGCGGAGAAGAACCCAGGGAAAATTTTCACCGCCATCGTCTGTCCGCCGGCCATCTCCGGTCCTGGTCGTGGCCCCGACAACCAGCGCAGCGTGCAAGCGTACGAGCTCACTAAAGCCACGCTCAAGCGCGGGAAGGGGTTCCAAGTCAATGCTGGACAGAACATCTGGCACCATGTCCATGTGCAAGATCTTTCCAATGTATTTCTCGGTCTCGTGACCGCGGCCTTGCAACCCGGCGGCGGCAAAGCTACGTGGAACGAGGAAGGCTACTATTTCGCGGAAGCAGGCAGCTTCCTTTGGGGTGACATTTCACGCAAGATCGCGACGATCGCGAAGGATAAGAAGCTCATCGACACTGAGGAGATTGACAGCCTTTCTGTTGAGGAGACCAACAAATTAGTCAAGGCAGGCGGGTACTTGCTTGGTACGAACTCGCGGGCTGATGCTGTGAGAGCAAAGAAGCTGCTCGGCTGGACGCCCAAACAGAAGAGTCTGGAAGATCTGCTGCCTGAAATTGTTGAGGGGGAGGCGAAGGGCTTGGGTTTGATCAAGGGTCATGCAGAGAAAGCAGGCGCTTGAAAGTGCTGCATGTACTCGAGCCTACGAGACTTGCTTGATTGGCCGCAGTCTTGTCGGCCTTGAAAGGTCCAACAATCTAGCAAATTCTCTTTTGTGGAATATCAATCCGGCCACTCTCTTCTACTCGACTCTATCTAATCGAAACGTGATTAGCCAACCTCTGCATGTTCAATCCCAGCCTCTATACTCGTGTTTTCAAGTCATACTATGCCCAACTCCTTGCAGAATGTTTGTATGAAGGTGAAGTTACTCCAACTTTGCGGTCCAATGCGGTATGGATGGTCGCCTGGAGAAAACATCGTGCTAGAATAACTCGACCGGTAAGGATTGTTCAAAGTTGAGAGCTGACACTGTCATGGCAGATCTCGCGTTGGAGCGAGAGAGGCATTCTAGAAGTCGGCCCGAGCTCCAAATGTCGCACTCGTTAATATGTCGCTTTTTGGCTCCCTGCATCGAGAATTGCCTTGATGAGGATTAGGTCCGGGACCTACTTCCGGAGATTTCTGGCGATCTTGGAGAGGGGCGACAACAGTTCACAACACCTACCGTATCAGGAGATGTTTTCGCTGAGGCGGTTGACTGACTCTGCAACACGGGAGAATCCGTTGGGACCGAGTGATATCGACAAACGCAGGAGGCCCAGAACTGAGCACTGAAGTCTAGGTTCATTGGCTGCGAACGGCTTCTCAGCCACATTGACGGCCCACCTTGGCGCGTCAATTAAGGTCCCGTCAGTCACGTGGTGCTCAGCCTTGTGTGCTGATCTCCAACAATCGACGGGCCGGCCTTCGGCGGGCATCCCTCCCCCACCACACCCGCGCGCGACTATAGCATCCAACAATTGCATCCGCAATGGCTCTGGCAACATGGTAATCAGAAATGTCCGAACAAGCATTGCCGCAGTCACGCGTGGTGCGCCGCCGAAATCCACGCCCCATCAATTCCTGCGTTGAATGCCGCACGCGCAAAAGTCGATGCTCCAAAACACACCCTTGTCAGAACTGCACCGCCTTTGGAAGAGAATGTGTCTTTATCACGGTCCCAGAGAGCGCCGCGCGCAAGAAGCAGAGGGAGAGGGAACATGCCAGTAAAAGCAGCGCAGAGTGGACCCAGCCGATCCCGCTGCGCACGCACAGCTCGAGCACAGTCCAGCCCGAAAAGTATGAATCTATGTATGAGCAAGATAAGGCTTTGAGCACGACCACGCCGGGAACGCCACCTAGAGATTACGAATGGGAGGCGTATCAGCAAAGTGTGCAGGTTGATCAATCTGAAGGTGCGGCGTGGGAGCAGCTGCCTGCCGAGCCGGAAGAGACGCCCGACGATGTGTACGAAGATGAAGACGACGATGAGATGGAGGTCGCGACTGATCTTACTATCCGGATTGGAAGAATGATCATCTGTGAAAATATCACTGGCTTCTTCAGACCGCAGTATGCGGAAGAGGTACTTCTCCGATGAAGATCATGTGGTTTGCAACAAGCATTTACTGAATTTCACGCAGCTTGGAAAGCTTCTGTCAGACCACCCTCCTTCAACGTCTTCAGTGGCGGGGCAGAGAGCATCACAAGCCTCAGCATTGTTATCGGCAGAACACATGCCATCCCTCTCACCTTCGCTCAATCTGCTCCTAGGTGGGTCAATATCTAACTCTTCCAACAACGACATCGAACCGCCGCTGCTTCCATCAAGAATGGAAGCCGAAGCACTTCTCAACCGGTACATAGAGGCTGTCAGTCCTCTTGCCCACGTGCTGCACATACCATTTTGCAAACGTCTTTTTGAACGCTTCTGGATGAACATCGAGATTGGGAATACAAACCCGAATTCGTGTACGGCGCTAATGCTAGCTGTGTGCATGGCTGCCGCTGCATCTGTCTCTCCGCTTCAAGCAAAGTCGCAATTTGGCATCTCGAAAGAAGATCTGTTCTTGAGGCTACAAAAAGCGACCGAACGAGCACTCCTCCGCGCCAACTGGGCAAAGACCTCCAACATCCGGACACTCCAAGCATTGACCATATATCTCATACCTCTGTGCAGGGCACAAATCTCCCGCGCCACGTCCGTAGTCGTAGGTGCCCTCGTCCGGCTGGCCCAGTGCATCGGCATCCACCGCCTGTCGCATTCCTCAGCGCACACCCTCACCCCGCTCCAACGCCACGTCCGCTCCCTCCTCTGGTACCAAATCTGCTTCCTGGACTTCAAAACCGCCGAAGCGCAAGGCCCGCACCCCTCGATCCGATCTGACGACTTCGACTGCCCCCTCCCCCTCAACGTGGACGACGACGTCTTCGAATTTGGCTCGCCAAAATGGCAGCACAACCCCACGCCCGTGCAAGGCTGGACCGACGCCACCCTCTCCCTCATCCGCTACGAATGCAACGAGATCCATCGCCTCATCTTCCGCGGGCGCATAGAGATCGACCGCAAGGCAATCACTCTGCACGACCTGCGCGCCCGCGTCGAGGCCAAGAAGCGCCACATTCAGCAAAAATACCTGCACCACCTCGACGCCTCGGTCCCCATCCAGCGCTACGCCGGCCTCGTCGCTACCTGCCTCATGGCCCGCTGCGACTCCATGCTGCTGTACCGGCACCTGCCCCAGGCGTCGCCGCACCCGCGCTCCGACTCTGAAAACCGCCTCCGCGACGTCCTCCTCACCGCGGCTCTGACCACGCTCGAAATCGGCGCCACCCTCGACACCCTCCCCTCCCTGTCCTCCTGGGCCTGGTACAGCACCACCTACCAGCAGTACCATGCCGTGCTGCTGCTGCTGACCGAGCTGTACCGCACACCCGACCTCGACCGCAAAGACCGCATGATGACCATCATCGACCACATCTTCGGGCACTGCTACGGCGTCGGCGTGCGCGAGCGCTGCGCCGACCTCCTCTGGACCGTCAAAGAGAACCTCGAGGCCTTCTACATCATGAAGGGCATCCCCAAGAAGGCCGCCGCGCCCCCGCAGCAGCACCCCACGCTGCAGCCTCTTCCGCAGCTCACCCGCAGCCAGAGCAGCGTCGCAAGCCCCGACCTGGGTATCGGGATGACGGGCTTGCAGACGCCGATGGACAACTTGAATGTCGACTTTGAGTCGTTGCTGGGGAGTTTGAGCGCGCAGGGCGGCGCGGGCGTGGGCGAGAGCGATCTGGATGGATTTCTGGCGGGCTTGCAGAGGGGCAGCGATGCCATTTTCATGCCGGCCGACACGTCTGCTGCGCAGAATGGCGCGCGCGAGTGGGAGGAGAGTGCGCAGCCGGGGTTGCAGCAGTGGGTGAGTAGACGGCATACATACCGCTAGCACTGTAGCGCTGATGCGGCGACACAGGACAGTTGGACATTCCCGAACCAGACGCAAAACAGGTGATGAGGATGAGGATGTGGGCGAACACTTGCTTCAGCATTTACATGTACGGAAATTGGGGATTTTGCTGTACTATACCACGGCTTGGCGGGAATGGCTCTATACCCATCCTTGAGCAATTGCTTCTCGGTCAGTGCTGTTCATATACCCTCACTTCAACCCTTCTGTTCACATCTGGCTGACATGTTGAAAGATGTTCAACAAAGGAGATAGCTTCTTAATTGCAGATAAAAGCAACTTGATGTGTCGCATGCCTCGAATGGTCCAACAACGCTACCTTTCCAAACCCAAAAACGCCGTGTACAACTTTGAGTTATGCCTCCGCGCCAACGCCGTGCCTGCCATGTTTCCCACACTACGCTGCAGTCGCTGACGCGCGATTTCACCATCCCAAACAAAACAGCCAAATGTCAACATGCCGAAAATACAACATCGACCCGAACGCCGTTTATGCGTACCCAAAGAGATCAAAGCGTGACGATTCTCGTGGGCTCTGTAGCGCACGATGTCAGCAAAGCAAGGCAACAAAGCTCTAGTGATATGACGCTAATAATGCGAAACCTCAGAGGAGCTCAACGCACTTCGCTTCATGGGAGGCGGAGGTGGTGGCGGCTTCTTAGCCCTGGACGGGGGCGGTGGCGGCGGAGCTTTCTTGCTGAGGGGCAAATCGTTCTGGGACCAGGATGCGGCGCGAGACATGACACTGCTGTGGCTGCTAGTCCCAGGACTAGGCGGCGACCTGTCTCGTCTGTACGTCTGCTGTCCGTTGGACCTCTCGTAATCATCCTCGTACTCGTCTGCAAAGGTGTTGGTCTGTCGAACGGGACGCAAGTTGCTGCGTCCGGCCAGCATTGCGGTCGGTTCGGTCGGAACGCGGGAGAGTCGGTTCCGGGCGGGTGAGTCGTCGCGGGTGGAGCGGGTCGGGCTATCAAAGGTCGACTGGCGGCTGTAGGTGGGGCGGCTGACGGGCGAGGGGTTACCGTGCGGCGACAGATTGCGGGAGGAGAGCTTGGGAATAGTAATACGCGGTGCTTCTGGTTCTGGCTCTTCCTCGCGGGGGTTGAAGCGCTCAGCGTAGCCGTGCGCGGTCGAGTGTGAGCGCGAGCGCGAGCGGTTCAAGGTGTCCCTGTCAATATTGTTAGCCGCGTCATGCCGCATATTCGATAGTCGCATGCTTACTGAACGGGCCACTCGCGCTTGACGTTGATGAGGATCTCGCGGCAACGGTCGTAGTACGACAGCTCGGCCTCGAGGAATGCAGTGAGATCCTGGACCATCTCGACCTCGGACTCCTTGATGTCCTGCATCCGTCTGAAGACGTCCTCGCTCGACTCTTCGTATTTGGCCTTTTGTGCGCGGAGCTCCTCCTCGACCCTGAAGTCCTCCTTCTTTGCCTTTTGCATCTTTGCGAGCGACGTGTCATAGTTGAGGCGGCGCTGTTCGAGCTTCTTACGAGCATTCTGCAATTGGTTAGCAGGTCATGTTCCGCACGTAGAGATGCTGTGGTCGCGTGCGTACCTGGTATTCCTTCATCTGGGCCAAGGAGCGATCCAAGCCCTCCAGCCACGAGGAGGTGGCGCTCTGAACGTACGTCTCTTGCACGCGCGCCAGGCGCTCGTTTGCTCGTCCAAGCGCTGCGGAACAATTAGTGTGGGTGACGGAAGACCAGGGGCGGGGCACGCACAGGAAAGGCAGTTGCCAAACTCAGAGTCGGGTTCGAAGTCCTCGCTGTGGGAGACCATGGAAGAGCCGAGGTGGCCACCCGGCAGCATCTTCTCGCGGTCGGTGCCCTGGGCGCGCTCCGAGAGCGACTTGACGTAGACGGTCATGGACTTCTGCATGCGGTCCATACCTGCGCAGGTTAGCTAATTGGCGCTGGAGTTCAGACGATTGCACCACGCACCCTCGTGGCGGAGGTTCATCTCAGTCTCGAGGGCCTTGAAGTCGTCGGAGACGCCTGTCCTGACCTCGCCGCCCATCTTCTCTCCCGCCCATTGCTTGAAGCGGTCGAGCTTCTTGTTGACGAGCATGGCTGCGTGTGGATGGGCGTGCAGCTTGCAGTGCGGGTGTTGCGAAGGTTGCTGTGGAGCTGCGGGCTAAAGCCAGATTGCGCGAGACAAAGTTGTGATAAGGGCCGTAGTCAGGAGCAGGGCAGCGGAGCTTGGTGCTTGAGAATTAGCGGCACGGACTCTTTGAGGGTCAGCGGCGGACGGAGAAGGGGCACTGGGGAGCGGCGCAGCAGATTCTCCGGAGGGCGCGAGAAAGAAGGAGCACGCAGGAGGGCAGCGCCGGCCACGCTGGAGATGTGGGGTGGATATGTTTCGCGCAAAGGGAGGGACGCGCGGGCGGGCCAGTGCTAATTCTGGGACGCCTTCTGGACCACGGTGATGTGGGCGGCAGAGGGGCTAGCAACGGCTAGCAGCCAACGCCCTGATCGGCACGGCCAGACGCCAGCCTGCCCAGTGCCTGCCCGCGCCGCCTGACCACAGACGACGGCTGCCCGACCGCGGCTTCCCGTAAGCGCTGCCCTGCGTCCGCTGGCCACCAGTGCCTCCTCCACGGCACCCAAAGGCGCCGCCCTGGGCCTGTTTCACCTTCTCCCGGCCTCCAGGCTCCCTCTCCGTCATCGACGGGCTGATTTGCTCAACAGCCGCTGTGGGCGCCCAGCAGCGCCCAGCGCGCCCGCCGATTGCCCCTCCTGCAGCGTTGCGGCGTGCGCATCCTGGACGCCAGCAGGTCGCAGAAACGCCTGTTCAACTCCCGCCGGTCCAGAATAGCGTCTTGCAGCTCCAGAACTTGCAGCAAGCGTAGCTCAGGTACAAGCGCGTGTGGGCCATCCTAGCGCGATGCTGTGTCTGTGGGTACATCCAAGGAAACTCGACCGAGTTGTAACGTGTGACATTCGGGTCATGCCGTCCCGTCAATGTCTGCTCCACTACACTGTCAATGCCCTTGGAAACCAAGTCTATAGAATGCACTGCGCTCTGGTCCGCCGCCTACCCCTGAGCCTCGTGCGAGCAACGAGACCTGTCGGACATCCTTGAGAACGTGCAAGATCCGGGTTGACGCGGACTTCTGCGTCAGCGCGAGTGTTCCGCACTGCAACATCGGATCGAGCATTGCATACAATGGCTGACCTCATGCAGCTACCCAAAGTTCTGATGAGCTATCATGATCGATGCACCGCGGGTGTTGAAGAAAGCTGGGCGCGTTCAAGCGACGCCCGCAGTAAAGGCGTCCGAGTTTATCCAGCACTCACTGTGATGCAACTGGTCTCAGCAAAATGAATAAACAGCATTCTTGTTTCAAAGCAAAGCGAACCGGCGCCTTTTCACGCAGGCATCATCCTTCAGCCTACACAAGGGCAGCAATATCCTTCCACCACTTCCACCACCACCTAACTAACAGTAATCGTGCTCGTCCCGCTCGGCAACTTTGTCCCATTCGCAAACGCCTCCGTAACCATGAACATATTCTGCTCAAAGTTTCCCATCCGATACCCCTTACTCGACCAGAAATCAAAATGATTCCCTGTGGTAATTGTCCCGCTCACACTTCCCACCGTCTTCTGTGCCTCGCTCTTTACACCAAAGTACTGCGTGAACGTCCTGGTCCCCTCGATCGACGGCTTGTTGACTCGCTGCGCCGTGTAGAACGCATAGTTGTTCCCGTCGGACGTGTAGTTGCCGCGGAGCGTCCAGGGCTCGCCCGGCGCGAGGACGTCCCACGACTCGACGATGTAGAACTCGATGAGAGGGTTGCGTGTCCAGCCGTAGAGGGAGAGGTAGCCCGGGCCTTTGGGGTTGTATTGCCCGCTGTAGCGTACTGTCCTATGGTACCGCTGGTGTCAGCATTGCGCTGCTTCAGGCCGACTGTCACTGAGCGATATGGAGAGGAGAAACGCACTTTCTACCAGCACCCCACCCGGTGCCAGCGACCATGCCGCCGCCAGACTTCCCGTTCCAGTTGCACGAGTATTTGCCGCCGCCTTGCTGTTGGCAGCTGAACTGTCCCTGCCCTTCAGTCCACCATTGCCAGGGAGAGTTCTGGCGCGCGACCAGGGCGGAGGTGTCTGCGGGTGCGGCGATAGCACTTGGGATGAGCGCCAGGGCCGTTGTGACGAGGGCTTTGAAAGACACCATTGTTGCTGTCTCGAGATGCGCTGTAGACTTGCTATTCACTGGTGGTTCGATAGATGCAACGGTCTGATCGGGATAGGCCCGCTTTATACAAAATCCACAGCGGCAATGCCAAAGCTAAGAATAGTCATCGGGCTCGATGACAACTCCATCACAGTGTGATCCTGTCCTTCGTTTTCCCACCGGAAGTCCCTACCAATGACCCTCAAGTCGCCACGCCCCATCCCCTTCCCACCGACACCTCATTAGCCATGACATGTGCAACCTCAATCAAAAGATGTACACATGCCCACCGAAGCAGCCATCCATCTCCACCCCGCTCTTGGTCCCGTCTCGTCTTGACGACCCCACTGCCGCCCTCGCCAAGCCCTCGAAACACACCACCCTTCTTTATCCACCATGCCTGCCCGCCGAGAGACACTACGTCCAAGGTATACATGTAGGTTGCTGCCAAGGTGTCCTCCGTGTGGGGAAGCCAAGTCCAAACACGCTACAGGCCAAGGCTGGGGTACATTTCCAGTCGTCCTCGGGGATAATTCGTCGACACGGGTAGATTGTGACATATAGATCGCCAAGCAGCAGATCGCTGCTGGGTGCAGATTGCGAACGCGGCGGAGGGCCTGCCGACATCTGCCGCCGGCAGATTTTCCGAGGGGACCACGCGGAACAATGGAGCGGTGGGGGGTTTGGTGCTTTTGCTTGTTGCCTTCTGCCTGTGGCACTGCATGCATGAAGTCCTGGTCCTTGCACTCCGCAAGCCAGGAGAGCTGCATATCAAAAGACACAGCGATACTGGCCTTTCACACTCGGTGTATCATCGTATTTGTCGACATAGGAGCACCCACTACGCATAATCATGGACTACTGTAACTATGTCACGGAAATCAGATGACCGCATTAAGCGGTCGAGCGAGACCGAAGTGGTGTCGCTTCGCGTCTTGAGATCCTCTATGTCCTTTGCTTATAGTCTACCATCTGATACACTGGCCTCATTTGATGCCTGGATAGTCATACATATTACTAGAGTCCATACTACTCATCCGGCTCCTGCAAGAAGTTCGCGACAGCATTGATAAACTCCTCCGGCTTCTCGCTGATGACCCAATGCCCACTGTCCACATCGACAAGCTCGAACCTGGGGAAGAATCGCCCAATAATCGGCAGCGTCTCGTCGCTCACATAATGGCTCTTGGTGCCCCTAATGAACAAAGCCCGCTTGCCAAACCGCGCCTCATCCGGGTTGTTGAACGGAAAGTCCGCCATGTCGTCCAGCGCATACGCCAGAGTCTTCACCGGTATCCTCCACCGCAGTGGCTGACCTGGCTCCCGTACCAAGTTTGTCAATAGGAACTGTCGCACGGGGAGCTCCTCCACATACGGTTGCAGGATCTCGTCCGCCTGTTTCTGGTTCATCGGCTTGGCAGCTTCCACTTTGCGCATGCCTTCTACGTATTTGGGAAAGTCGGACGCGAGGGCTGCGTCGACCGGTGCGTTGTCTACGGGGATGATGTTCGCGCAGGAGTCGGGGTTGCGGAGGGCGACTGCCATGACGGTTTTCGCACCCATCGAGTGGCCGATGAGGGTAGCATCTTTGAGATTGTGCTTCTGTAGGAATGCTTCGACATCTTCGGCGAGGACGGTGTAATTGTGCTCCTTATCGTGGGGTGACTCGCCGTGGTTACGAAGATCGATAGCGTAGACGGGCCTAGACAGCTTGCGGGCCAGCGCACTGAGCAAAGTGTTAGTGCGCGTTATTGGAGTTGGGAATCAAGTTACCTACTTGCTTACACTACGGTTGTTCTTCTTAGTGCCGAACAGCCCGTGAAGAATGAGTATGGGCGCACCCTTTGCTTTGCCGTGTTCATCGTGGAGTGTGTACACAAGGTCAACCGCTCTGCAAGTAGCAGACGCGTGGAAGGAGCGCGTCCATGGCGGCAATGGCGTCGAAGCTATCCGTGTCGTATGCTTCGGGTGCAACAGCGGCACGCAGATGGGTTGCAGGCTTCGATATAGCGATCGCATTGTTGTGGAGAGTACAGAAGATTTTCGGGCAGTTGCGGAATATTTCCGATTCCGACCCTCACGTCATTCGTACCTGCCAAGACCTGTGGACCCTTCACCTTTATTCCTTGGGCTTTACAGTTACAAATGCGAACGCATGGCCGTCTCTTAACAACCTTTCCTTCTTGACCTTATCACCTGTTACTGGTCTAATTACACGTGGAAGCCTCTAGCCGACTGGCACACAACATCCGCATCATTCACTGAGTTCATATCTTTGGGTCTATTCGAGATCCTCACCTCTCAAGGATGCAATACCACGTGCTTGTAGAGCATCTAGGATTTCCTGATAAAATTATGCATTCATCTATAAGCATCGCAATCGTTTGGTTGCCGTTACGACGTACTGTCTAACAGCGCAATCGCAGGTTCACTCGGAGAATCAGCATATCCCGCATGGACCCCAGGAGCAGGGGCAATAAAGCAAGAAACCTTACAGGAAGCTCGGGTTCTATGTCCAATTCCGCGACTCCGCGAACACTGAGCCAGACCCAGATCTTCGGTCCGTGGTCTTGGACGGTCCGTGGTCTTGGAAAGGGTCTGAATATCCATATCAAATGTCTAACATTACTGGAAGTAGTATACTGGTCTATGCAATTATCACCTAAGCATCGGGTGTGCATATTCTAGGGCTCAACAGACGAGCACAGTGAGAACTTGGTGTTACAACGGCTGTATCGACTGATATCGCCTCGTCCGCCAATCGCGCACTCTCGCACTGATGCGGAGAGTTTCTAGCCTGATCTTGTACAGGGCTGTGATCTGTCCAATGGCGCACCATCGCACTGGCCTGGAAGAACGTCAGCCTCCAGCAGGCGTTTTGCTACTTGGCCAATGGCGCACCTTCGCAGGTTATTCTACGCCCAGAAAGCCACACCTCTGTTGAACCTTGCGAATGCACTGACGGTCTTCAGATATAAATACGTGTAGGTATCTTTCTCATTCCCAACACCTGAAGACTCAACTAGCCTTCTTCAGCGTCACGGGTACAATGAAAATAGCGACATGTCTTTCCATCAGCCTGGTACGCCAGAGACCATGTTTCCACTTGCACTAGCGCCTCGTATGGTTTCAACTTTCCCATTACATGATAACAGAGTCGCACCGGGACCGGCAGTGAACTCATCGCGAACTTTACTACCAGGTCTCACCAGTCACACCGTAGGCACTGGTGAGGTCGCTGTACCACGGAAGAAACGTCGGTTGGATTACATCAAGTGCGAGAGCTGTCGGAAAGATAAGCAAAAGGTTCATACTAGACTGTATTCTCAACGGTGTAGATCTGACTAGATATAGTGTTTGCCTACAGATCGTAAATGGCCGCAGCGCTGCGATCGATGCGTTGAAAGACATCTTCCATGCTCAGAGGGCGATCGAGCGCAACGCTGCCGCAAGTCTCCTCGACCAACAGCGACTGCACCATTATTGCCCATAGCATGCAATGTCGAACAGGAGGCTGAAGAGTGGTATGTTGCTCCCATACAAGCTAATTGACTAATAGCTCAGCGATCCAGGGCTTTCCTCCAAATGTTCCGCGCAATCGTACTGCCAGCCATCAACTACCTCAAGTCACTTGAGGGAACCATGAGGAAGCACTTTTTTCTGTACGGCACAACTCATTCTTCTCACCATCGTGAATTCGAAACCTTCCTGCAACGCCTCGACTCTGAGATATCGCGAGGTGCTCGCAGGCTTTGGGCGAATGCTTCGCTTTCAAGCTCATCATTTGTTGTCAAAACAATGCTTGCAAGCCATATCTTGAGTGAATACCCTGTTCGAGGAAGCGGCGTCTGTCCCAGAAGTCAAGGTCTCCCTGCGATGGATAGCCTTGCACAACACAACCACGCCTCTCATGCGTTCCTGATTGCTTGTCGGATGCTCGAATGCGCCTGCTCTTGCACATATTGTCTACAACCCAGCAATTACTTCAAGGAGATGTCCAATGAGTTTCATAAGATTGCTGAACAGGTGTTGAGGGCACGGGATCTCTGGGAATTCCTACCTCATACCGCTCGTCGTTATGCGTCCTTCCTTCCGGAGGTTATACTGCTCTTCCACTTACACAAGCAACGTCCACCACACCTGATGACGTTGAGGATTGCTTAGGCCGTAATGCGCTCATCCGTTCCGTTGACTATCTAGATGACGAGGCCGCCTTCTCCAGAGTCCGCCAATTCTTGGTCTCCGACCGTCCTACAGAATGTGACGAAGCCTATGACAGGGTAATATCGGGAATCAATCATCAAGATATACTAGGTCGTTCAATCTTGCACGTCGCCTGTCAAAATAGGAACGCCCCGCTCGTGGAACTATTGTTAAATCGAGGTGCTTTACCCGATACGCGCACAATCCGCGGTGCCATGCCTTTACATCTGGCAGCTGCAGCCGAATCCCTCGTTATTTGCAGGATACTAATAAAGGACTACAACCAAAATGTCAACCCGATCGACGAGTTCGGACGTACTCCCTTGTTCTACACAAGAAGACATGATGAGGTGGCGCAATTCCTCAAGCTCAGCACGTTAGAGCTGACAAGCAAATTGCACGTGGCCATCGATGAAGGCGATCTGGCAGCCGTACAGCACACGCTCAGCTTGGGGGCGGATCCCACCTCCACGTCCGGCACCGACTCTCGATCAACCTTGGAGAAAGCCATTGTTCGCGGCGATCTACCTCTGCTACAGATTCTCGGCGATTGCCCTCTCACCAAAGTCAATGTTCCCACCAGTCAACACCGTACGCCGTTCTTAGAAGCAGTGGCTCGCAATTTCACACCAGGGGTTGAATACTTTGTGCAACGTCAGGATGTCGACGTCAATGCCACAAATGTACGTGGAATCACGCCACTTATTGAAGCTACATCTCAATTTTCAATTGAGATAATCAATCTTCTGCTGTCGCGGAAAGATCTCAAAGTCAACAAACGTGCTCCTACAGGGAGAACTGCCCTGATGATAGCAGTCGAATATGGCGAAGGCGACATCGTGAAAAGGCTTTTGCAACGAGCTGATGTTGATGTCTTCGTCCGCGGAGGTAGCATGGGGCGAACGGCTGTAGAACTAGCCAGGGCAGGTAATCACCTCGAGACTGTGCTCATCTTGGAGGCGTGGGCTGCACAGAAAGGGATGGAAGGTAGCTTGAACGCTCTCTAATGCTAACGGCCTCTGTATCGGACTTCATCTACCTGATTTCAACCGACTTGTTAAATGCGCTTGCAGGGTGTGTCTTAGAATACTCTTATTTCAGTTTGGCCATAAGAGTATTGAAGAGGCGAGGTCGGAAAGGGTCATCTCTAATAGAAAGAGTCCACTATGGCTAGATCAGAACATATTCTCTAGGATGACATTGTTGCAGATCTCTCATTACAATAAGCGAGCGATTGTCTTTGCAAGCGGTTTGTGAAGATGCCTAGGGTTGCTACAAAAGGAAACCGAGGGGCTGGGGAGTATTCTCCATTTTCACGGTTCCCCGGCACCAGCTCACCGTGGAAGCTGTTGCCGTCCTACCTCTAATGACTAATAAGTTTTGACGGCACAATGATCAAGCTCACAGGTCTCGCGCTCGGGAAAAGCTTCCTACGTCTTGATAGCGGATGTTCTTGGCGATCTTGGCTTCCCCGCTCGATTCGACTGCTATCTGGAAATACACACGTCATAGGGATCACAACTTCTATACCCGGTCGTATCCATCGTGCACTGCATGTGCGCTAGGAACCCATTAGGAAGCTACAAGGTCTCAAAAGCACGTTCAAGCATGATACTGAACTAATGATGGGTGCCTGTACGGCGTACTTGTCGTAGAGTAAGCTCGTCGGCAGCATACATGCCGTGTGGCCATATAAGCCGCCTTCTCCCGTTGCAATGCAGCTACTCCAGGCTTCTGGGCTGGAAAGGCACGTTTGAGATTTCGGCATGGTTCCCTTGTCGCTCGTTGCAGCTTTGGGTGCGCTTAGCGGGGTTACCGTGCTAGCCCAGTTTCCGCCAACACCCAGCGGCGTTACGGTGCTCGAGTCGCAGATTGAAGAGGGCATCAGAATCTCTTACAAAGAGGTATTTGGAACTTTCAGTATGAAATTAAATTATATACTAAGTCGTCTGTGCAGAACAACATCTGCGAAACAACCGAAGGTATGCAATATACGTTGCTCTTCCTGCAGCGCATATCAAAACATAAGCTCACTCGTCTGCCATTATAGGCGTGAAGAGTTACTCAGGGTATGTCCATCTACCTGCTGGTGCTCTCGATGATCTTGGAGTGAGGAACCAGACGTATGAGATCAACACCTTCTTCTGGTTTTTCGAGGCACGAAAGGATCCTGAGAATGCACCTTTATCAATATGGATGAACGGCGGCCCAGGAAGTAGTTCTTTGTTGGGCTTGTTGCGAGAGAATGGGCCTTGCCACGTGAATGCGGATTCCAATTCCACATACTTGAATGAGTGGTCATGGAATAATGAGGGTGAGTTTCGACGATTTGTGTGTCTTGACGATTAATTCTTATGCGCTACAGTCAACATGCTCTACCTCGATCAGCCTGTTCAGGTTGGACTCTCATACGACAAGCTCGTGAATGTCACGGTCTCCTCGCTCACCGGCTCGGAAGGCGTGGAAATCGCCGACTTCTCAGACGGTGTACCCGAGCAAAACAACACTTTCTACGTTGGCACCTACCCTAGCCAGAACGAGAACCTTACGACTCAGGGCACAGAGAACTCCGCACGAGCCCTCTGGAATTTCGCCCAGGTGTGGTTCCAAGAATTCCCAGGCTACAAGCCTAACGACAACCGCATCTCCATCGCTACCGAGTCCTACGGTGGGCGCTATGGACCTGCATTTGCAGCATATTTCCAGGAACAGAACGAGAGGATCGAAAACGGCACCTGGGACGATGCAGGTGAGACCCACATCTTGCATCTGGACACTCTGCTTATCATCAATGGATGCATCGATCGTCTTGCCCAGTGGCCTGGGTATCCTATGATGGCGTACAACAACACTTACGGCATCAAGGCGTATAATGAGTCCCGATACGATCAAGTTATGGAAGCTTTGTACGGAGACGATGGTTGCCTTGCACAGATCGAAGAGTGTCGAAACCTCAGCCTTGCTTACGACCCGACGAACCAAGGCTATAATGCATCAGTAAATAAAGTGTGCAAAGCAGCCGAGACCTTCTGTACGGAAGAAATCCGCGACCCTTACTTTGATAGCGACGTGAACTATTACGATATCTCCGCTCCTGGAGCGGCCAGCTTCCCACCGCCGTGGTATGAGGGATTTCTGAACCAGCCCTGGGTTCAAGAGGGTTTGGGCGTGCCGCTCAATTGGACGCAATCGAACAGTGCTGTCTCAGTAGCTTTCAGAAGCATCGGAGACTACCCTCGTCCCGGTTGGAAAGAGGATCTAGCATACCTGCTTGAGGAAGGAATCAAAGTTACCTTGGTTTACGGCGATCGAGACTACGCCTGTAACTGGTACGGCGGAGAGCTACTGTCTCTGGCAATTAATTATAGCAACACCGAAAATTACCACTCGGCCGGCTACGCACCCGTACAGGTGAACGAGTCCTACATCGGTGGACAGGTTCGTCAGTACGGCAATTTGTCATTTACTCGCGTCTACGAAGCCGGCCACGAGGGACCCGCGTATCAGCCTGAGACCATCTACAGGATCTTTACTCGTGCGCTCTTCAATTTCGATATTGCCACGGGCAATATCTCTACTACCGAGAACCCAGACTACGCGACCGAAGGACCAAACAATGTCTACAACATCACGAACGAGCCAGTTCAATTACCTGGCAGCCAGTGCTACGTCCTGGACAAGGATCAGTGCACTGCGGATCAATGGGCAACCGTCGAAGAAGGCACGGCGCTGGTGAAGAACTGGATCGTCGTGGATGGAAACACTAGCTACCTATTCCCGGATCTTGTCAACGGGACGGGTAACGGGACGGGCCCTGTGGGTACGGGTACCCCCACGCCGTCGCTTGGGCCGGCTCAGCCAACTGGTAATACGGGGGGTGCAAGTGGAAGGATGGTTGCACCATCATTCGGCCTGCAATTCAGAGCTATCGGCAGTGCGTTAGTAGCAGTGGGTCTAGGCAGTGCGATAGTGATGTTGTAGTAGACCTGCAGTCGGATTCCATTCGAGACTGCTTTCCGGCGGCATAGGCACGACATCCTGGGTGAAGTGGGCCTCGGTGTTCGCTTGCCTGGGAATTACACGAGATAGCTTTCAGGCCCCACAGTAATAGAGTGGTCTCATGTATCCTCAAAACTTTTAGTGCATGTCCAATATCACGCTAAAATTTGTAGGACTATGGTACATGCAAGCTGAACGCATGCCCTAGGGCTTGGTGACGGATGGAGGATCGTCCAATCCTACGCCTAGCGCATATGCACGCATTCACTTCTTCTTCGGTGCATTTATTTCCTGGCTGCCTCAACGGTTGCGCATACATACGTCTCTTTCCTGTGCAGCGCAGCAGAGAGAAGACAAGATAGCAAGATATAGATCGCCCGAGCGGTGTCGCCTCGTTGCGGACTGACCTTTGTCAGGCTGAGATCAGCTACAGCATCCAGAAACCTGGCCTAAAACGTTCCGCTTATCCGCTCAGATGCCATTTTACAACATTTCGACTCTATACTACCAATTCCATCACGATCTTACTACAGCATCGAGTGGAAATAACCTGCTTGTAATGGCATTGTACACTATAATGGCAATCTCGGCTGCGAGTGTTGATCAGAGTGGGATGGACAACGCCGGACTTCGGTGCATTTTTTGGCTATCATGCTTTGCGCGCGCATACTACCATAAGCCTGGGTCCGCGTGGACACCGCGTACATGACACTCTCCGCGGATCACTACGTCTCCCACAGCCGTCTCTGACAGCACGTGCAAAACAGGCCAGAAAACTACTCCAGATACCTTTGGAAAGCACCACGTAAAACAGCCTTTTATCGAATTGCAGCCTGTTCACGGAAGTGGCCTAGAGATATGATGAAACACAACCGCATGGAAATGCGGTTCCCGCGCTGGTTCGCATACTTCACACACGTCTACCCTGTTCTCTCGGATGAATCAATAGAGAAAGTCAACCGGAGACACGGTATCTGAATGCAAGATAACGACAGGATGAGTCCGAAGGACCAGTGCAATGCGTCTACGTGGTCTTCACACAGTCACTTCACTTCACATTCGGCTTGATACAACCAGTCCGAGGTCTCTTCGCGTGATATGTACACCCATATGCACCTTGCCCTTGTCCCTGTTTGTTGACAACCACCCTCGCTCCTGTACGGACTCAGTATTCCTTCAAAATTTCAATGCATCCTCCTATCTTACCCGAGCTGAAGGGTCGCAGTCGTGGAAAACGCGCCTGGCTACCACGACATGGCCCTTCCTACGTTTACGTGAGACGCGGGCTGCAATCCTTTTGGAAGGGAAGATCTATGCGCTCGTCCAAAACAAGGCACTGTTGTGACAATTGGCCAGCGCTAATGCGTGGGTTGGTGTGCTCGATATTGAGGTCGTCCTGTCGTCTTTGACTTCGCAACGGATTTCTAATCGCAAGACAGTCCGCAACGATTGGTAACTGAAGTTTCAGAACGGTATAAAAACACCATATGATGGCTCTGGAAAGTACTCAGAGCCAAACTTCGGCACATGGTTTATGTTCACATCTCCAATCATGCTCCCGAAAACGCTTGAGGAAAGTTGTGACTATCCTCCCACACCTGTCAGCGCTTCTACGGCCTCCAGAAGTCCAGAGCGAGCGCCCACGCCACCGGAAGCGGTCAGTTCCAAGGATGATCACGTACAGACTGACTATTAACATGTGTACAGCACAATGCCAATGATGTTGCAATAGTCGGCATGTCCTGTCGAACTGCCGGTGGAAATAACACCCCTGAAAAGCTCTGGAAGTTTCTTATCGAACAGAAGCATGCTTCTGGTGAAGTGCCCGGGAAGCGATGGGAGCCATGGCTGCGCAGAGACCCACGAAACGCGAAGATTATTGCGAACACGACTCGCAAAGGCTACTTCATCGAAGATCTGGAGAACTTCGATGCGGCCTTCTTTGGTATCTCACCCAAAGAGGCTGAGCTCATGGACCCACATCAGAGGCTTGCTCTTGAGCTCTCGTGGGAGGCTCTTGAGAATGCCGGTATCGACCCAAAACAATTGTCCGAGTCTGATACAGCTGTATTCATGGGTGTCGACTCTGACGACTATTCGAGGCTGATTATGGAAGACCTTCCAAATGTCGAAGCATGGTCAGGGATTGGTACTGCTTACCATGGAATTCCGAATCGGATCTCATATCATCTTGACCTAATGGGACCTAGTACCGCAGGTCAGTAAGATCTCTACCCCCTGAGGGCGTCTTACTGTCGTTCAAGCTTGGCGAAGAGAGTGTGCGTACTAATCAATTCGTAGTCGACGCAGCATGTGCCTCATCGCTTATCGCGATCCACTTAGGCCATCAAGCGATTCTATCAGGCGAATCCTCAGTCGCTTTGTGCGGAGGTGTTAACGTTCTCTGTGCACCAGGGCTTACGTACATGCTCGATAAGGCCGGTGCGCTCGCGTCTGATGGTCTTTGCATCTCTTTCGACGATGATGCTCATGGCTATGCGAGAGGCGAAGGTGGCGCAATCATCGTGCTAAAGAAGTTGTCGAACGCTATCGCTGACGACGATAACATCTTGGCGGTTCTCAAAGGAACTGCCACGGCGCAAGACGGGAAGACAAATGGTATAATGGCACCGAACGCCAAAGCTCAGGAGATGGTAGCAAGACAAGCACTCTCGCGAGCAGGTGATATTGACCCTTTGACGATTGGTTATGTGGAAGCACACGCAACCTCAACCTCACTGGGAGACCCAACGGAAGTGGGTGCCATCTCGCGTGTCTACGGTGTCGGCAGAGATGGAGGACCACCTTGCGCCATCGGGTCGATCAAGCCCAACGTGGGCCATCTGGAGGCAGCTGCCGGGGCTATTGGTTTCGTCAAGGCCGTCATGGCAGTTAACCGAAGTGAATTGGCGCCACAAACACTGTTGAAGAAGCTCAACACGCGCGTAGACTGGAGCACCTCGGGTCTTAAAGTTGTTGACGAAGTTTCCAGGTGGCCCGAGATTGAGGGACCTCGTAGAGCAGCGATCTGCTCTTACGGATATGGCGGCTCTGTAGCACACGCTATTATTGAGCAAGCTCCAACTTTCTACACACATACCCGCGAGATCGCCAAGAAAAGCTTGGGGCAAATCGATGAGCAGTTGGTGACACTGGTGCTATCTTCTTTCCAGGAGAAACGGCTTGCGAACCAAGCTTCTCAGCTTGCAGACTGGCTAGCCGGCGACGGAGCGAAAGCAAGCTTGAGGGCTGTCGCTAATACGCTTGCGCAACGTCGAGCTGCACAAGACTACCGCGTCGCTTTCCTGGCCAGTACCCATCTTGAGGCTGTGCAAGCCCTTCGAGAGTTTGCGGCTGGCTCAGTCAGTCAGTGGTCAACCAGCAGTCGGATTTTAGGAAATGGAACTAAGAAAGACGTCGTCTGGGTCTTTTCTGGACATGGAGCGCAGTGGCCTGACATGGGGAAAGAACTTCTGAATGAGACTGTCTTCTACAGGACGATTGAGAACCTAGAGGCGCTGGTCGATCGAGAAGCAGGTTTCTCCGCGTTATCTGCATTTCACACGGGTGAACTCGGTTCCGCCAGCAAGATCCAGGTGATGACATATCTCATGCAGATTGGGTTGGCAGAACTACTTCGGAGTCAGGGCATAGAGCCTCAGGCCATCATCGGTCACTCGGTGGGCGAGATTGCAGCCTCCGTTGTCGCGGGATGCTTGACACCGGAAGAGGGTGCGATACTGGTCTCACGGAGATCCCGCTTGTACGCACAAGTCGAAGGCCACGGCGGGATGGCTTTGGTCAACTTACCCTTCACGCAAGCCATGGAAGAACTCAGAGGCAAAGATAACATTGTCGCCGCAATCGATTCTTCTCCTTCGTCATGCGTGATTAGCGGCGAGGTTGCAGAGCTGGAACACTACATGGATGAATTGGTCCGAAGGAGCATCAAGACGTTCCGAGTCAATACCGATGTTGCCTTCCATTCTCCCATGCTTGAGAAATTGGCCAAGCCCCTGAAAGCTGCCATGGAACATTCGATCTTCCCTCGTCCTGCGACCATCCCAATTTACTCCACCTCGAGCATCGATCCACGCACCGAGGCTGTCCGCGACATCGAATATTGGCTGCAGAACATGATTGAGCCAGTCAGGCTCAATGATGCTGTATGTGCAGCGGCTGATGATGGTTACAGGATCTTCTTAGAGATATCTGCTCATCCTATTGTTACGCATTCAATCAGCGAAAGTCTGGTGACACAAGGATTGGATGAGTCGGCCACATTTGGAGTCATGAAGCGCAACGTCTCATCCAAAAGAACCTTGGCACATGCTATGGCCCAGTTATACACAGCTGGCGCATCCGTGGATTTTGAGACCCAATTTGGATCGACCCATTGGGCGCCAGACGTACCGGGTACGCCGTGGGTACAGAAACCTTATTGGAAAGAGGTCGAAACCGGATCTCCAGGTGCTCTACAGCAGCACGACACTGACAAGCACACGCTTCTGGGCCATTATACTGATGTTGCCGGGGCAGGAACGCGAGTCTTTGCAACAATTCTCGACGAAAGGACAAAGCCTTATCCTCTCACGCATCCACTTGATAATACGGAGATCATCCCTGCCGCTGTCTACTGCAACACATTCCATCACGCAACAGACGCCACAATCTTGAACGACTTACAACTGCGTGTTCCTACTCCTATGACCGCAGACCTGCGTGAAGTTCAAGTTGTCGCCCAGGGCAATTCGCTACATCTTTACTCACGCTTGAAATCTTTAGAAGAGACTACTGATGACTCGAGCCATCCCTGGCTGGATCACAGCTCCTGCAAGTGGATTCAAGACGATGTGACGATTTATCACAAAACGTATGATATCGATTCCATCAAAGCACGCATAGGGACTGTACTTCCTAATGGGTTCGCCTGGGAATTCTTGCAGAAGATAGGAGTCTCAGGGATAGCATTTCCATGGGCCGTCATCGAGCACTATGGAAACGACAAGGAGATGATTGTCAAGATGGACATGGATCCTGAACAAGATACACTGACTTGGGATCCCACCTCTTGGGCTCCATTCCTAGACGCTGCCACATCCGTTGGGTCCTCGATTTTCTTCAACAGCCCGAAGATGCGCATTGTCTCTGGTATCGACCAAGTCCAGTTCATATCAAAGGAGCCGCCGCCAAAGGTCGGGTACCTGTATATTGAAGAAGCCAACGATCTGAAGAGCTTGGCTGCAGATATCAGTGTCTTGAACGAGCAAGGCGAACTCCTGGCGAAATTGAAGGCGATGCGTTTCTCGGATGTTGAGGCAGCTTCAGATCGGACTACAGGTGTCGATGCGCTGGTGCACCAGCTCGCATGGGTGCCACCTGTGTTTTCGGAGAGTCCCCTGTCCATCAACCACGTTTTGCTTGTATGCGATGACGAAGAGTTGTCTCAAGCCTACGCAGATGATCTTCAGCAAGTTGTCGCGAATCCACTGCTTCACATAGCTTCAGTCGATGACCTGAGCGATACAGGGGTGTCGCACCTATTGAGCAAAAACGGCGTCATCGTAGTCTACGCCCCCGGTAATGTCCGATCATGGGATGTGATCGGTGATCGAGCGCACAAGTTCACTTGGGAGGCAACTCGTCTCTTGCAGCACCTCTCTACTCTGCCTACTACCCCAAAACTGTTCATTGTCACGAACAGCGTCTATCAAGCCTCGACACCCACAGCGCTCACGCAAGGACCGCTATATGGCTTCGCACGAATAGCGGCACAAGAACATCCTGAGCTATGGGGTGGACTATTGGACAGTGAGGGAACGAGTTTTCCTACACTGGCTCTCAAGTATGTCCAAGATCAGGACGTAGTCCGTGTTCAGGATGGACTGCCTCGAATAGCCAGAATGAGGCCCTTCACCAAGGCCCAGCGACATCAGTCTGACTATCAGCGTACGTTGCTACCCAAGCCGCAAGGCACGTATGTCGTAACTGGTGGCTTCGGCGATCTCGGTCTGGAGGTCCTAGACTTCCTCGTCGAGAAAGGCGCACGTCGCATCGTGGTGGTGTCGCGTAGCAGCCTTCCACCTCGGCGTGAGTGGGCAAGGGTGGATGGCCGAGTGAAAGTCATCACGGACAAGATTCAGCACTTAGAGAGCAAGAGCGCAAGCATATACGGTATTTCATTGGATATCAGCATACCAGATGCAGACGCCCAGCTACTTGCAGCACTTGATCGCCTCCATCTCCCGCCTGTGCTTGGTGTAATACACGCGGCTGGCGTGAACGAGGATGGTCTAATCAAAGACACAACATCCGAGTCTTTCTCCCGAGTCTTTGCTCCCAAGGTTGCCGGTGCACTCACGCTGCACAAGCTGTTCCCGCCTGCCACTCTCGACTTTTTCGTCCTGTTTTCTTCCATCGGCCAGCTTGTTGGTACCTCGGGCCAGGCACCCTACGGCGCGGCGAATGCTTTCCTCGACGTACTCGCCACGAACCGCAGGAAGCAGGGCGACAACGCCATCGCTATGCAGTGGACAGCCTGGCGAGGGATGGGGCTGGCGGCAGACTCCGAGTTCCTGACGGTGGAGCTGAGCAGCAAAGGCATCACCGACATTACTCGTGATGAAGGGTTTCAGGCGTGGCAGCACTTGGACAAGCACGACACTGACCACGCGGTCGTGACGCGTGCGAGGATCCTTGACGCGGAAGAACCGGTTCCATTCCCGCTCGTGACGGAGATCGCGCCCCGGCGTCCTCGTCCTGCCATGTCCACTTCGGATGGTGTGACTGCGAGCGATGGCAAAACGGCGCACCCAACCTCAGGACCCGAATTTAAAGCTTGGCTTAGCACGAAGATCCGTGAGTGCATTGGCGCAGTGCTGCACATGGACGTGGAGGACATTGATGTCCGAGCTGCGATTGCAGATCTAGGGGTCGATAGTGTCATGACTGTTTCGCTGAGGCAGAAGTTGTTGAGTGTCTTGGGCATCAAAGTGCCTCCTACCTTATTGTGGAAGGAGCCGACGGTAGGTCATCTGGTTGAATGGTTCAAGGGAAAGATGGAGGTGAGCGGGTAGGGAAAGTGGTGGAGGAGGCACGAGGTGAGATAGATCTTGATTCTGCCTTACACATTTCATAGACGGCGTGTTCAATGCCATGCTTGTGCCGTAGAAATACTAGGCGACTACTCCTATGACGGCGTAGACAGTACACCAATCAGCCTATCCAATACACCAGGTAAGCTCGCCTGGTGTCTGTTAATTTCTATCGATGTTAGAGCCAGAGCCATAGTCACACTTACGGCCTTAGCCCACTCCTTAAATTCAATCCGATCAAGACTTTCTTTACCCGCCAAGACCTTCTCCGCTTCCACACCCTTGTCATCTCTCATTGAATTACAAATATTGGCTAGAGGTCTCAACGCGCTGATCGAAATGCGGAGAGAATCTCTTGAAGGTAGAGCAGATGATGGTGGTAGAAGACGCTCGGCTAACGGCTCCAGTTCTGTGATGGTCCTGCGTTGCTGGACCGTAAAGGACTTTGGGTGCGGGTAGCGAATGCGGCATAGCACATCAAGCACGTCTTCTTTCGTCGGAACTCCGGTGCATGGAACGGGATGCGCGAGAGCTGAAAAGACGAACTCCATTCTCGCAGTTTTTGAGCGCGCTCTTATGGTGGGCTCTTGACTAAATGATGCTTCTTGTGAGAACATGTAATCACTGCCCTTTGTGATCAAGCCGACGGAGCGGACAAGGGCATCTTTGGTCAGTGGCACTTCTTTTGCGAACGGGAAGCATGCGTGCGAATGCAACAGCAGAGATATTGTTGGGGATGCGGCCTCCAGCTCATTGGCGAGAGATGTATGACTTTTGATGAGTAGGGCTTGCACACCTTCAATGGCGACTTCACCTGTAGCATTAGTGAGTGTCTTTTCCAGTACGCCCTCCAGGGCTTCGAGTCTTTCCGGCCTAAACGCAGCTGACTGTCCATCGTCGGTGCCAGACTTGATGAGATTGGTTAATAGACCATGTACGTCGTCTGCGAAATTTTTAATGCCCAACAACCATATCTAAGTGCATTCTGTCATACCTACTGTTGCCGAATCACTCCATTCCTTGAAAGATTGACTTTTAGGAGAGCGAGAGAGTCCTAAGCGAGATGCTAGTCGGTCCATTTCAAGGGAGAGGCGAATGTTATCCCAGCACGCCCTGGGAGTCGGTGGGTGTAGGGTTGTTAATGAGTAGCCCTCCGATCTTCTCAGGGCTGGCCGTAAGAAGGGTGGCTGTGCGGCGCAATCGTGCTGGTGTCGGCGAACAACTGTCGCATGTTCCTGATGCCAATCTCCGGCTATCGTGCGTGTCTAGCGCGTGTAGTAAGTTAGTCCGTCCCCGATCTGCCAGCCTCCCACGTGGATCCCTGTTGCCGTGCATGAGTGGGCCAATCATGTTGAGCAAGGGCGAGGCGAGGCGAGGCCCTAGTTTTCACCAGCCCACCCCTCCGGCTCTCACACCTGCAGCTGCTGAACGCTTTCTAAATTAAGTCTGTATATGTCGCCAAGCTCATATTTGTGGCAGAGCCTCTCCCAATGTCCGATGAAACGAAACGAGAGCATTCAGTCGGCCTTGCGTCACGAGTTCGACCTCGGGGTGCGTACGAGTTCGGCATCAAGGAGTCTACACTGACGGCAAGCGATATCTATTGCAACTGAGGTTCATGGCATGCAATCAATTAGTTCGCAGGACACGATGTTCATGGTAAAATGGCCGCCGGCCTCACTGTGGTAGCTGTTTCCTTCGCATTGTTACTGCCCTCACAAGGACACCACAGAAGTGTTAGCTCCAACCTAACCTATACAAGTGACGGACATTACTCCACCCAGGGTAGGCACCCTATGAGGCTTTGGGTCCGGTTCAGGCTGGCCACTTCATGGTCCCGACTGGCTGTGCAACAATGATAAACGCTCTTTTCCGCTCGCAGGCTCTCTCCAACCAGATTCAAGGAGCAATTGCTCTATTCCATTCGTTTTACTTTCAAACATTCATTCATTACCATAGTCACTCCTTTGTACAGTCACTTCTTTCTACGCTCAGTCCTTGCAGACATCTGTATCACCCCACTCTTTCGACTTCTCTTTTTCTCCGACTGGTCGACGAAGATGAAGGGCGCACAATTTGCCGTGATATTGGTGGGAATTTTGTTCACCCTGGGAGGAGCATTCAGCTTCTTCCCGCATTTTGGGTAAGATTGTAGCATGCGATATCGACAACGTCCTACTAATCGCTTCCCAGTCATCGTAGCAATGACATGATGCAAGTTGACAGCAGTGCTGTCTCAACCTTCGAAGGCGTCGAAGGCGTCGGTCTGCAACATCTCGAGGCTCGCAGGAGCAGAGGTTCTCGCACCTCCCGGAAGAGGCCCGCAAGGCCTGCGAGGAAGCGACCGGCAAAAAAGAAGACGACCAAAAAGAAGAAAACACCCAAAAAGACCACAAAGAAGAAGGGTACTAAGAAGCCCACGAAGACTAAGAAATGCACTGCTGCAATGAAGAAAGCGGGCAAATGTAAGACTACTGCCAAGTGCACCGCTGCTATGAAGAAAGCTGGAAAGTGCAAGACGGCCACCAAATGCACTGCGGCGATGAAGAAGGCTGGAAAGTGTCCCGCTACACCAACCAAATCCCACGCTCCAACTAGTACGTCCGCAGCAGCATGTAAATTCAGTCCGAAGCCCAAAGCCGGTACCGCAGGCGCCAAAGGCGGCAAAGTCAACAAAAAGCTGCAAGCCCGCATCGACCCCGACCCGTGTCGCCCCGCCGACGAAAACGATAAGATCATGATCGAGAACTTCAAGATTGCCCAAAGAGCAGCAAGGAAGAAGGGAGAAACACTCAAGGACAAACGAATGTACCTCTTCCTCGTGAAGCAAGGGCCGACGGTTGGAGCCAAGCACCACGCCGTCGTTGTCGGTAAAGTCATGAAGGTCGGCAACCAGCTCGGCATGGAGGCGACTATGCAGCAGCTTGGGAAACCTACAGACCAGAACGGCAATGCAGTGAGACATCCCAACGCGAAGGTCTTCTGTGGCTCTGCTGTGGGTGGCGTGTGCAATACCGGCCCGTACCGTAGGATTGAGTGCGGCAGGATGCAGGGCAAATACAAGTTCGTCAGCGGTGCAGCCGTCGAGTTCGCCGACCCAGAGCACTTCATCCAAAAAGGTAAGTCGTCATTTTCACTCTCACACACTCGTATAGAGCTAACCGTTCCTCAGGCGAGGAAGTCTTCATGGCCGAGAAACCGTACAACGTCCTGACATGGAACTGCCAAATCTACGCAAAGAAGCTGATCAACGTCACCAAGCTCCAGCCTGGGCAGATTGTCGAGCTTACAAACGAGCAGGCTAAACCGAGTCGACCGCAGGGCACCTGGTCTGACTCTGACTCTGACTGGGATTCGGATGACGGCATGTGGAATGGGGGTATGGGAGGTTTCCGCGTAATCAATGCGGATCCGGAGCCATTTGATCCAAACACGAACAATGGGGACAGGTTCGAGATAGATTAAAGTGGACTCAAGTATACGTGTAAGGTATTGAGGAGAGCACTCTATTTTCTAGTGCCGCTAGTATAGTGACCAGTGGAGATTAAGAAATTCCAACCCAATTTGAATAATCATGATACACGACGAGCTCATGGCAAAACCACCATCAGGTTCGCGAAAGAGCTATTGGGATGGCGTAAGCTGAAAAATAGGTTCATTAAATTTATCGAGTGAAAAAGTGAATCGCCGGATACTATCTTGAAGTTGGAAGATCACTGTGACGGCTATACCTATTGCTATGCCTTCATGTTCTTGTGATCTCATACACCGTTACTATACAGAACTCGCCAAGCACATGACCAGGTACGTCACGAAGAGAGAAATCTGTAAGCTGTTAAAATGTCTTGCAGTGCTTTCAGAGATACAATTATATACCTCACAAATCTCTAGCAGTCCGTCATGCAAGCCCAATGGAAGGCTACAGATTGCTTCTTGTGTTCGACGTCGTACGCCGAGGTGTTTGGGGGGAAGACTTTAGCCAGAGGCGGGAGCTGAGAGCCGACCGAGAAGTTGCGCGAGTCGGAGCGGAAGAATGTGGAAGAGAAAGATCGTAGAGTGGGTGGGATTTTTATAAAGCCACGACGCAGAAGCTGTTCGCGCTACGCATGGCAGGTGCGCAGCGAGCGGCATCAAAAAGTGATGGCATTAGTCATGGTCAGAGCAAAGGCCCTTGGATTAGATTGATTGATAGCTGACGAGAAGTCAGATTATTCCAAGGATGGCCCTTTCGGCCATGAGTTCTAGGACAGTCTAGATCTATACAAATCAACTGGTAGTTGAAAATTTGGACATACTGTTGCCGTAATGAAACGTAAATTTCTCTCAACTGGAGAGGCCACAAAGAAGAATGGTGTGTTTGCCTGTTTGAAACGTTCATTTTTGAATCCCGTCACGTTCCTGTATTGCGTTTACCGCAGCTTGCAAAAGCACGGGGAGCCCTGCAACCAAAGAGATGTATGTGGCTTAAAACTCAAACTGAACCTGGGATTTGCTATCCATGTTGTGATCAAGCCATGACCGATCAACAGCTATCCACTTCCACGTACTTAGAAGCACCGCATCATCATGATCATCTACCGACCGATGACGCCTCATCTTCCAAAACAAGGAGGTTTCAGTGGTCTACTCTAATCCTCCTCTTGGAAGCGGATGTCGTTCCGTTACTGAAGCGCGACAGCGCAAAGTCAGCGAGCGCGGGGTCCTTCTCGCCTGTCAAAACCATTTCGCTGATCAACTTGCCGACAAGCGCGCCGTTGGATACACCGCTGTGCATAGTGGCCACCGTCAAGCCATGGACACCTGTTTCGCCTAGAATGGGGAGACCATCTTCTGGTGTAGGTCGGTACCCAATGGTATAGTAGTCATACTTGATCTCATCACCTCCTTTGAAGGCTGCCTGTAATTTGACAAACAGATCATCAGCTACCGCTTGCGGATTATCGGTTGGGTCGGAGCCTCCAAAGTCGGATCCAGTACGGATGCGTCCGTCTGCGGTTTGGCGGAGATGTAGGTCGTGTGAGTAGACGACGCCGTTGAGTAGTTTCCTCTCGGTAGGGACGGTGTTGATGAGAAGACCCGCCTTGGGTGTCAACGCTTTGGATAATTAGTAGGTAGCTTTGATGTCGTTGTGCTGATCCACTTACGCAGGTCCACGCCCACTGCAGCAAGTAAAGGCACACTTCCCAATCCACCGGCCAACACGACATGATCGGCATAGACTTCCTCTCCGCCATCAATCACAACTCCCACAATCTTTCCATCTTTTTTTAAGAAAGAAGTCACGTTCGTTTTGAGCAATCCTGCGCCGTTTGTTTGCGCGTCGTCAATAAGCTTCTCAGCAACGATATGCGCTTCCATCTGTCCCTCTTCTGTATACCTCAATGCCCAATCCGTCTTCAAGAAGCTCTCTTCAAACTCTGACTCGTATGTCGGAATCTCTGTCTTGTTGACAGTGATAACATCGTAGCCCCACTTCATCAGTCTCTCGCCATACTCTGCCCTCTCCGTCTCGTTGGCAATGTCCCAATTCAACGATGCGCCCCAGTGAATGTACTTTGACAGTTCCGGAACAGCTTCCTCGATCTCGTGCCAGTGGGCCATGGATCGGTGTCGGAAATTGTAGTAAAATCGCTTGTCGGTCGAGCCAGCATTGACCCAAGCGAAAGAATTTGGTGTGGCGACGCCTCCAATCTGTTCTGCGATTATGGTGGTGTTTGTGGTTGGTGATTTGGAGAGGTGCCAGGCGATTGAGGAGCCGACTATGCCGCCGCCAATGACAATGACATTCTGGGGTGCTTCGAAGTAGCTCATCTTCACCTGAGTGTCTGGCGAAGACTGTAAAAGATGCTGCTGGAAGACGTGTGTCGCGGGATGCATCTTGCTCTCGAGGTGATGAACGTCACGTTATATAGCATGCACTGAACAACTTTGTCTGCTCGAATAAGAATAAAAGATGCCTAGGAAGGCCAACACGACGGTAACTCCGGGAAAACGAAGCCGAAGTGTAGGTCGCAGCAAGCCTTGGAGATAAGATGCTTGGTTGCAGTGGAGAAGCAGGGTACGTATGATGGCTCTCGTTCGTTCGAGTGTCAATAGACAAGCAAACTCCACGGAATGCATGCCGTGATAGTCGTTGCCAAGGCTATCGATGGTCTACCTTCCAGTTGTAGTGCGCGATCAGCATACCAGTCACATCTCCCAAGAGTGGGGAGCTTGCTGCCCCGCGTTTAGTGGCTTGGATCGGAGAATTGCGCAATTGCCGTGGTCGGCATCGCGTATACGCGCTGATCCTCCAGTGGCCGGGTTTCATATGAGCAGTGTTCGATCTCTGCGTCCTGCAAACGAAACCTCATTCGGTCCTTGAACATGTTGAACACCGCCTTGCATCGTCACTTCTGTGAGGCTATCATGTATCCGTTATCTATTATGCTCACCTTCTGGCACAATCCACACAATATTTTCATCAGCTGAGCAATATAGCTTCCGAACCATGTAAGTCGTGAACAACGGTGACAGCAAATTGGGCGAACATGATAAATCCATAAAAAGCCATGACCCAAGGAAAGTAGTTGGGTACCATATTCCATTACCGTTCAAGGATCTCAGCTAGAGTCGGAATTATTGACGAGGCAAGTGAAGAAATGGCAGGCGGAACGAGAGGTCCCGCAAAGTGACGGCTAGAAGGGCGCGATATATCGAGGAAGGCACGACTTGACGCGGACACTAACAAGTCTTGGGGGTCGATGTTAGTGGCTTCTTATTTTAAAGCCCTTTGTCCTACTCCAGCGATGACACCGCATGCGACCACAAGAGCGTGACCAAGACGACTTCTCATATCATCTCTCCTCTCAACTACCTATACGAGATGGCGTCACGACACTTGAATTGACGACGCGCCGAAATTTTACATTACCTGTGGAAGGTGGATCAGCCGACCCGCAGCACACGACATAGCAATATCAGCGGGCCGGCGCTATCGGAAGACACGATGCGGACCGAGCTGTTGATCAACGATCCTAAGTGCGAAAGCATAGAGCTCGTACCTGACGAATACAAGCCGAAGGACGCGAGAGATCCGCAGCCAGAACGGAAGGTCGGCGACAAAGACGAAGTCAAAATTTATCCTTGGGATTGCGGCACTCCACGGGTCCTGTTGGAATCAGAGAAGCTGGTTCCGAAGCCATACAGGCCACGCGATAGCGATAGCGTACAGTTTGTGAGGGCCTTTGACGGAGACTGTTCGAGCGAATCGACTTTGGCGTCACAAGAGAAGTCCGAGGACATTGAATCTGTGATGCGGGCGTTCAAGCGGTGTCGCGACAATCCGAATCTGGAAGTAGGCATAGTGACGCAAAAGCATGGGGAGGGACGATGAGAAATATGTGATCTGTGCGTTCGGAGCGCCGGGGGTCCAAGGTCAAAAGGATCGAGTGGTATTGAAAGTTGGGGTAGAGAGAAAGCGAAACATCAATTGGGCGGAATTGTTTTCATTCCTGTGTCAGCTTGATCTTCTATCGTAATAGACCTAGCCGTCCCATGCAATCATTCACCAGCTCCATGACCCGAATGAACCTATGCAGTGAACTCCGTTGCCTTCATTTCATTCTCCCATCTCTTCGACTCCTCTATGCCGAAGCAGTGGCAGCGCGGGCCTTGGCACCCCTGACCTTGGCGGGCTTGCTATCCTTGACGGGCTTCTGCGACTTGCGGATAGCGGAGGCGCGGGCGACGGCGTCCTTGCGGAGATCGGTGCGGTAGTTGCGGTTGGCGGTCGACTTGACGATGGCGGAGTAGGTCTTGCGGGTGCTTCGGCTGGAGCCGATGGCAGACTGCTGGATGTGCGAGGCGGGCTGGTGGCCCTTGCCGGCCTTCTTGGTCAGGAGGACAATGCCACCCTCCTCACCGGGCTGGACACCAATGGCCTAGAGTCTGTGTTAATCTCGATTTCAGTTGTGCGGCGCCCATTCGACTGGGTGTGCGATCGCGGCGGGATTTGGAAGCGTACCCTGTCGTCTACGAGACCCTCATACTGCGCAAAATTAGCCAATGTTCATGTCTCTGCATGCATGGAAACGCACCTTGCGCTGGAACGAGTTCTTCAAGTTGAGGGGGTCGCGCGAGAACGAGACGCCGCCAGTCTGCGCCCTCTTCACAAGGGTAGAGCTACCCTGCTGCTTGACGACTTCCCAGATCAGGTCGGAAGAAAGAGAGGCCATTGCTGCGGTTGTGTGTGTCGATTGTCTCGGTCGGCGTCGATGTCGATTTGGTGTGGTCGAAATTCACCGCTCGTCTATGCCCCCGTTTCCGGGAAGGTGCAATCGGTGCCGGAAGAACGCGGTGTCCGCGCGCACGGCCCCCCCGCTGATGCTGACGACGGCCTCAGCCACGACTTGGGGCTTGATGCGCTGCTTGTCCGTGTCCATCTCCAGCTCCGCGAGTCCCCCACCTCTCTTTGAAGGTGAAAGAACAATACACATGCAGTTGCTGTAGCAGCTCTGCACCCACACTACAGTCCTTCCTCTCTTTGTTTTCTTTCTTCTCCTCTCTGCCGCCAGCACGCTCGACGCTAACTCCGGGCTTCCGATTGACCCGAGCTGTCGCTTCCAAACCTGACGCGCCGACCTTAATCATGGGCTACGTCCTCTACTCTCTCACCTTTTTCGTGCTTGTCACTGCAACCGGTATGTCTTCTCTAGCCCGGACCAGGCATCTCTGACAGTCTTCAGTCGCGTACTTCACCAGACACCACTGGCTGCACCGCATACCCATCCCCGAACCCCTCTACACGCGCCTTCCCACCTCCTTCCGCGATGATATAGAAGCCGGGCTTTCATCCTCGGCTTTCGATTTGAACACGAATCTGGAGGCCGGCGATTCGCGACAAGGATTGGACGATGCGGGGAAGCGTGAGGTACAGAGGATCATGAAGAGGAGAGGAGTCGACTTTGATGAGGCGCGGCGGTTGTACATGCAAGACCGCTTCAAGAAGAACAACATCGGGCCGGACGGATTGCCGCGCGACCCGAAGTTCGTAAGCTTTTCTTAAGTGGGTGGAGAGGGTTCAACCAACAACCAGCGGCGTGGATGACCTTCACACTTTGATACCGCGGATTTTGTTGTGGTCACATTGTTGCAAGCAAGCGCTTTTTTTGGCTTTTGGAGTTCGGTCTGTGGTCGATTTGGAAGCGGGTGTTCTGGGTTTGGATTTACATGGTTTGGATTGTGGAAGAGGAGGTACTCTCACCTTGCGGCTTTTTCGTTTTGTCCCTTTACTGATCCACATTTCCTATGTCAACTTCTCTCTTCTGACGTTTCTTCCAGACTATACCAATCTCCTATCCGCTCATGGTTATACTTCAGGTTCCATCAATGGCCCATTATTGATTGTTCGTTCTACTCATACTTGGAGCGGGAAACTGTTCGCACTCTTCAAATAGTGTCCGTGATCATTTCATTATTCATCGTGACATGTCGTACACGCTCCTAGCTAATCCGTACAATTACTCTGCATGAAGGAGCGTTCTTGCACACAGAGGGACTAGAACCAAGCATGCTCATCTGGACGTTCAAACATGCTCTTTCCACTCCGTCTCACCTGCATCCACCAAACTCGCCTTCCTCCTCTTCTCCCTCCCCACCTCTCTGCTCTTGTCCAAGCTCTGCGCGAACTTGCTCTTCGCCCGAATCTCTGGTCCTTTCCAATACACAATGTAGATCGGAATCGTCACCAAGAACGCCAGACACGCGAGAATAGTAGATGCATACTCGAGCGGACGCCCAGGGATATTCTCGTACATCGGCGCCGAGTAAAGGGCTGCGATACCAGCAAGGAAGTCACGGGCGAGGTCGTTACCGCCTGTTGCGGAGGCGGCGTAGACGCCGTAGGCAGCAGTTTGGTAGTCAATCGAGGATTGGTATATGGCGTACTATCGCGTCGTCAGCTTCTTGCCTACACTGGATACGAGATGCTACTTACATTTGCAATCGCAATGAAGGTGGAAAAGATCATGGGGGCTATCCACGGAATGCCATAATCGGGACCCAACGATGTCCATGCGAACCCGAAGAGTCCGATGGTCTCGAGCGGTGCGAGGAAGAGGAGCCACCAGAGACGGACTTCGGGCTCGAGTGGGATGCCTATACGACGCTTGCCGCGGAAGTGATGGATCGATGGAAGATAAGAGAAGTACGAGAGGAAGTATCCTATCAGGATGGGTATGAATGCCAAACTGATACCGATGGTGCCGAAACCCCACTGCTCGTAGACAGGCTGGAAGGACTGTAGGAAAGTGAAGATGAGGGCATCCGAGAAACCACTCAGAAGGCTCAGCCACAGGACGATCGGTTCTGTGAAAAACATGTAGAAGGGCCTGCTCGGATCAGCCAGGTGCTACTCCGGTCCGTGCAGTATACTAACCTGCCAGTGATGGTGCCAAACTCCTTCAGAGTGAGTCGGCGCTCGCGGATCTCATTAGGACCATACACATTTGGGTCTTCGCCAGTCTTCCTCCTCCGCTTCGCCTCGCGGTCAAGCAAGATCGTTGACCGCGTCTCAGGGTTGCATACAGCGTGGACGAACTGTGTGGCGCCACCAACGATTAACTGGACCCAGAAAATCCATGGGAGGGAGCAGTATTCTTCCACAAAACCACCGACAATGGCGCCAACGACGGATCCGCCTACGGAAGACAGCACAAGGAATGCAACAGCATACTCCTGGGAATGAAAATGTCAGCCTTTCCGTAAGTCAATAGGGCGACAGATACATACCTGCTCATCCGGCTCCCACATATCCGCAAGCACACCCAGAGTGACCGACCCTCCAGCCGTCGACAACCCACCCAATGTCCGACAAACGATATACGTTGCAAAGTTCTTCGACAGGGCACACGGGATCTGCCAAATATTCACCAAGAACAAACTGAGCTGCTGAATCGGCCAGCGGCCATATTCCTCGCTCCACGGCGCCCACAGTTCGCAGCCAAACGCATACGCCACAAGGAAAGCCATCTGGGGAATCCGCGCCACCTGCTTGGAGATTCCGTGCTCCTCGGCGATGCGACCGACGCCGTTGGCATACAGCGACGCGTTCATGTTCATGGAGATTTGGATACAGAAGACGACGCCTAGGATTTGCCACTTGCGCCATGTTGGGAATGAGTAGCCGAGCTTGTCCCAGGCATCGGTGTCGGTGAGTTCGATTTTGGAGTCGGAGGTGACGATGCGGTCGGTGTTGGAGGACTTTTCTTGGTCCATCTCGGACGCACCCTCTTTGGTAGTGGGATCACGGTGGGTCTCGGGGACGGACTCCATGATGGATGGGCTATGCGAGCTGGGAGAAGGTTGATCTCGTATAGGCAAAAGGTGCATTCAAAGTATGTACAAGTTGCGGGGTCAGGAAGGGACGACGCTCCCTCCGCTCGTAAGCTCGAGCCTGACAAAAGTTTCAACGGAGACACGAGGTGTGTACCAGCGGACTCGCCGCGAGCAAACAGCACACGGTATATACCCTCCAGAGACTCAACTCACCCGTGCCAGAACCCCCTCCGCATCAGGCACTTTCTACCCCTGCCTCACTGACATCAACTCTCCCCAGCCTTTGTCCCTCACCCATTACCGCACCAATCTCCCCGCATCCTTTCCCACCCCCAACCCGCCAAGCCGCACAAGGCGTCCTGGCGTTTTCATGGCGCCCGCGCAAGGTAGCTTGTTCCGCTGCGCATCGGACGATGCACGGCTACTCGGCGCGGCGCGTGAACGTGTGTGGTGAGCGGCCAAGCCAGAGGATCGCGTATTGCGTCATAGCGAAGATCCGGGGCGCGGGCTGCGATTGTCGCACAACAATTTCTGGATTTATCGCTGTCGCGTGGGAATGAAGTGTGATGTCATGTTTCACACATATCTGATGCTGGGTGTTTCCCCGGACTTGTAGTGGATGGTCGTGGGAATGTACCAGTAAGGTTGCGTAGCGTAGGTGACCCGCATTTGCATACGCTAGGCCTCGACAAGGCTTCGATTGCTCTAAGCGATCGCGAAGACCTTTGTGGATGCTTGGGAGGTTGACTGAACGCTTGTGTAGAAGGTAGTCTCACGCTATAATCTCAAGCTTTGGGATCAAGCTTGCGTGGCACGCTGCGGTAGTACAGAAAGTCATCCTGTGGCAGTCTATCCGAGGCCATCTATGGCAGACGCCAGATGCCTGAACGTTTGCATCGCAGTTAATCACAGTTTCTCGTTTCGGTCATCCATCTTGATGTATGCATCCGTAAATTAGGCATCAGAATGCCGCATAAGGGTATTGAACTTCCTTCAGTGACACGACCTAGATAGACCATAGCCAGCATCTTTCTTTGGATACCTCGCAACTTCTGAGCAGGCATTGTCGTAACTCCCGCCTCCCACTATGTTCCCACCCACATGTCAAAGTATCGTTGTCCAACTAGAGCTATCGCGGAACACCTACCAACACCGCCGTAACGTCATCCACACATTGGTGGAAAGCTCCGCCAGTATCTGGACAAGCGAGGTACGCCGTTGTCCTATCCCTGATCTGCTCTTCATTACACCACTCCTCCAAGGGCACATCGTCCAGGTTAGGCACATTGAACCTGAAATACTTCATCCAGCCGGCGTTTATCAGCTCTGCGTTGTCCCTCTGGAATTCGAAGCACTGTCGCTCCGCATCAGCGGTCCGTCTAAGAACACTCTTCATCATCTCTCCGTTCTCTCGCTCTGAGTCCACTCCGGAGCCAGTGCCTATAGAAATTATGATCACCTTATCGTTGCTATATCTGAGGAGCTTGCGACATTCGTAGTTGGCTTCGCGAGTAGGGTTGTCCTTTGTTGTACCGTAGTCCATTTGTCCTGGTTCAATGACAGAGCGGGAGACCCTCCCATCCTGTGGAGCGGTGTAACGTGGAGCCAGTACAGCAGCTTTCATTGCCTGCCAAATGAGGACATCATCACTTAGGTTAGGTCCAGCAATTCGTCGGGTAGGATATGTACGAAGTACTGCAGCCTTATTGGAACCGATTTTAACCTGAGTGGTAATGGTGAAGCTATGTTTGATAAGCTGGCTGCCTATGAAGTCAGTGGTACTACTTACGCATCGGCAGACTCCTCCCGGTCATCGTAAAGACGCGCGTCTACCTGTGCAAGCTCTCCAGCAATGACTGCCTTGATGGCGTTCTCCACCCCTTCCGCGTGATACTGAAGGGGCGTTGCGTGAGGGTCGAGCGAAACAAAATAAGCCTTTTTATCCTGAAAGACTTCTTTTGCGACGAGCTTGTAAGCTTCCCTGGCTGAGTGTGCTTGCATTCTCAATCGGCTGAGCATCAATCCTAATACACCACCCAAGGATGTACCACCGACTAGATCAAAGATTTGGTAGGGATCAATGTTTTGATCAAGCTTTGTGCATATCGCACCGACGAACGCTTCCACTAAAAATGCTTGCGATAAACCGCGAATGCCGTCGCCGTCCAACGAAAGGATGATTTTGAAGTCTCGACGCCTGCGCGGTAAAAGGGATGGAGGCTGAGGAGTTTGGACAGAAGGAGCCGCACCCGATTCCTGATAGATGTCATGATAGTCGCCTAAGGGGGACGAAGTACGCGAAGGGGTCCGAGATGCCGTATGGGGGCCAAGAGTGATAGGTGCTGCGACCGTTGAGAGCTGCGGATCAGTATTTGGGTCTGATTGGCCCGCAGGTGAATGATAGTCTTTGTAACGCGCATTGCGGGACTGCGAAGCATGCGGCCCTGGTTGCTGCACTGGGATCGGGACTGATACGGCGGTGTCTGTAGGTACAGATAAGGGTGGGGGGAACGACGCAAGCGTAGAAGCATCCGAAGAAGGTGAGGGTGAAGAGATCAATGGCAGCTGACCTATTTTAGGTAAGGCCAGAGGTACGCCTTGCGGACACTTGTGTGGAGCTGATGCAGTGCCACCGTGGCTCGCTGGCGAAGGGTTTGCCAGAGGTCGATCATGATGACTATGCTCGCTAATCGATGGTGTTGTTGCTTCGATAGTCAGTGAGTGAGACGGTGAATGCGAGTTGAGCGCTGGAGAGAAAGCCGGACGCGATTTAGCAAGAGGCGGCAAGGACGCGTTCAGGGCGGTTGAAGGAAAGAAGTCGCGAGTTAGCCCTGGCGAGAACTGGGGAGATAAGGGAGAATCTCGTTCTTGGGGATGACGCGGTCGGTCAAAAGGGTCCCGTTGCCTCGATACATCGCTTATGACGCTCGGCGAAAGTGGCTGGACAACGGGCACTACACGGGGTAGCGGTGTCGAAGGCCATTGCTTGTAAGAGGAGTTGCGGGCTGCATGTGCTTCCGCACCAGCGGCGATGTTTTTAATCTCAGGATCATGCGCATTGCTACTCGAGGTTAAATATCAGCGTCGCTCTGGTTGCTTGAGCGACTCACTGCCTGACCCAGCCGACGTCCCACGATTCCCATTGACCATTGAGTAAGAATTGGATCGCAGTCGGATAATTTTGGTCGTAGAAGTAGTCTAAGGGCGCGAGGACAGGGTCAGTACAGATCAACGCAATGGCGCGGGTTCCATGTGAGCAATGCTCATTCCGGTCAAGTGAAGAGAAGGCGTCTGCGATCAGGCTGAGACTAAAGCAGCGCTCCCACCTGGGATGGGGCAACGTACAAGTGTTTTCTATTGGGCTAAAGCGAACCAAGCTCAAGTCCACCCTCAATGACATTGGTGACAAGTCGTAAACTGGCAGGTGGATCGGAGCGGCGAGATGGAACTACGAGCGACAGGCAGGCGTGATGGTCGGTGGCCTGTTACCCTGCGGTCCCCGCGCGTTACTAATTGCGATTGATTAACGTGCGTCGTGCTGCTGCTGCTGCAAGGTTCCCTTGTCGCCCGGCAGCAAAGCAATATCGCACGATGGCCGACGCGCTCGAGGCTGCTGGTGTTGACCTGGGCGAGAGCGGTGCGTGGGGCCATGTGCATCGTATCCCAACAGATAAGCGGGTCCCAGCGCCTCGCTGTCCAAAGTGATGGTCGCTGTGCCCACAATCGCAGCCGTTAGGAGAAGATAGGCGAGGCCAGTGAAACAAACGTTCCGCAAGCCAGATCCCTCGCCTGCACATTTACCCCAGTCAGCGGAGCGGTCCCCATCCAATTGGACAACGCCACCGGCCCGAGCCGCCTTGTCCGCACGGAGATCCACACAGCATGTTGGCGGCACAGCACCTGCTCGGAGCGTTTACAATCATGGATGCAGCTTGTACGAAACCTTGTAGCAGGCAGTACCGAAGTCTCATTGCTTTTGAGGTTTCACAGGAACCGGTCTTGGAAGGTTTTGTGTTTGGGCATCCTGAAAGCTAGGGCGGAGACATCACAAAGGCACCTACAGGGCGCTTTGCATATGCTTCAAAAATGAACTTCTACAACAGTAAATTGGGCCAACGGCCTATTGAAGGTATACTGAGCCAATATATGAACAGGTTCCCTTGGGCCCGTTTCCAGTCCTTGCTCTACTACCCAATGATTCTAGAATCAGGTGCTTCACATTAATGTCGAACCGTGCAGCCCGTGCCCGCCCAAAGTTCTCTAGTGGTCTTTCACTTCATTACATGCTCTAGTGCGTGTAGAGGCTCCACTGCTGCAATCTGTCTCTGTGATTGTATGTATGTATGTGTGTGTGTGTGTGTGTGTGTGTGTGTGTGCAGGCTACGTCACCGTGTACAAGGTCGGATCGCCTGCTGCGCTGTCTCTGCCCTTTTGGTCGCAGCTTTTCCACCATTTGTATCTGCGAGATAGCTTTCCTATGGCTTTCGCTACTTCGGTTTCAGGGCGACCATGACTTCAATTAGTGCGATCGGCCATGAAGTGCTTCATTAACCACAACCAATCGATGGTGTAGCTGGCCAACCATATATAGAATGCAGCCTTTGGGTACCATGTCCAGTTCTTTCAGATCCAATACTGATTTGAGGTTGTCATCGTTCAACCATACCGCAAGCTTGTGTAGGATATTCAAGCCAAGCCCAATACTCGAGACCCATGATTTGTTTGGCTTCAGTGATTATGTGTTCCGCGAAACCGTCCAGGTACCAGAAATGGGACGCCCTTTTTAACAAGACCGCTGCATTCGCGAGGAGGACCATTGCGCAGGGCCGTTGTAAGCTCAACAGATCGATGTAGCCCTGCGGCACTCGCTCAATCCAGAACAAAAGAGCGTACTTGCCCCCAAGCATGCTGACGGGATTGTATGTGTGGGCGTATGCTTGTCGCAGCCAATAGAGGGCGCCTTCGTACGCTGGTATGTCATTCGCTTCTTCAAGAGGAAGTGATGCGATAAGGGATTCGAGGCAGTGGAGCCTATAGTCTTCTGGATTCAAAGAAGTATCCACCGGCTGAAGTCTTCGTCTATGCAGTTGTCGTTCGAAGAAGCTGTGTTCGAGCCAGCTCTGCCAGTGTGATGGCATGTCGCCAACTCCTCGGTGCAGGAAGATCCATTCGGGTGGACCCTCAGCAAACGACCGCCCTGCGTCTTTGGGTGCCGCAAAAGAGTATATGGTGAGGATGGCAGAGAAGATCATGACTGCCACGACGTTCTCTTTCGTCACGTCGAGTAGCGTGCTTCGGTATTCTGGAATAGCGAGATCCTGATGATAAGCGGCGGTCCGAAGATATCGGATCCTCATGTTTGGGTCCGAAGTGTCCTTGGATAGATGTAGAGCACTCAAAGCGAGGATGCCTCGCATGAGGAAGGGAAATTGCTGTGCAATTATCGGTACTTGTTCTCGCCAGGGATCTGCATCGTCGACGAATCCATCTCCAAATCCATAGCATGTTGCGACAGACCATTGATGCATCAGCGCAAGGTCTCTCATTGGGAGATCATGGCCACTGCTATAAGACTCTTCGCCGTTGCTTTCCGGACTATGAGCGACTGGGCTCATTGATGGTCTCAGGCGCTCACTGTCCGACGGTGCAGGATAAACGCATTCGGAAGCATATCGATGACAGTTTGAGCATTGAGGTTTGAGCTCGTCACACTGGGAAACTATCAGCACAACAAGGACAAATAATGTGTGATTTCGTGGGAGGTTCTGCTAGTTGGCTTGCGCCCATACAGTTATGGGAGCGTTTACCAACTTCAACCCCAAGAGACAAGCCGGATAACTGGAGGGAAATCGGAGCGACGCACCTTGATCTTCCTTCGTTTGCAGATGTGACACCCACTCTTGACCTTACGGTGCGGTCGTTTTTTGTAGACTATGTCTGTTAGAGACACGGCAACGACCAAAGGAGCGAAAAACTGTACCCTTGCCTTCTGCGGATGTCGAAGACATGTTGCTCGGGGACACCTGCTCAATTGTGAGAAAGGGCGAAGGGCTGCGATTTAAAGGACCGTGGAGATGTGTGACCACCATGAGTAAAAACTGTGGATGTGAAGCAGAAGTTGGAAGAATTCAGGACAGAGTAAGTAACCAGCAAAGATGCCAGGGTAGGTACGCGTTGGATAAGATATTATATGTGTGATGACAGAGTATCCGTCCCGCGGATGCAAGAAGCCCTTGCTTATGTTGCTAGCGCTGGAAAAGCGATAGGGCTGAGGCTCGTTGGGCGATGAGAGTCAACCCTAAGCCTATGAGAGGCTGAGGGGCCGCCCCAGCGCCGCTCCCCGGATCAAAAACCGCTACATCCGCCACACGCGTGTTTCTTTTTCAGGGCTGTATTATTTAATTGCTAAAGTTTAGCAGTGGAAAACATCGTGACGATCTTCGCTGGCGCTCGAAGCTCGAAGCTCGAAGCTCGAAGCTGGTAATGCAGCATATTCACGAATTGATCTAAGCAGAAAGCCAGGGTTCAAAGTCTTGGATGTGCAGATAGCCGGGCGCAATACACACAGCTCAGGCGTTCCATGACAAGTGAGGAAACCCGGACGAGCATGCCTGAAAGGCGGTACAGCACGTCCCATTGAAGTGTCCAGGTTCAGATGTTGGAAAGCATTGGTGGTGGCTGACGGTGGGTAGCCGTGGCCAGGGTGGTGGAGAAAACCGGTAGGTAGAGACCAGGTCATTGAGCAGCGCCTTGGCGGCCGAACAGCATGTATCCGCCCATTCCTTGCCACCTCCTGCATCTCTACAACGCTACGGCATCAATCGCTAAATCTAGTGCGCAAGGCATTGTCCTGAGGCTAGATTCACCGGATGTAAATCCAGCTCTTTGGCTTCGGGTATGGAGATACGACCCGCAGGTGTTCCCTGGTTCTGATCTTGCACAAATCATCACTGTCATCAAAGAAACAATGCATGCATCTACGATACTGTTGATCCGAAAGAAAAGTTTGACGCGCCATACCGGGAGCTCCCTTTGCTGGCCAATTGTCTGTCGAGTACATACGGGCCTTCACCTCGCTGGCGTCCGCAGATCCACCTCAGGCTTGACAACTTTCAGGCGGACGTGGAAAATCTTAAGTTGCCACTGCGCAGGTGCCAAAAGGAGAAGCGAGCACTGCCGCCTACTAGTGGTAAGAAGTACAGTATCGTCTCCATAGATAACAATGTCCTCCATTCGCAGCCACAACAGAGTATTCGAACCTTAGCAACTGCTTCACGCAGCGCAGTATCACCGCAATCAAGCAACGAAGGCATTTTTCGAACCGTGGTCACGGCTTTCAGGGTCGTGAAACGATCATTCATAGTGCTCCGGCCATAATCTATGCATCGACTCTTCGGGCTAATGCGCCTAAGATGCAATCTACGACCGGCGAATGACTCGAAGTGGACACACCAGTAGCGATTGAGGAGATTGAACGCGCATCATACCGGTAAACTGATTTGGTCGGGTTGTATCTTGACCATAGGTATTGCAACGGCAACCTGCAACGCCTGCTATCTTCACATCCAGAAACCCACTCGGGCATACCCATATCTGACCTTCTTCTGCAGTGCGAATTGGTCCAGGGTGTCTCCCGAAGTGCACAGACAACGATCGGATCATCTAACCCATCGCTTGCTGTGTTTTTCTCTCGGTGGACGACGCATGCATAATATAGAGTACCTTGACTGCTAGGATGGTGCAGCTATTCCCAGTCTTGATACATTCACAGCGTTGAAGGCTAGTGATGAGCTCCCTTAAGCTACGCCGCACCGAAACATCAACGCAAAACTAATATCGTTCAGTTCGGAAGATCCGGTTCTTGTAAAGCTATTGGTCCCCTTGCAATCAACCGGAACCCGATGCTCACTCTGATGAAGCTGTTTCGAAGGGGATGTTCTAACCGGTATATAAAAATCTCCAGGAACGCTTCGTGATTCTAGGGATAGCCCAGAAGAGACAATCCCGTGTGGCTGTAGTATCAGGCACTCGGCGCGGCTTCCCATGTGCTGCTACTATGATGCATGACTTAAAAGTAGTGACACATGCGGCAGGTATATTGTCGATCAAAGTATTTGGAATAGATGTTGTAACTCGATATTGCTTTGGGTCAAGATCGCAAGCGATCGGTCACAACAGTCCTGCTGAGTTCCGCTAGGTGCTCTAGTCCGCGAATGTTAGAAGCTCTTCACCTCGTATGCATGCATTATCTGTTCACGCACTGATGGCTCAGTAGTAGAGCTGCGGTCGAGTCTTGTCTCCACGACTAAACGCGACTCTTGCTTTCGCGTCCGCGTCCGTATTAGCAGCATGAGCCGGCCTGCAAGGATCGAAGCTGACTGTGTCCTTACACAGTAGACAGCGCAAATACTTCGCGCTTGTTCACCGTCTTCTCCACTATGGACACTAACATCGAAACCATAACCATAAATCCTTCATAGGGGAGCTAACCAGAGACTGTGCGAGGAGTGAATCGGTGCCAGAACAAATTCCGCCAAGTGAGCTTTGCCCCTATGCGGATGGCTAATGCAGATACACGTGAGGGATGCATGGGGCAGTGGCCCGGTGGCTTTGTCGTTGGCGAGTGAGACCAGTCCGCAAGGCTCAGGAAACTGGGTGGCCGTATAATCGGCCATCTCCGTTTTGTAAGCGGCGTAAGCATGGGGGAACTAATGGCCTAGTGTAGTTTAAACCTTGGCTGGTTCCAAAGACAACAAAACGTAGGCTCGGATAAGCACACACAAGCCTTCATGTGCACCGCGTCGCCTGCTGGTATAGCACAGCTTACCCATAATAGACCGTATAGAGTATGTGAACTGGCTGTTTTAATTTTATAGAACTCTTGATCACTTTGAACAAGAATTGAAAAGCCACCCACCTGATGTTGAGCCTCATCCGAGGATTTTCGTTCCCGTTTTGGAATTTCACCTAAGACGAGTCCATATGTGTCGTTACCATGTTGCCGATAGCGGACCAAGTCCCACTAGAAACATTCCCTGCCGTTAAGTGCGAGGGTTTGCCACTTTGGCTCAAGTGTCCGTTGCGGCTGCGGCTGGACCTCTTGTGCATGTAGCTAGCTTAGCGCTGCTGAAGCCACGATTTGCATGCCGCATCAAGTTAGCAACCGTATGCCGTTTTAGGTAGTAACGCCAGGTCCTTACCATTCACACTCTATGAAGATGCGCGCGAGACGATCTCTGAAAACTCGGAGTCTCAATTATAACCTGTTAGATGAGTATATTCCGCGTGAAATTGCAATGGTCCTACCCTCCTAGCAAAAATTCTTATCACACTACGAGACCACGGTTACTGAAACAATCGCTCTAATCTTGAGACTATTGGAATCATATGACACAAACACTCTTCACTACACTCAGTACTTTACTGACACGTGGAGATTACAAATGTTCTCGCCGCTGCTGGACGGGTTTCCGTAACGGCCCGCCCAAAACGGGAGCCGCTGTGGTTCACGGGTCCTTCCGAATTAATCACCTACACCTTCCTTACGGAAAAGAAACGCAACAACGCCGGGCACCTCTATGGATAAGGCTGTATGAAGAGGCTGAGGCCGTTACATTGTTGTTATTGGCGGCCTAGCTATGCATCGTGATGCATCTCTCCAAGTAGTTCGCAGGTACACATGTAAAGCGGAGTTTACACGACTCTAGATGTCCGCGCGCGGCAGCGGAATGAATTCTAGTTTCGTGGCTATACCATGCGAACTCAGCGAGAACATTGTGCATCTTTAGAGCAAAGCTACCTTGGGCATCTGGGTGAACAAACAACTAAGAGCGCCGATGTGATGGCCTAAGTTGTACCTCTGCCGATAATCCCACGCTTATCCTCACAGTCCCACACTGTTTTATAGTCCATCTAGACCACACGGTTGACTGCTAGGCTAGTCAGAAAACGTTTCTTACCGTCTAGCATGTTAACCTATTCTAACACAGATATCCGTTATACTGCTACAACATGAAAGCGAAGACCTGCGTTTTATCTTTTACGATATCATATAAACCGGCATACAAACTTTGAGCCATTCTTCCCGGATAGGCGGTTGAGTGTGGTAGTGCTGTAGGAATCTGCTTGGTTATCAAGCTGAGTTGAGCTTTCGCATTGCAAGGATAGCCATAAGGCGGATTTCGTTGGCCTCTATCGCCGCCTGCCTGAAACGGAAGCCTGCAGAGATTGTATGCCGATTTATACGTTATCTTGGAACTCCAAGCTTTCTCGACCAAGACAGTACGTAATGTCTTTCGAAGACTGACTGTGTTGAGACAAGGTGATGCTTCCCTGACTCCAGTGTTCATTCACTCGATATAACAGACTCGATCCGTGGCTGCACGTGTGATCCTCAATGTATGCGAAAACTTGCACTATGGATATTATGAGTCTACTCTGTTCCTGCGCTCCGACTCCACGATCTGCTGGAGTGCGTAATCTGCGGAGAAATGCATCGCGCTAATGCATGGCCTTTACAGTTTCTCGTGTTGTCATTGGTTGATTTGTTCGGCAAAGCTGCCAATCAGAAGACCGTCGCACGGTCGACCTGCAATTCAACGCCTCCAGAAAGCGAACGCAAGACTGCAATGACGAGCCTGAATTTGCAGGAGACCATCATCTGTGCCTATGTACGCCCGTCGTGCACTTCGCTCGATTTCAGGCAGCGTATGAAGTGCATTGCGGCCTTAGCGAAAAGGCACTCGCCACGGCGTTGCGCTGAGGGTCCGATCGTCTTTCGCTTGGTGTATCTTGCCTGCGGCCCTGACCACCTCCCACCAACAAACCGCGACGCCCCTCCCAACCTTCTCCATCAGAAACTCGCCCAACACCATCGGAAAATCCGGCCTGAGTCGATTTTCCATCTAAACAGCGCATGCGAAATCGTTTGACACCCATATTGTGAATATTCACGCCCGGGAGTGGTCGCAAACGAGGAACCGCTGCTCGTCGCAGCCAGAGCCGCGGCGCTGGCCCTTGCCAGCTGCACCCAACGCCCCAGCCAGGCTGGTCACGTGTGCGCAAATCTCTTTGAACGCGCATCTCTTCACGACCGCGCATCATGACGCAGAGGGTTACCGGCCAGCGCTTTCGCCAGCGCAAGCTATCTACTAAGCAGAACCTACCTATCCTGCGCGAGCACGAGGTTGAGCAGCTCGGCGATGATGACGCGACGCGCCATATTCCCAAGGTCGAGACGGGCGTGGAAAAAGGAGAGGAAATCGTAAGTTCACGCTAGTCCTCTTTTGTCACCACATCGATATCAGCCGGCATTGCGATGCACTATGAATGCCCCAGTGACTTGCTCGCACGGCTGCTCTGTATCCGTCCTCTCTTGTTGCTAGAGGCTTTGCTAACAATGCATAGGAGCACCATCTGCAAGCTGTGATATCTGCCGCTCAGGCAGCTTCTCAAAGTGGAGGCAAGATTGCCCAGCTGTACATTCCTACACCTGACGCTGTTGCAAGTAAGCTGCAATACGAGGACCTTTACCCTAGACAGTTCACGCAACCGTCGACCTACATTCGCTTCTCGTCTACTGTGGAAGACACCGTAGGATGTCCGTATTGCATGACCAGCGAAGATGCTGCCTGGCTCAAGTCGTACAACCAGAAGAAGAACAAAGGTGTACAGTGCTCCGAGGACGATCTTGAGCAGGTCATCAACTTCTTCGAGGAAGCCACCGCAGAGAAGCAGCCCTATGCTGACGTGGATAACACCCCCGTCCTTGCATACGAGGAGTTAGAGGCGCTGTTCGACGAGAGAATTCCGGAGCATGCTCGAAGGTTTGCCAAAGATGTCTACGTGCACTGGAAAGCCGAGCGCGAGCGAAGGCTGAATAAACCATTGATGCCAACGCTGAAATTCGAAAAGAATCTCGACAGCGATGATTCTGATCCGTATGTCTGCTTCCGACGCCGCGAGGTGCGCATGCAGAGAAAGACACGCGGTCGCGATGCCCAAGTGACTGAGAAGCTGAAGAAGCTGAGGAAGGAGCTCGAGGAGGCTCGGTTCATCATGGCACAAGTGAAGCGCCGCGAAGTTATGATCCGGGAGCAGCTAGCCCTCGACAAGTTGATCTTCGAACAACGGGGCGAAGTCAAGGAGACCAAGAGGAGGCTCAGCATCAAGGGCGATGACGAAGAGCTCCTCATCAACCAGAAGGTTCGCGTTCCGTTCGATGTTTGCATTGCCACGTCGCTAACTCGATCGCAGCCTGCCCCCAAGCCCAAGCCAAGAGTCGACACTCAAGCTCTTCAGAGAGGTATCCCTGGAATGGGCTCGAAACCTCCAGTCACTCGTCCCGATGGTCGTCTTGTCGATTCCGATCTTGTCTATCTTGATGACCAGCTTGCGAAGAAGTCCGAGGTTATCGATGCCTTCGTCGAAGAGAATCTCCTGAAGCACCAGAAGTGGAATGTCGGATGGGTAGATGCGACATGGCGCCCCATCACTCCACCGTTAGAGCAACCCGCAGCAAAGTCAGACTTCCGTCGCGTCTTCACAGACTCGCAGCTGCCGACGCCGCCGGCATCGGTGTCGTCTGAGGAAGCCGGTGATGCGATGGTCGTCCAACAAGTGAGGCAACCCGAGCCGCGCAGAAGTGCCCGGATACGGTTTGGTACTCCTCCAGACGACGTTCCGTATCAGGACCAGTCGCGGTACCGCCGGCGCACAGGTCGTGGTGGTCGCGTGATGATAGATCGTCGTGGCGTCAAGCGTCCTAAGCTCGACAATGAACCCATTGACGAGCGTGCGGCCGATCGGTGGAAGTTCGCCGGCGATAGTAGCGAAGACGAACAGATATATCCTGTCGACTGGACGGACAACCTGCACATCCGGTACAGGATCATGATCGAGCGGCAAGGCGAGAAGCAACATGCTCAACACCAAGCTGCAGCTGCAGCCGCGGCGGCGGCCCAGAATCGGAGAGCGATCGAGAACCACCAGAGATCCTCGTCCGGCCATTTGGCTCCACCCAGCGCTGGACACTGAGAAGTGGCACCGTTCTCTTTACCCCCTTCTGGTTTGCCTTTTTCATGATGAGACGAGTTGTTGCTTGCAGGAAACGATTTTATACCCATTTGCGTTTTTGTTTTACTCGAACAGAGGAAGTCCCAAGCTCTTTTATTCAAAGTTCGCTCAAAGGTGCCTTTAGCATACCGCACCTCTATGTACACTATACTGATCGCAAAGCGCCAGGATGGTGTGGTGAACTGCTCAGAGGTCGGATTAGCAGCTGTGAGATATTGGATATGTATAGTAGGAAAGATGTATGCAGGGAAGATTGACCGCTGGAGAATGAAAATAAACTTACCACCCATATGTTTGTCTTCGCTATGAGTGATGATCGCGGTAGAATGAGGTCTACTGCGCTCTTCCCCAGTTTCATCATCTTGCGCGTTGCTTCTTGCCTTGCCCTGCTTCTTCATCCTCTGCAGGTCTCTTCGCGGAGCCGTTCGCCGTGACTAGGTCTCTTCCCAGCTGCTCCAGTGCCTGCTCAGCCTGCTTGAGGAGCTTCTTCTCGCCGATGCGGACTTGCCTCGCGATAGTATATCGACGCTCTTTCGACATGGCTTCACCCGAAAGTGACGCGCCGTTAGATGTGCTCAAATCTTCGTCCAGAGTAGTAGCGTATTGCTGCAACCTGACCTGCACCAGCCTGTGCAAGAACTCTGCACCCTTGGCGGTGACCTTCTCGGGCTTCGGTAATTTCCCTTTGCGTTTGAGGCGCTCGAACTCGTCGTTGTCCAGCAAGAGGGTCTCGACCACGACAACAAGCTCGGGAGACACGCTCTCTTGGAACGTGAATGGCTCGCTTGCGCAGACGTCGTAACCGGTCTCGATGAGGTCCTGCTCGTCCAAGTACTCAAGCCGGGCCTCAGAGTAGACGTTGGCTGCGGATGCAGTCTGCGCGACTAAATCGAACGGGATCTCCACAACGTCGTACTGCGAGTAGTTGTCCGTGATGTACCCGTACCGGCGAAGCAAGTCGGATCTCGGCAGGGGTCCGTAGTCGTTGAAGATTTCCTCTCCGGCCTGGATGGGCTTAAGAGCCTTCATCGAGAGTGACTCTTCTTCATAGAACAGGCGAGCATTGTTCCTGTCTGCGTCTGCGTTGAGCATGTCCGCCATGGGCACCATACCCTTGGGCAGGGCCTCATCCTCGTCCTCACTCGCATAGCCCTCCTCGTCGATCTCTTTGTGCGACTGCGCTGGTTCAACATCGAAGGCGTACGCCATGATAAGACTGCCCATCTTGTGCATGAGCAGCATCCCCGCCTCGCTCTCCATCTCAGCCGCACGCTCCTGCGCCCTCTCGTCCCCTGCGAAGATCAACTGAGCAAACTCCTTGATAACCGGGATGAGCTCATTCTTGAAGTTCTCGTCCGCGCTCTGGCGCCCGATCTTGTGCACCACGGCGGAAGCCTGGAGCTGAGCAAGCTCGTCTTCGGACCAGAACATCAGAGTGTTGAACTCGTCCGGGAGAACGCGGAAGTAGGGCGCCCAGTTGGACGCGTCGCTGTTGAAGTACTCGTAGAGCATGGCGAGTATGAGGGAGAGCCAGGGGCCGAGGGCGTCGAAGGTGGCTTTGGGGATTTCGCTTGAGAGGATCGAGTTCTCGACGGAGAGGATGGCGGAGCGGGGGATGCGGAAGAGAACTTCATCTTCGGCAATGTTTTGGGTCGCAACTGGGGTGCTTTAGCTGTACTGTGTATGTAGGTTTTTGGACTTTCAGAGCAGAGGTGGGAGGGTGCGTGTGGCGGAGGAGAACGTCTTCGGGGACTATCCGTTGAAACTTACCGACCCCACGGCCAGCTTGGTGGTTCCGCAAATCTTTCAGCTCGATCTTCGGGCTGATTTCGGCGCCAGAGCGCTTGAGCCAGTCGAGGAAGACGCGGCTGGCCTCGTCGAAGGAGTCCATGGTTCTGCGAGCGGTGTGTGGGAGTGGAGTGGTGGATGCGACTGAATATTGCGGTCAGTCGGCCAACCGAGGCGGGTTCTGACGGGCACTGATTGGCCGTGCGCGTAGCGGCACCACGAGAGCACTGATGACCAGCCACAATTTCAGTGCAGTGTGGAAACTTCGACAAAGGCACACGGCCTTGTACACTGAAGACGCAGGATCGAAATTCTGTCGCTCACTAATTTGAACTTGGCATTGGCTGACTGTGCCGTGGGGCTTCATGATCACAGAGGTACACTGCTTCCTACCTACCTCTTCTGCCTGCAAGAAGACGCGTAGTATCTGGCTTTTCTATCACGCTTATGCTACGGATTCTAGTTCATGTCTTAATGTCTCTGAGTCCTTCCGACCAAGTTCATTTTCTCGAAGTCACTGACTAGCAGCAACGCTCGCTTCCATTCGTCATCAGCCCTGCGAAAAGTTTATCGATAACATCTCAAGCTCCTCCACCAATGACCCCTCATTCGCTCCACAACCACCAAGCTCCCTACAACAGTAACCACGTATAGGATCCCTCGCCCTGTATACCTCTATCCTAGGAACGAAGCCCTCAAACTTCTTCTCGACTGCGCACAACAACACCCTCACAATGATAGCCCTCGGCCTCGAAGGCTCCGCCAACAAAATCGGCATAGGAATAATATCCCACACGCCCTCCAAACCCCCCGTCATCCTCGCCAACCTCCGCCATACCTACAACTCTCCCCCAGGCGAGGGCTTCCTCCCCAAAGACACCGCGCTGCACCACCGTGCCTGGGTCGTCCGCCTCATCAAGCAAGCCATCCGCCAGGCCAAAATTACCATCTCCGACCTCGACTGCATATGCTACACGAAAGGGCCGGGCATGGGCGCGCCCCTGCAGAGCGTCGCGCTGGCCGCCCGCACCTGCGCGCTGCTCTGGGACAAGCCGCTGGTCGGCGTGAACCACTGCGTCGGCCACATCGAGATGGGGCGCAGCATCACGGGTGCGGAGAACCCCGTCGTGCTGTACGTGTCTGGGGGCAACACGCAGGTGATTGCGTACTCGGCGAACCGGTACCGGATCTTTGGCGAGACGCTGGATATTGCCATTGGGAATTGCATCGATCGGTTTGCGAGGACGCTGATGATTCCGAATGATCCGTTCCCTGGATACAATGTCGAGCAGCTGGCGAAGAAGGGGAAGAATTTCATCGAGCTGCCGTATGCCGTCAAGGGCATGGATGCGAGTTTCTCGGGGATATTAGCCGCGGCGGATGTGTTGGCGAAGGGGCTGGATGAGAGCCTGCCGGATGAGAAGAGGTTGAAGACGGAGGAGGGAGAGTTGATTACCAAGGAAGATCTGTGCTTCTCCTTGCAAGAGACGATTTATGCGATGTTGGTGGAGATTACGGAGCGCGCGATGGCGCATGTGGGGAGCAAGCAGGTGCTTGTGGTTGGGGGTGTGGGCTCTAACGAACGGCTGCAGCAGATGATGGGCATCATGGCGAGAGATAGAGGAGGAAGTGTGTTTGCGACCGACGAGCGCTTCTGCATAGACAACGGTATCATGATTGCACACGCGGGGCTGTTGGAGTATCAGACTGGCGTCACGACTAAGCTGGAAGACAGTACATGCACGCAGCGTTTCAGAACGGATGAGGTCTACGTAGGATGGAGGGAGTAGTCTTCCAGGATGTCTCAGTGACTACTGTTCGTCACCTGTTTCGCGAAGATTCACTAATATGATACCCAATTTTACCTTCGTCACATCTCGTTTACGGGCGGAGGCGTATTCTGGATGAAACCAAAGGTCGATCGTCCTACAATGTTACTGACAAAATGCCGTACGTGGAATTGCATGCAACGTTCTGATCCGGTGGAAGGTGACTCACCGCGATCAGACAATCTTAAACATCTCTACCATCTCTCTGAGGTCATCGAAATAGTGGAGCTCTTCTACAAGTTTCCCACCCATGACGCCCTCGATATAGCACGATCCGATAATTCTGTATCCATCTCCGTCGCACGGTCGAATGACGAAAGGAACGGTACCACCACCAAAGATCACAAACAGATCGCCCTCCCGCATGGCCTTCGGACCCATACCCATGAATCCGTTGTCAGTGATGAAGAACCTTTTGTACAAGCCTGTCCGGCGCCATCTTTCAAGGAAACTGTTGTCGCGCCACATGCCGACGCAGGCTGCATACACCAGCTCATCCACGGTGTCGGCAATCTCGGGCGAGCTAGCATCAAAAGTACCTTCACTGGCTGAAAAGATCTCATTGCTCACACGGATTCGAGGAACCAAACGCGACTGGTCAATCTCGCGTACTTTGGACTCATACTTCTCCCGCAAGTCATCATCATCAAGCGGCAACAAAAGTGGCTGTCCTTCGAGCGCGTCATGTTGTAAGGGAATGCGGATTCCGACAATATCAGCCAAGCCAACTCTAGCGATGCAAAGGCTTTGCTTCACTTGATTAGTCGCCATGGGCCCCTTAACGCCGAGGTATGCCGACAGAATAGTGATCCATGACTGCGCAAAGGAGAGGTATCGGTTTGAGTCGAAGAAGTGGACTCTTCCTCGTGCTGATTCCTTATCCCGGCCCAAAATTTCAAGATCTTCCGTACCGCACAGCATGGTCCGAAGGAAAGCCATCAGGGGAGGGTCGTTGAGGCTTTTCTCGAAGTATTTTTTGTATACTTTTGGGAAATTTGTGTAACGCCATAAAGGGATGCTGTTGTCCTTCTCTTGGAGCATCAACTGCCATGCTTCGGTGATTTTCAGAATGGTAGTTTCGAGCTCATTATCACGGGTGATTATTGCCCCCTCACTTGCAAACATCCCAAGGGTCCTTATTTTGCCCTGCCGAAACCCTTTTATCGTCATCGATGGAGGTGAAGTATCGAGATCGATCATAGCGCCACTAAACGTGGCAAGCTCCCGTACCCCACAAGCGTGAAAGGTATAGTCTGATTGACCGACAACTCCTTGCCAGCTCGTTGGGATCCAGCTCGGCCATTGCTTGAAGTCATCGACAGAAGCGTCGCTCAAGAGTTCGGAATTATCGATATGAGTGAGGCATCGAAGGTCCATTGTCTTGTTCAGGAGTTGATATGTCGTATGGAGGTACACTTCCATCAGGGACCTATGATAGTCCGAAACAAATGGGGCGCCTCCAGCGACTATGCCCAAAATGCCAAATACTCTGTCACGGGCGTCGCCGCAATTCCGTTGAGCAGTCATTGATAGGGCCTGTTCAAAAGTTTTAGGCGACGCCTTCAAGTCCAGTACCAGAGAGACCGCCGAAGGATCAAGAAGATAGTCGCGGAAGAGCGCACGAGCTTGCACTTGGAGAAACCAGGGAAGCACCTTCAAGAGCTTTTGATAACTGATCTTGGTATCACCCCAGTGCATCTCCATTGAAGCAGCGAAATGTATCTCTTGAACGATCCACACGCGTCCAAAGTATGGAAGCTCGACCAGATGGTTTAGGGCTCGCCACATAGGTGATGCTCTTGGAGGCAGGTGCAAATTCTGGAGTACTTGATCTGTAATGAGCGCAAGTCCACCGAAAGGATTTCGGACACCGTCATCGCCCCCCGGATTTTGTTTATCGCTCAAATTGCTGCACAGGTCTCTTATCAGTTGCTGAGCAAGTGGTGCTTCTTGATGTGAATCGACCCCGAGCCAAACAAGCACCTTTCTGGCTTGGGAATAGATCTGGCCCATTACTGGCACCTGTTCATTGCGCTCATCCATGTCCGTTTGGTTCACGCACAGTTGGTCGATCCAGAGAAGTCGATTCTTCCTTTTCCTAAATTTGCGCAACGCCGCTGCCAGGTTAGGTGTTACATCGAAATCATGTCCATCCAGCTGGACAGTCTCAAGCTGACGATTCGAACCCCACCGATAGCTGAGGGCCTCGTAGGAAGGACAAGCGCTGAGGGAAACTACTTTCAAAGAGCATTTGATGACTTCGTGCTTGCTCCCACCGTGTATCCGAACCAATCGAATTTCTCCTTGCGACAGTGGAGAAAACAGCCGGTCGTATAATGGATCGGGTGCGAAAGGGAGCTGTGACCACAGGTCGTCTTCACTCTCTATGCTGGAAGGCTGAGTCTGCTCTGCGCCGCTGCGTGGAACTTCGTTCTCGGTCCCACCGTGGCGAGACCTACCATTCAACAGGCTGGCAAGTGAGCGCCAAAAATGTAGGATGTGAGTCTTCGACAACAAACGCGACATGATCACATCTGTCTCTTCTGCTACATGTAGGCCATCTGGAACGATTTTCAATTGAATAGATGACTAGGTCAAGTGTGGCTTGCAGCTCGAAGCTGCCATGGATTCAGCTCGTGGAAGTGGCGCTATGCTGGGTGCTGCTTCCTCAATCACAACCTCAAGGCTGAGGTGATGAAGTTGCAGCGTGCTCAGCCGATTGTGATCGCTGTCGTTTCTTCACCATAGTGGACTATCGCACAGCGCCTTGAGCATCGACGCGCGACCGTTGTGAAGATGAGAACGGCGGCGACTAACGATAGGTTTGACCGTCTGAAGGAGGAGATCCGTAGCACCTTCCTTGGTGCACGGTCCATCGTAATCTAGGCCTTTCTAATCAGCCATAGCTCATTCGGTTGGGCGTTCGTTTCCCGTTACTCCGTATTGGAAAGAATTATACGCATTTTCCAATGGTCAGCCGTGAGCTCAATACGGATACGAGCGGCGTCGTATCTGAGCTCGCTTCTGACGTGCATAACGATCAGGCATCCGAAACTTTTGGGACTCTGGCTTAGCTTGTATTGCAAGCAGCGTCGTTCCCACAAATATCAGTGTACGAACCGCTTCTTTCACCGACAGGAGCAAGACTTGCCTTTTCTGAACTACAAACCAGTGATCTTAGATGTCAAAGCTCCTCGGCCTTATACTAGGCCGCGTACCAGTGCGCCAATGTGAGACAAGCAATCGCCCTGTCCCTCCCATCCTTTCCTGTTCCTGACACTCTGACCGGAAGCCCCCGGCAAAGAAGCGGGGCCGCCAGGTTCCACAGCTCAGAACCGTGCTTCGGAACGACAAAACGAGATTTTATCTGAGAGAACATGTAAACAAACAAAATGCACAGACTGTTGCACTCAACTTGACTCAAGGTGGAGGTGAAGAATGTAGGTGGCTGACCGAATAATTGATCAATTCGTCAACAATGGGCGTTGCTATACTAGATATTTGCGCACGGGCTCTGTAACGACAGTTGCTCTCGTGGCGTCTGAGAGAAGCCCAGACAGGTCGTGATATCCTCCGCTTTCTGATGTGTCGTTCCCCTGGGCATCTGCACCCTTTTTCTAACAATGGTCGTACTCTATGTGCGTGTTCGAGACTCCAGTCTCTCCCAAAGGTTGAGCAATTAAAAGACGATAAAAAGAATAGCGGAGCCGAAGCTGCCTGCCTACACCAAACCACATCTTCTAGTGTATACAGCTCTGAATCGAAAATCGAAGACTCCTCGAGACGTCGAGGTAGAAATGCTAGCGAACGGACAACAGCAGCGCCGGAAAATGCAGCAGCAATATGGTATTACAAGGATGTGGTCATTAAACAAGATCGGGAGAAAGGTCCGCACGGAGAGTGAGGCTGCTAGACTTGGTGTCGGTCGTTCAATTCGATGTCTTTGCTGCTTATCCGGCGGTAAAAGGGTATCCGCGAGTACGCAAACTTGCCCTTGTGGGTGTTCGCCTGGCGGGCTACTACAAAAGTCGAGTAGAGGCACCAGAGCAGGGCCAGGCCCAGAGTGAAGCCAATGACGGTGATGATGACCCAGTGCGAGGCCATCCAGAATATGAGCTTGACATCGTTGTTGTGCCAGCTGTTCCCCAGATGGTGAGTGAAGAAGCTCCAGCTGTGGTTGTTGTACTCTGCGGGAAAGAGGATGCGCACGCGGTCCGCCTCCTCGGGTTGGGCCTTCATGTAGTGGCGCCAAATGACGCTCAGGTACAAAGGACCGGTCGAGGCCATGACGGTGATGTATGGCAGCGGCCAGCGGCGGTTGTAGTCAGGTAGACGATCGATGGCATTAAGGAAGAACTTGTGGCGCGGCACGGAGCCCATGGCATCGTTGGAGATACCGGTGGGGGTCGTCTTGCGAACCCACGCGGGGTAGGCGAGGAGCGGGTCGAGGCTGCGGTTGCACCCCTGGAAGATGTTAGCCAAGTTCTAGTAGAAACTCAAGCACACGTACGTCGTCCAAGTCAATGTAGATGCCTCCAAAGTGGTGCAGCACAAAGTATCTTATCGCATCGGCGCGCTGGATCGGGTACGGGTAGCCGTCAAATGTCTCGAGAAACCACGGGTACCTGCTGGGGTCAGTCACTGCACACGCCCAAAATACGCGTACTCAATACGCACTCGGCAGCGATAAACTCGCGCGACTTCTTGTCCGTCCAGAGCTGCGTCCCCGTTAGCACATGTTCATCCGTTTCAAACGGCGACGGCGCGTACCTTGTACTCGTAGTCGGGGTGCATGTCAATGCAGCTCTGCTGCGGGCCCTTCCAGTGCTCGGGTATGCTCTCATTGATGTATGTCTGGTGAATGATCTTGGGGATCAGTTGCGGCCGTTCGCTGATGGCGCCTGAGTTCGGCGCAGGCAATTCGGCGCGCAGAATCGCATCTTCCCTGCCGTCGATGACAAGCAGCTCCAGGAGGGTCCAGACATGGTGTACTGCAAAGCCGAGCACCACGATGGTGGTTATCAGGAATATGAGAATGCCTCTGCGCATCGTGGCTGGGGCCTCCTTTTCGCTGGGGGGCGGTTTAGCGGTAGTCCGGGTTGAGGGCGTCGTCAAGGCGTCTGAGAGCGATGTAGTAATGGGCAGATGTCGGGTCACTGCGACATGAAGTGTATTAAAACGGCGGTGCGTCGGCGAGCGGGCGGCACGAAGAAGAAGAAAAGGTACAGAGCGGAAGGCGTTGGAAGAGCTTGGGTTGGCTGAGCACAGGGCTAAGCAGAAGGCACTTGCAGAGGGAAATTAGGCGCTATGGCGCAGCCGAGGCGACCAAGCCCAGCTGGTGCAGTCCGCGCGCAGTCCGCGTTGCAGGTGAACCCTGGCGACAGCCGCCATCAACCATCGACCTCGCCCTCCATCCAGTCGCCTTTTCTGACACTGCGCGGCACGCCCGCCAGACTGTTGCGCTTGCGCGTCCGAGTCCCGGCCTTTCACCGCAGCCGTGAGCACCGCGAACACCAACGCGTGCTGCTTCATCGCCTCGCAAGCCCGTCTATCTTGGGTGTCTGATGCGAGCTGAGCAGGCTGTGCCGTGCCAATCGCCGTTATGACGACGGCCTGCATGTCGCTTGGCCTCCCGTTCTTTGCTCAAGACCACCACCGCCGTCGTCTTGACACTTGCAACACTGGCGTCATGAAGTGCGCCATTTCCTTGCGCCTGCCGCGGCCTGTCTTTTCTGCCGTCGCCGTCATGGCCACCCGCCCGCACAACGGAGCCACTCAACGTGTCTCACGAATAGCAGGCAAGCCCTAGTAGCTCTAGCATTCTCACCGCTGGAATCTGATTGGTCCGGTGAGGTTACGTATCATACAAGCCCACTGCAGGGAGCATGACAGACGATATCTGCGCAGCAGACATCGCCCAACGTCATGCCGTGCAACTCATTTCACCTTGTCATTGTAAACGAACGGCGACGTGCGTCGGCTCGCAAGCATGTCCAGTAACGGGCATACATTGTTCCCGCATGACAGCCGGCGGACACCGAAATCCAGCTGAAAGGAGCATTCCACTGATAGCCAATAAACACCGCATACATGGCCTGCACTCGCGACGAAGGAACATACCGAATTTACCGGAGCTATCGAAGCATCGCAGTGAATCTGCCAAAGCATCGTACCGAAGTTGCCGAAGCCTATAGCAAACTGGACCAAGCTTCATCAACTCGACCAATACTGCACGTATCAGAACGCATTCGGACGCGTGTACGTAGCGCTAGTCTCTGGGACGAACTCGGCCAATTCTGACATCTATCTGAGATTACGCCGAAAGGACCGAGTTGAATGCATGTTTGAGAGGAACTCTCAGTTGACCGATTCAAACAACACTTCAACCCCCTGTTGAAGCTTTATCGCAGCTGCCCAAGATCAATAGGCTGTCGTGTCCATTTCAAGTTGGTCAAGACCAGCCGCATCACCGTGTCTTGCACCTCATGTAAGTCAGACTCATGCTTTAGGTCCGAACCTTTATCTTAGGGTAGGTCAACGGAATCTCTCTTCTCGAGTTATATGAATCCAGGACACAGACCGCATTTGGGGTGAACAAGCGGGTACCGTAAAGCATTGTAGGTCGATCATGTCTATCGAGCAGTACATCTGTTTCTTTAAATGTGGCCAACTACACGACAGAGCCCGGGAATTTATTGTGAAGCCTACGGTACTTTGAATTTTGTCCTTTGTGAAATTCAGTCTCGTTGCCGACGTTGCGAACCTTTGTGCGCATTGGTAAACGCTGGCCTATATGTCCGCACGCTGCGATGTCGCTATGGCGCTGAAGACCTGACGGCCGATTTGGGCGATATCATCAACTCCGCATGAGAGCAAGATGTCAAGAGGTGGTAGTGCATAATGCGATAGCAGTGAAGAAAGTTGGCCTCCAGGGACGTGGAGGGTAAGGTGGCTAGATCGTTATCAGAAATGTGAGGGAATGTCAATTGCGCCTACCCTCCATAGCTCTTCATTCCGCCTTCTCTGGCCCGGAATACGCTTCTCGGGCATGTAAGGCAGTTTGCTTACTCCAGGGTTCAATATGCGGTATGGATCAAGTTGCTCTCGAATGCACTGTCTGAGGCATGAATTATGTGCCTTGGATTCTTCGGTTTACTCAGGCCTACAAAAGCCAATTGAGCATCGAGAGTTGTCAGTCACTGCCAAATTAGGCAGCGGCCTTGTATACAACCCGTCGCAGCAACCCCAGATCTACCTTCATACTGGTCTCGAGCTGGGTGCGTTCAATTGTAGTTCGACGAGCCCGATTTGCATTCGCCTATTCTCTCTGTGGCGTTCTGGTGTGACGCCACAAAGTCGGGACCTTCGTTCTGGCTACGCCTCCAAGGGCTCAGTGGCCACTGTTTGCTCTGATCACTGTTACACGCACGTTGCTTTTCAACACGCCATTCATTGATGGTCAGTTGCGGAGGAGCATAGTGCCTATCTTTTCCTGTTCCGAGCGTATAACCTTAGGGCATGTTGACTCGATCTCAAATTGATCGCCGAACAGTAGCCAAGAGCCTGGATCTCGGGTCGTCTTCCAGTGGATGTTGATATGCGTCACTCCTTCCTGGACTTCCACTTTGACATTATCCTAAAGCGTGTCGAACCTCTCTTTCGACCACCTCGAACGCGACTTGATATGCTCCTGTCACACGGCGCTTGAAGACGTTCCGCCTTCAAATGATCCAGAGTATCTGCTCTCGTCATGCTCTGCTGGCGGTCACAGCGTCTTGGGCTCTACTGGGGCCGTCTACGGCAACAGCAAACATTTTACAAACGCCAGTTACGCGCCCCATTCTGGTCGCCGACCGCAGCACTGCAATGAATACCAGGGGTGACCCACATCGAACTACTATCATGGGTGAACCACCTACGTCGCGGACGTTGTTCCTCGCCGGTGGTCTGATGTGCAATGCACTGCTAACCGGAATCTTGGGTAGGCGCTACCTGCGTACCTTCCAACATGACCTGACCACAAACAGGGTATCGCGTCAGGCAAATCGAGCACCAGCACATCAGGAGCCTCACTCTCACACGCATTCTGGTCGTCATCCTCGGATGCCTGGCTATATTTTTTGTCTCGTCTGCAACCATCGTTGAGAGTGGGCTCGGCTTGTCTACTTCAGCTGTCTGTCATGCTGCCATCATCATCTGTCTCGTATTTTATGTGAGCTGCAAAGCCGTAATGTGAGAAGCCCCGGTATATACAGTATATTATGACTGTGTGTGAGCCATTGTGCCACCATGCAAAATGTTGACCAAGCTCTAGGTACATTTTCCTAGTCGAGCGCGCCCATGCACTCCGAGCACCCTACATGAAACGTTCACGGGACTGGATCTGGCTTGGCGGGATGATGACAATAGCTTGCGGATTCGGAAGTATTGCTGTATGCGGTTTCACATGGCCTATTGCGAACCTGTCAGAGATCGATGGACGATGCCGCATTGGCCTACCCTTCCGCGTCACAATCCCGTTACTCTCCTTCGACGTGGCCATCAACACACTTTTGACTGGGATTTTTGTTCATCTTCTGCGGCCTTTGCTTCGATTTAACGTGCAAGCAAACGAAGCAGCTCCCATCACAGCCTTCGCTAGGGGCGTGCGTCGTGTTCTGAGGCCGCATGGTGGACCGACCAGTCTCGACGTGTACGCGATGAACCACCAATCTTTCAAGTCGATCGAAAGACTGCTCTGGAAGTCTCTCACGGGATCCATATTGGTCATGTTACCGACCGTCGGCAACCTCGTGACCTTAATACCACTCCACGGACAGGAGCTGGGCTGGGTGTGTCTGACCATCTGCGCCTTCGATGGTAAGCATCTTCCCTCACTAACCCCAGATTCTGGAACACAAGCTCACGCTGCTCAGTTACGTGGTCCGTCTTGGTTGTAAACTGGTTAACGATAGGCTCGACCGATCTTGATGGCAAGCCATTGGTGATGCTAGCGCAGCCGGAATCCGCAAGCAGCGCTTGCCATGTTCTACCACAACTGCCATCACATGCACATGAGACAGCCAAGGCACGTCACTCAACAAGTACTGATACTGGAGAAGTGCCAGATGCCGATAGAAGTGGTGCATTCGATCAGGTGTTCTGTGGGCAATAGAGTACAAGAGGTGACCCAGTCCTCGGCATCAATATTCAGACTCTTCCTCCAGAATCGGCTGCGAAGATAGAACCCCCTTCCGAAGTGCTGCTACTTTGTCGATTCTCCGGCCGGATGGGCTGCTAGTGTAAGGCTCTTTCTTGACCCGCCTCGTCGCTCTGAACTCCTTCACTGTCCTGCCACTAGTCCTAGAAGCACTCCCTGTTCCATCGATGTGGAAAGCCGATGTGAGGAACTTGAAGAGCAGAAAGAGGGCAGTGCCGGCGATGCATCCTATCAAGCCAGCGACTCCGACCCATATGTATATAGTCTGCTGCTGTGTTAACGCGATACCCTTGCTCTGGCAGTGTTGTTTGATCTGTCTGATCTAGTATTGTAGAACAATGGATTCGACGTACTTCAATGCGTTCCAGTAGGTGTAGTCGGAATGGAAATGATACGACGGCGTAGATGGACTTGAGGAGGTAAACCGCAGGAAGGAGGATGAATTGCGCGAGCGCCCAGAAGGGTGAAAGGATGAAGATGATGGCGGAAAGGATCTTGCTCGTAGGCAGCCAGAGGCAGTACAGGATGATGGACAGGATAGCGCGTGCGTCGGCCATGGCAGTTGGACCTGTGGAGCCACTTTTGTTGTTTTCCAGACACGAACAGTATTTGGCCTATAGCGAGGTGCTGCAGGGCGTAGTGTACCGAGGGGCAGGAATGGAAGGAACGAGTGAATGCTAGGCGGACATGGCGGCTGCTTCCCAGAATAGCTGCATCGGTTCCGGCAAGGAAAGGAACATGGCCCGTCGCATCTGCCCGTCACCAGCGTGAATGTCGCGGTGTCGGCGTCGCGGGCCTGGAGCCTCCAAGGGTACCGGCGGAGCTCAACGCCAGGGGAGCTACTGTGGGAGCCCCGCGATAGAGGTCATGGCCTGTGCGCCGTGCAGATCGATCGTGTGCAGGCTGCATTGGCAGGCGAGCGCCTGTTCCTGTGTGCGCTCGAGACAGTCTTCTGCCTTCTGGATGGAACGCGCCACAGTCGCAGCCGCCTCTTCTCGCACGCTCTCGCCATGGGCAACCAACCGTCGCGCACCCCCACGCCAGGAGGGAGCTCGAGTCACCCGCAGAGCCCGGTCGCCAGCGTGACGTCTCCCACGTCACATGGGCCCTATCATGACCGCGAGCGCGCCCAGCAGCACAACCCGAAGCGCAGAGAGTCGATCCAGGCGCTCAGCACCGTCTTCGAGCGCAAGGCAAGCGTCGCCCCGCCCTCGGCCTCGCTCGAAAGCGCTGCTGCCCTCACCGCGCCTGCCCGGCCTCGGAGCCGTTCGCAGACCGTCTCGGCTGCCACCACCACCGCCCACGTCACGAACACGCTGCGCGCCGCCCAGGACACGTTCAAGGCGGCCTCCAACGAGAAGATGGGCAACGACCAGAGCCGCCCCCGCGGCCACCATCCGCGCGACCTGACCCCGCCCAAGCCGAAGCCCACGCCCGCGCCCGCGCCCGCGCCCGTCGACGAGAAACCCATGCCTTCGCCGAAAACCGCGCCCATGCCGCTGCCCATACCGCGCGACCAGCCGCACTCGCATGGCAGCAGCAGGTTTGAGCCCACCTCCGCCGCCTCACTCGAGCCCGCCGACGCCTCGCAGGAGGCTTTCGTTGTCCCCTCGTCGCACTACAGCCGCCCGCCGCGCCTGCCGCTGCCCATCGAAGAGGAGCCAGTCGGCCCGGGCTCGCCCATTATCTCGCCCGCAGACCCCACGAGCCTCATAAACCATGACGAGGTTGAGGGCGCCCTGCCGCGCCGGTCCTCCATGCTGAGCGACCGGACTGCAGACGCAGACGACGATGACCTGGCCGACGAGTTCAAGGGCCCGCAGGGCCAGGTGACGGTGCCGACGCTTATTGAATGGGACGGACCTGGTGAGCGAGTTTTTGTAACTGGAACTTTTGCAGGCTGGGAGCGGAAGTTTAAACTGCATCCAGAGTAAGTGCTCCGCTTCCTTTCGCAGCGCCAGCCGGTTTCAGAGCTCAGGCAGATGATCTGCCGGCAGCCTGCATCTTCCCGGGTGGCTGTGGTTCTGTGCAGCGCCACGGAGACCCAGTCAATCATCATGAGCTGATCTTCTGGGGCTTGCATCTGTGAACTCTATTTCTTACGCGTCACTTCTGCCTCGTTTCCATCGGTTACACAGCACACCGACATGCTAACATGCATTCCCTGATAGTGGCCCCAGCAAGAAGAAAGATGTCCTTTCTGCCTATGTACATATCACACCCGGCACTCACCATCTCATGTTCATCGTCGACAACGACATGCGGACGTCCGACAAGATGCCGACGGCGGTGGATTACACAAACATCCTTGTCAATTATATTGAAGTGTCGTACGACGATATTCCGAAGCCGGAAGCCGACACCAAGGACGAATCGAAGAAGTCAGAATCCGCTCCCGTTCCCGTCCAAGATCAACAAGCGCCCGCCGGTATCTATCCTCCGCAGGTACTACCAGCCACGCCCGAACATGAGCCAGTCAAGAAGCCCTTGCCTGAACCTAAGCCAAAAGTGCCAGCTCCAGCGCCTAAACAGTACCACCAAAGCATACCGCGCTACCTGCTCGATTTAGATGCCCCCGAAGACTCGCGGCGCTTCGCACGTGCAAATGCTGCCGGCGGCGCATTGCCGGCTCCTCCCACGCTTCCAATGTTTCTTAGCAAGAGTATCTTGAACGGGACGACGCCGATGAAGGACGATAGCAGTGTGTTGATTATGCCTAATCACACGGTATTGAATCACCTGGCAACGAGCAGTATCAAGGATAACATCCTTGCTACGAGTGCGACGACCAGGTACAAGCAGAAGGTATTGATAACATTACTTTCGTACACGCTGTCTTTTCTAACAAATCTCAGTTCCTTACTACTATCATGTACAAACCACGGGGCGAGGACTCAGACTACTGATCTGCTTCCCAAAAGGCATCAACCAAGTACTGGCTCTTCACATCATCCAGGAACAGGAGGTCGGGCCGTATTACAGGACGGTAATCTCGCGTGGTCACGCACAGTGCATGCGACGACGAATGAACGACGCAATGACATGACGGGCAGGACATGGTCTCCGGGACCGAGACCCAAGGCTTTTTTTTCCTTCACCTACTTCTTCTTCGCGAATACCCCAGTAGGGTTTTTCGAGTTCTCAGCTTCTTCCTTTTGCGGCTAAAAATCCGATGCTTGGGCATCTTCCGGGCGGGGTTATAGATCTCTGTGTCATGTGCTATCAGTCAGTGCGTTAGGCGAGAGAGGGAGTTGAACTGGCATGGTTTGGGCTGGTTGGTGGTTTGGTGGGAGCAAAGACGAGGCTATTTTTCTTGTTGATGATCTTCAGGCAAGGCCGATGTGGGCTTTGAACATTGGGTATCGAGAGATAGGAACTATGGTGTGGCATGTGCAACGTTTGGCTGCTTCGATGGAAAGTGTTGGATAGAACTACAGTGTCTACCAAACCTCGATAATAAGGCCCCAGAACGACGTCTCATTCATGCTAAAGATTGCAAAGCGTTTGAAGTGCCGCAGACAGTGTAGGGCTAGGCGAGTTCGCTTGCAGCCTCGGCGCCAGGCGCTCGCGCGAGCTAGAGATTGCAGTGTCGACTTGTTGAAGTATGGCTAGGGAGTGTCGCTCAGAAATATGTAATTGCGCTGAGGTTTCCGATGCGAGGGGCGGTATTTATACCATGCGCCAAGACCCATCTCACGTGACTTTTGCACCAAAGAGAGCTGACCAAAGAGATCCTTTTGTTTAAATTTAACGTCGAGTATTGTTTGACACGAGTCCTTTGAGAACACTCTCAGTCCTTTGGCGTGGTGTTAAGACGTGTTGGTGAAGGAAACAAGGGCGGTCGTAGCTCCACCATGTCCCGGATTTGGCGGGGATCGGCGGTATTGAGTATGAGCTATGGTATGGAACAGCGCTAGTAGCAACAATCTGTCTGCCACTAAGAATGTTTACTCACTGCAAGCAAAATGTTTTCTCGGTTTTCACGCTCTGTCAACTTCCATTGTTCGTGCCTTCTGCTTGTGCTGCTGGTGTACTATCTACTACCATATCGGAGGCTGGTATCATCATCGTATTGATCGCAGCTCTTGCAAGCCGCTCAAGACATCATCACTACACTAAAATTTTCAACAGACTGAGGGTTTGAGGACTCCGGTTCGCGGGGGTATTGTTGATGTGAGGTGCTAGGTGCCAGGTGCTGCGGGAGAGATTTGCCGCCGCGGCGTCTTGCATGCTGCTCGGCTTGATGGGTTTCCTCTTGAGAAGATTCAGTATCAAAACAGCTGTTCCCATCATTTTATTGGATCATTTCCAAGCATACAGGATCAAGAGTAGCAGAGCAAGAGTAGCAGAGCAAGAGTAGCAGAGCAAGAGTAGCAGAGCAAGAGTAGCAGAGCAAGAGTAGCAG